GAAGATGTGGAAGTCACCAAATGGTACTATTAGAAACATTTTGGGTGGTACTGTCTTCAGAGAACCTATTGTTATTGAAAACATTCCAAGATTAGTTCCTGGATGGACTCAACCAATTGTTATTGGTCGTCACGCTCATGGTGATCAATACAAGGCTACTGACTTGGTTATTGGCGAACCAGGAAAGATGGAACTTGTTTTCACTCCAAAGAATGGTGGTGAAACTCAAAGATACACTGTCTTCAACTTTGAAGGTTCTGGTGTTGCTATGGGAATGTACAATACTGATGAATCTATCAGAGATTTTGCTTACTCATGCTTCCAATTGGCTGTTGACAAGAAATGGCCATTGTACTTGTCCACCAAGAATACCATCTTGAAGGCTTATGATGGTAGATTCAAGGATATCTTCCAAGAAATCTATGAAAAGGAATTCAAGACTAAATTCACTGAATTGGGTATCTGGTACGAACACAGACTTATTGATGACATGGTTGCTCAAACTTTGAAGAGTTCTGGTGGTTTCATCTGGGCTTGTAAGAATTATGATGGTGATGTCCAATCCGATATTGTTGCTCAAGGTTATGGTTCTTTGGGTTTGATGACTTCTGTCTTGTTGTGTCCTGATGGTAAGACTGTTGAAGCTGAAGCTGCTCACGGTACTGTTACTAGACACTACAGAGAACACCAAAAGGGTAAGGAAACCTCCACCAACCCTGTTGCCTCCATCTTTGCTTGGTCTCGTGGTTTGGCTCATCGTGCTAAGCTCGATGGTAATGCTGAATTGGCCAAGTTCTGTGATGCTTTGGAAGCTGCCACTATTGAAACTATCAGAGCTGGTAAGATGACCAAGGATTTGGCTATCTGTGTTCACGGAAACAAGTAAGTTTTTTCACACACGACAGATTTTCTAATTATTATTTTATTATTAATTATTTGATATTGTGATGATATTAATATTGAAAATTTGCATGATTATTATGGATAAACAGTGTTGATCGTTCTCAATACCTCAACACCAATGATTTCATGGCTGCTATTGATGAAACTTTGAAGAGTAAGCTCGGATTGTAAGCATTTAATTCTTGATCACATTCTTTAATTCAAAAAGATTAAATTTACCAAAACAACGAGCATCCAAACTGTAATAAAAAAGTTTAAAAATCCCTCCGAATCATGGACAATTGAGATGATCATCCTTCCCTTGTAATTTAAATTTATTTATTCTCCACCATTATTTGTAAATTGTTAATCCTAGAATTTAGTCAATTAGTATTAAATAGTATTATTGAAATTTGTTCTTAGTTCTTTTTCAAAGGAATATCAAATTATTAATTACAACCAATTAAAATCTAAATAATTAAAAACAGTTAAAAAAATCGAAACATGACAACTGAATTGGCTGATGAAGTAGAAACCATCAGAAAGACCTTTCCAATTCTATTACACGATGAGGAATTTTCAGATGGAGCCATGCACGTCTCTCTTCGTTATTCGGAACGTGGTAATATCGTAGAGGCTAATCTGTGTTGGGATTGTAACATGTCATTAGAGGATTTTGTAAATAATACTTGTTGTAATGAATATCATTTGCCAATTTATTTAAAAGATAGTATTACTCATCAATTGTATGAATTAGTTAGAGAGAGACAATTAGTGAGAAATGATCAAATTACTTGTGATTTTTTCCAATCAACTTTTAGACATCAAGATGATGATGATGAGGAATTGAAACAACAAGAAGAACAACAGGCACATGTACAATTTGGACAAGCAATTGATGATTATCGGGATGATGATGATGATGAAGAAGGAGAAGGATGTGATGATGATGATGATGATGATGATTATTATTACGATTCGGAAGATAATGAAGATGATGTGGAACAAGACAATGATGAAGAAAATAATGATGAAGATTATTCGGAGGAGGAAATTACAGAAGAAGAGGCAACAACTGAATCTGATATTGGAACTTATACAACAACTGAATCGACAATAATAGAAACTGAACAGCATCCAATGAACTTTTCACAATTTTACAAGGTTTTTCATTCAAGTGCTACTAGTCAAATTACCTTGACCAAAGTAGCAAATGATTTAAAGTGTGTATATCAGGATAAATATCAAGAAAGAGATAGAGGCATTAATCAAATTCAAAAAGAGTATGTTTTATTGAATTTTGAACTCTGAGTCATTTATCACAATTTTATCTAAATTTCACAATAATTATTATAGACATAGAGATGGAGTTGAACAAAATAATGAAAGAATTGATCAGGTTCAACAAATGGTTCTTGATCACATGAAAGAATTGGAAGAATTTGAGGAAAGATGGAATTTAGAATTGAGTGAATTGAGAACGAATATCAAACAAACTTTTTGGAATTTTGTGCATGATTTTGAAAAGGATGAAGATAAATCCAAACCAAAAAACAAGCAATCCAACACTGTTAGGAGTAAGGAAGAACTCCTACTACCAGGATTCAGATTGATGGAACCAAGAGGCAAACAATTTGAACTTTTATTGAGAAATGAATTACAAGAAAAGTCAAATACTCAGATTGTTTCAAAATTCGCCTACTTGAAAAGTATTTTAAAGAGAATTAAAAAGAAATCTAATTCTCCAAAGGTTACTGTCAATGATCCTTGGACCGTTGTTGAGGATTATGATGCCATTGAACATGTTCAATCAAGTTCGAGTACTCATTCTAACAATCCAGCATCTAGTCAAGAGCTTGCTAAATCTGCCCTCAACTCTATCAAAATATTCATGAAGAGTCTTTTCAGGGATAACAGATTACTGACAGATATTCCACGATTGATTCAAAATGAAAGATTCCACGTCTTGTCCTTCTACAAGAAGATTGAACGAATGTATCTCGAGTCAGATGAAATTTTCAGTCCATATGATGATTCATTTGTTTTCATTGAGGATGAGAGTGAGAAGGAGGATCCAAACAAGAGATTGTGTGGAAGAATATTTGTAATTTACACTGCTGATATGAGCGATTGTATTTCTAAAAACTACAAGAAGGATGAAGAGGAAAGAGACTATGAGGAGGAGTATCTTTTATTCAAAACTAGACACTTGTACAATTTGTATCAATCTAGATTGAGTGCACTTGTGGTGAGTAGTTGCATTCATGATGATCCACAGGATGAGAATGATTCTACCATGAATCAACAAGTTCTCTCTTGGACTATGAGGGACATGGAGAGAATTTCATTTGAGGCCAATCATGGACAAGGCCCAGATTTTCATTTCCCATCCCTCAATGATCAAGTTTCCCAAATGAAAAGAGACATTAGAAGAAGGTTGAAGAGACAGGAGGCCATTGATTTGGGCGAATATTATTTGACCAAACATTCAAATCTGAGTTATGCCAATTGCCTATTCCATATGGTTGCACAATTGGATTCCAAAAAGGAGCATAATCTCGACGATTACAACAAGATTCTTCAAGCATACTCAAATATTATAGATGAATGTAGAAATATGGGTATTAGAAATTTATCTATTCAATTACCACTCTCACTATCTTACAAACATCCTAAAATTGATGGAAATTTACCAAATGGAGATACTATTATATTGCAAATTAGGGATATTATGAAGATTTATTTAAAGAAACAGAAAGAATATGGATCATGGTTCCTCCCTAATCTATTCTTCTATTGTCCAAAGAATCCAAAACATTCATCAGGAGATTTCCAATGTCAGTGTCACTATTCCATTCTCAAAACATCAGATGATATTTTACATGTTTCAGGTAGTGAAAATTCAGACAATCGCTATGAAGAAAGTCACAATGAGAATGATAATCTTCACAAGTACATTGTTGAACCATTCTTCAAATCTTATTTGAATTCCAATATTCAATTACCACCTTCATGGATGCAATAAAACTTGAACAACGTTTGTTCTTAAAATATCTCATTAACTTTTTCATGTTAAATTGAAAAGTGTGTAAATGTACATTGTGAGTTAATATTTATTTTACAAATCATCATTAAATCTATCCAATCCAGCATCTTGATTTGAATGCATTGATGTAAACATGGATCTAATTGACTTTTTAGGTTTTGCTTGTTTAGAATTAGGATATCTCCATTCAGGATTCGGTTGATAAGTTTCAAAAGTTCTCAATACTTTTACCAAATGTTGAAAACACTCCTCAACATTCTTTCTAGTTTTTGCCGAAACATAATAAATCGGACATGATAATTTCAATTCATTCTTGACAATCATTGAAATTGTCTTTTCTGGAATATGACTCATCAAATCACACTTATTTCCAACAATTACACATGGAAAATCCAAATTATCTAGAGTAGGACATGGCCTATATTTATCATTCTTTATCGATCTAATTTGCTCAATAAATGGTTGAAGTCTACGAAGTGATTCATCTGCTCGAGAAACATCAAAAACTAGAATAAATCCATAACATGATTGCATGTAGGATTGTCTTAGTGCCTAGTTTCGAATAGTTTCAATTGAAATAGATATGATTATAATCAGTCCATGAAATATTATAATAATTGAGTAATACTATTTCAATATATATAGTTACCTTATAATCATCTGCATTACAATAAATTGTAAATAATTAGGATCATTATTATATTCGAAAGTATACTTACCTTGTCCGGCAGTATCAATAATTTCCATTTCCAAACTCAAATCATCATATTGTCTCTTTACATAAAAACTCGTTTCAATAGTTGGATCATACAACTATTAAATATTTAAATATTATTACAAAAATATTACAAAATATTGTAATTGGTAATATTGTTATATTCGAAAGTGATTATTTGAAAAGAAACCTACATCCTCTCCTTCAAATTTATTTTGTGTATACTGGATAGTCTTTTTTTCCGAAATACGTTTATTTCCACAACTTTCGAATAATTTATTGAACCTACCACCGATGTTTTTCCAACTCCACCATCTCCAACCTAATTGTTATTATTATTCAGAATATATTTGATGATGAAAAATTAAAACACGTACGATGGCGACTTGGTAAAAATTTACATTGTCTTTGGTTTTTGGCATTTTTTTTATAGTTTGGCAGATGACATGTTAAAAAGGAACGCGATTATGGCAACCAAAATAATCAGAATGGGAAGGTTCATCATATTGTAGTTAATTTTTCGTGATATTATATTGTACTTGTTTACAATAATACTATTTAATGTTATTGTAAACTATTGAATTGTGCGCGGGAGATGACCTTTCAATGGAAAGAATCTTATTTTGATTGATTAGAACTTCAATAGTTTTGTAGATCGTACACGTGTCTTGAAGTGAGGAGGTAGGTGTAGAAACATTCAAATTGATTAGAAAGATATTCAGCTCAAAAAAAGACTTTGAGTTTCTGAATTGGCTATTTTTGAAAATTAATGAAAAACTGGTCATGTAGCTAAGGAGGAAAGCTTTAATCTTCAATGGAGCCCTGTTCATCAAGTAATCAAGTCATTTACATACAATGAAACTTCACTTTCTGATAGAAATTCGAAACTAGCTCAGTGATTGACTCTAGTTGTGTAGTCGTTATATCTCCATCAGTTCCATCAGTTATGGAACTTTTCAAAGCTGTCATTAATAGTACATCTCTTGCAACATGAATTACAATGGTTCACTAAAAAGTTGAAATCATTTTACAATGACTATCTTTTGGCTTTTTTCTTTGAACAGTTCAACAATTTACAAACTTTTTCACAACTACCAACACAGGTTGCCACATCAATTGATTCGGAATTCCAATTATTATTAATTTCACTACTTTCCAACTAACATTTCGCAATAGCAATAGGGCTAATTACCTGCGAGCTGTATTAACAAACACATCGTAGAATCGTACTTGATAGAGATTGTCCTCACCACATCGACTCTCACTTGACCACCAGATGAATTTGAATGATGAAATGAGCATTGCTGCCTTGCACTTAATATCCATTATCGATAGTTGAAAGTAGTTGAAACGCTGTTGCTTATTCTTCGCGCACTTGGAGCACTTGCGGTATAGCATCTAAGTGCGCCACTGCTTTCTGCTCAAGAGAGAATCTCCTAGTGCTGCAGCAAGGACGATGTTCGGCAATTTTTTTCCAAACTTAAGTGCGCCAAAGTCTTTCTCGAAAATAGATTCAAACAGAAAAAAAAAACAACGCCACATTTGTGTTGATATTATCTCATCTATATAATTGCTACTAGTTATTAGATAACACCAAGAATAGAGAGAGAAAATGGCTAGTGAAGTGAATATGTTGAGTGGCACATCGGTCGATTTGAATGATGAAAAGCCTTCGGATCACAAAGTACACGTAGAACCAGCACCACCACAGGCACAATCCCGAAATCCTTTCAAAAGACTTAAACAACGAAAAGAGAAGGCTAATTTGAAACATAATAGTGAAGAAATACCAGATCCTAGGGACCCTAAAATTGGTTTTAAAGACCAAATGGTTCTATTCAAAATGTTTGGAGCAGCAAATTGGTTTTTAATCTTTTTGGGTAGTATTGGTGCTATGGGGTAAGTAGTTTATAATGATATGATGATTCTAATGTATTTAGTGCTGGTGTTATTCCATTGACTTTCCAATTTGTTTTGGGAGATTTATTGAATTCTTTGGCTACTGCTTTTGCAGATCCTAATGCTTTGAGAGATAGTGTTAATACAATTGCTGCTAAATTTGCAGGTATTGCATTGGGTGCTTTGATTGCGAATTTCATGATGCAATTCTTTTTGAACTGGGCTTCCGAACGTATTGCTGTTGCTTTAAGAGAAGGATATTTCAATGCTCTTACAGCTCAAGAAATGGCCTTTTTTGATATTAAGAAAGTTGGTACTCTTACTGTAGCACTCAGTGAGGATGTTGCCAAAATTCAAGATACTTATACTTTAAAGTTTGCCACATTTTTACAACAAATGACACAATCCGTAGTTGGTATTGTTCTTGCCTTTGTCAGTAGTTGGCAAATGAGTTTAGTCATGATTTCAACTTCACCATTGATGGTTGTGTTTGTTGGTGGTTTGTCACAAATGATTAAGTGGTTGACCAAAAAAACAAACGATGCCAATGAACACTCTGCTGCCATTGCTACAGAAATTATTTCTTCAATGAGAACTGTTAGAAGTATGGCTGGTGAAATTAAAGAACAAAATAGATTTAAGGAAGATTTGAAGAAGGTTGGATTATTCGGTTTTTGGAAAGCAATGTTCCAAGGTTTAACATTTGGTTCAATTACCTTCATTCTTTGGGGTACTGTTGCTTTGGCATTTTGGGTAAGTAGTAGTATGCATTTATTTAATGATAACTGTTTATTATTAGTATGGTGGTGGTTTGACTGTTGATAAAACTATCACTCTTGGTGATATGTTTAAGGTATTCGGTCTTATGCTTATGGGTGTTCTCGGTCTCTCCCAAGCAGGTACCTTCTTCCCAGATTTGAGTAAGGCAAGAATGAGTCAAGTTACTCTTTTGAAAGTTATTAGAAGAAGTCCAGAAATTCCATTCAAGGGTGGAAAGACTTTGGAAAATATTTCTGGTAATATTTCTATTAGAAATGTCGATTTTATCTATCCTTCTCGTCCAAATATTACTGTTTTGAAGAACTTCTCCCTTGAAATTACACCAGGTCAATCCGTAGCTCTTGTTGGTCCTTCAGGTTCTGGTAAATCAACCATTGTTGGTCTTGTTGAAAGATTTTACAATGCAAACTCTGGTCAAATCTACATTGATGGTGTTGATATTACTGAACTCGATCCAATGTGGCTTCACAGAAAGATTGGTATTGTTACTCAAGAACCAGTGCGTAAGTATCTTTTGTTTTTATGCAATTAACAATTTGGAAAATAGTTTTTGCTTGTAGTATTAGAGATAACATTGCCTATGCTGTTGGTGCCGAAAATGTTACACAAGAACAAATTGAAGATGCTGCTAAAGCTGCCAACTGTCACAATTTCATTGTTGATCTCCCAGAAGGTTATAACACAATGTTAGGTGAAAAGGGTGTTTCATTATCAGGTGGTCAAAAGCAAAGAATTGCTATTGCTCGTGCCTTGTTGCAAAATCCATCTGTTCTTTTATTGGATGAAGCTACATCTGCATTGGATACTGAATCAGAAGCTCTCGTTCAAGCTGCTTTGGACCATTTAATGAAAGGACGTACTTCAATTTGTATTGCCCACAGACTTTCAACAGTTAAGAACTCTGACACCATTTGTGTTTTGGCTAAGGGTGTTTTGGTTGAAAAGGGTAAACATGAAGAATTGTTACAAATTGAAAATGGTGTTTACAAAAAGTTAGCTGAAAAGCAAATGATGTTTGGTAAATCAGAGAGTAAGATTGATTTGGAAGCAGTTATGGATATTATTGAAGAGTAAACAATTTTGATAGAGAACGATTGTAAATAAATATTACGAGTTATTTAATTCTTTTACAAACTCTGAAAATATTCCCATATTGAATGAACATGCAAATTGTGATTCATTTTATTCCACTGCCGTATTATAATATTGAAGACTATTGTAAAAATAGCATTTACAATATACTACGTATTTCAAATACGCATTTGCTGGATTATGAAAATATTATTAAAAAAAAATGTCATCACTCAATCATGAACAACGATTTTCCCGAATTGAAAAATTATTCAAAAACTTAGCCTCTACCCACAATCCTTCCGGAGAAGAATCCAATCTCATGCTCGAGATTAAATCCTTTCTACTCGATCACCAATTGATTGACAATTCAAATAGTTGTCATGATAATTTCCTCCTCTTTGATACTCAAATTGGAATGATATTCAAATGTAGTACTTTCAATGATGAGAATCAAAATTTCATTTCGGATGAAAATTCACCATCGATTTGTTTATTTGCTCATCTTGATAGTGATCACATTGAATTGGAACAAGAAAAATTGAAACAATTAATTTGGAGAAGAGATGAAAATCTTCTTTACTATTCAAATAATGAAGAAATTGTTGAGGTTGGACTTGATGATAAGAGTGGAATTTGTGTCATTTTGGAAACCTTGTTGAGATTGAAAGAAATGAAGGGTATTAGAGTGAATGTTTATGTTTGTTTTTCAGTACAGGAAGAAACTGGACAGAAAGGAGTTATGAGAATGGATCATTTGATGTTTAAATCAATGGTTGAGGATGGAGGAGTGGGTTGTGGAATTGCTGTTGATAGAATGACATATTATCATCCAGAAAATAAGAGACATTTAGTGGACGAATATTGCCGAATTCCATTGATACCCAACGATCAAAAAGACTCTTTCATGAATCAATTTAATAAGAGCAGTCAATTGGTGGAGGGATGCGACATTGATTTCATCCCAAGTGAAAATTGCAGTGATCTATTGGAATATAAAATCAAATTGGATTGTGAAATTATTGCACCAGAAATGTTAGAATCCTTAAACGCTCACGATGTTAAATTATTCGAAAAACTTTCAACTCTCTTAGAGAAATATGAAAATATCACGAGTGAAATTAAGAAAATTATGAATAACATTTCAGCAACGAGTAGAGTGAGTGGATTTAAAAGTCATCCAAGATTTACCAGATATCAACTGGCACATCAAATTAATTCATTGATTTACTCTGACAAGGTATTGAAATTTTACAATGAAACATCATTGAAAAAGTATTTAAATGTTTCTTTTGTAAATTTGAGTTTGGATTATGATGACAGTTGTGGATTTGTTTCTTTGAAAGAATTGGATAATACAGCTGAAATTTTATTTGATTTTATTAGAAATTATCACCTTTAAAATTATTAATAAATTGATAGAATGCAAAACAATCCATTTATCATTGTAATTTGAATACTAGTGCCATCTTCCTTGTGTTCATCAGGTATCCTTGATACATGATCTAAGACAATATTCTGAATTCTCAAATTGATAACTTACTGATCAGCCATCTTCATGATAAAATCTTTATTGATGGTTTTGAAACAACTTATTTTAAATAGCTCACTTGTATGAAATTTCTTTCATATCAAAGCTAGTATTGATAAAGTCAATGATGTTCTTCTGAGTGTTTGTAATCAAGTGAGATTTACCTTGCATTGTGGTAATTCTAGATCTAAAGTCTCGTTCATCGAGTGATAAGTTCAGAATGGCATCTAAATTTAACAATAAATCAGAAGTATAGTCTTCCAAACGAGATAGATGGTCATTAAATAAATAACCATAGGTCTCTAACATTAAAAATTCCTTCTCTGACTTTTTGGTTGTGTTAAATTTGATTTTGAGTGTGTCAAATCCGAAATGAATGTAAGCAAATGCATAACATGAACGTAAGAGTCTTCTACATCTGTAGATATTTCTGAAAGAGTCGAGAAGGAATTTGAGATCCTTGGTTGGTCTAATATGGAAAAACTTTTCCTTATAATTTGCAATTTCGAGTCGATAGTGACCTGTTCGTTTATGTTCCTCCAACCATTGATTGTGTCTTCTGTATAATGAGACGAATCTTCCATAAAGTTCTTCTGCTGCAGAGAATAATTTAATATCTTCAGATGTTTTCACTGTCTTTGGAGCACAAACTGTTTCAGCATGAACGTAGGATGTATACTCTGAACCACACTATCGATGAAGAATCAAAACTAAACTCTCTTTGATGATGATACTTACAATATAACAAAATTCATGTCCACAAACACAATTAATGTGATTACATCCAACATCCTTAAATATAATTCTTTTACACTTGTTACATTGTTGACTTGTTCTGTGAATAAACTCTTTCGATGCAAAATCATCCTGAGCAATAGTCAAGAATCTCTTATACACATCACATGAGCATGGGAAGTGAGGATCCTTATCACATTGGAAGCAACACTCTTCACCACACTTGCATTGAGCAATGTACAAACTTTCATCACATAGTTTCTTGATTGCATAGGGACCATCACAGCCTGGATTAGGACACCACTTTAGTCTGTAACTTGAACCCACATATGAATCAATCTTTCTCTGGAAAAACTTTTCAAATAATTCCTTATCTTCCTTTGGATCCAATTGTGACAACATAAATGTCTCAGTAAGTGTAGTCTTACATGAATAGTCCATACACTTTACAGTATTATCATTCATTGCTGTTTTGACATGATTGACAATATATTCCTTCCAACAAGTTCTACAGAAAACATGTCCACACATATCATATGCGTACAATGGAACATCATCTGAATAACAAGCATCACATGTGCCAATTGTTGAAGATGAACATGATTTTTTGAAATCTGGATTGAGTCCACACTTGGTTAATAAAGCATCCAATCCCAAATCACCATAATCTCTAATTAATTTCTCTGTATTCCACTGATATTCCTTCAACATACATTCCACAAATACTTTACTCTTCAATTGAAGAGTTTCAGCTGCTGTCTTTACTTCTGCCTCTTGATCTTGCAATAATTCCTTTGTATCAAGTACCTTGTACAATTCTCCTTTTGTTTTAAATTCCCTCGTCTTGACAACTTCTACAAAGGCAGATTCGTCCACTTGTTCACCAATATCATCATCAAAGTAATGTTCTTCTCCTACTATATCATCTTCATTGTATTCAATTTCCTCCTCCTCTTCATAATTTTCCTCTTCATGATCATGATGATCACAACCACATTCCGGCGTCTCGTGCTCTTCTTCCTTCTCTTCATCATCAATTGAAGCTTCCAATAAATCACCATTCTCCTCACACATCTGAATGACAGTCTCTATGGCAAGAGCCTCATCTAAATTACAATCCAAAACCACTTGATGGAGTGTTTGGAGGCTAATACTGGGAAAGAGTTCGTTCAATGAGAGAACGATTGCTTTTATTTTTTCCTTTCGTTTGTCCTTCTCGGATTGTTGTTGACTCATTTTTTTATTTTGTTGATTTCTACGCTGTTTGTTTTCGAAATTGAAGTTGAGATGCTGAAAGTTCTTTGATAATGAAAAACAAACAAGAGTACTAAGTTACAAAAAAGGAAAACTTAAAAGGAAAGGGGACCAGTGGGAATCGAACCCACGGCCTCTCGCACCCAAAGCGAGAATCATACCACTAATTTTTATGAAAGGGATTTGTGAAGAAGGGATCTGTGAGGAAGGGATCCGTTACAAAAGGGATTCATTGAGAATGTGTTAGTTACTTTCGAATATTTAATTGAAATTTGATCTATATTAAAAAAAATTGCGGAAGGGGTAGTCTCTTTTTTGAAATTAATAAAAATATACAATTTTGAAAATTAAAAATCAAGTTTTTTTATTGTTATTTGATGTTTGATTATTTTCTGTAAATTGATTAATTTCACATTTTCTATTATGACAATAATGTGAATAATTAACACTTTTTGATGGTTTGTAATTTTGATTCATTTTCTTTTTTAAAATTTAATCTCATTCTAATTTTTAAAAATGTAATTGTTCATATTATTAAAATGTTATTTTTCTATTTACAATAAATTATTCTATCTCTCTTGAATATTTTTAATAATTGTAAATTTTCTAAAAAAAGGAAATAGATAATATTCAATTAAATCCCTTCTAATTTTAAATTTTTTTTTGAGAAAGGGATTTGTGAGGAAGGGATTCATTGCAAAAGGGATCCGTTCTGAAAGGGATTCATTGAAAAATGGATTCATTATGGATGTGATAGTTTCAAATTTTAATTAATAATATAAAATTAACACAATATTTATTCTATTTATATACATTTCTTTTTTTGGTAATGGATTTCATTGCAAAAGGGATCCGTTAAAGAAGGGATTCATTACAGAAGGGATCTGTTACAAAAGGGATTCATTGTAAACGTGTTTCATTGAGAAAGTGTTTCTACCACTAGACCATGGTCCCTTACGTTTAAAATCCATTATATTTAAAATTGGTGCCTATAATACGGACTACATCTATTTTCCTTGTGTGATTCATTACAAAAGGATGGCTATTCAAAACTTTAGAAGGTTACAATTTTAAATGTACTTTGCATGTTACTCACTATTTTTAGTGTCCCAATAGATTTCACTCACATTCTATTGAAGGTGTTGTGAAAAAAAAAGCACCAACAACCAATACCTTTACTAATCGCTCACTGCCAGCAGTTCATTACCAACATGTTTACCTTCGAAGACGAAGAAGCTGAACAAGGTTTTCCATTTGAAAACTCAACCCCAGAGCAAATTATTAACCATCTACAAACTCATGACCATCCTGAAACAATCATCAATTCTCAACAAGTGCTTATCATGGCTGTTGAGAATTGTAAAGATTGTTATGAACAGGGAGAAGAGGAAGACTACGTGGAATGGTTCAAATTATGTGAATATTTAACATCCAAAAGTGGAGTTAATATTAATGTTTGTAGATGTATTGAAGATGACTATGATTATCCATTATCAATTGCCATTGAATCGTGCGATTTAAAATTGATAGAATTGATACTCTCTCATGGAGCTGATCCAAATAATGGAGCTGGTTTCAGATGTAGAAATGTAATGATTAACCTTGCAATTCAAGAAGGATCGATGGATATTTTGAAATTATTGCTAAAATATGGAGCTGATGTCAACAAATTCAATACAGTGCATTGTGGAAGATTCTCTCCATGGAATTGTGCCTATTCGAATCAAGAGTTTGAAATATTGGATTTTCTCCTAAATCTTCCAAATATTTCTCTAAAGAATTCAAGAATTTTTCATGAAGCTTCTGCGAATGGAGATGTGAAAATGGTTGAATTATTAATTAAGAATCATTTTCCAATTTTGGATTTGAATCATGGTAATTATTCAACTCCATTATTTGAAGCATGTAAGGGACAATTCGTTGAAGTTGTGAAATTACTTGTTCCTCTGCCAGGAATTGACATTAATTTGGGAAGCTATTCTGGAAGAATGGAAACACCTTTACAAAATGCAATTCGAAATTCAAATATTGAAATTGTCAGTTTGCTAATTTCACACGGAGCCATATTTACAGAATCTGATAGTTTGGAAGCACATAATAATGCAGGTATCAATCTTTATCAAATCAAACTTCAAACACAACCAGTTTCGCAACTTCAAAAATTGCTACATTCTAACCTTGCACTTTCTGACACCACATTCGAATATCAATAAGAAGCATTCAATTTAGTGTAAATATCAATAAATCTTTTTATATAAATCAAACACTAACTTCCTTAATATTTGAATCAATATTTCTCAATCTTACAACACCAGAAACACAACAAACAGTACAACAAATAACTCCAATGCATGCAAATATAGAAAATATGATCAAGAATGGAAGAAAGTAACGACCATGTGAATTGGGGATGAAATTATATCCAGTTGTGAAGAAGGAAACATAAATAAATATAAATTCCCATACGAAAACCAACATTCCCAAACTTAGAAAAACAACATGCAACAATGAAAATCTTGCAGTTTTGGTTGAATTTTGTTTGGTGGATAAAACTCCAAAAACACCACTCAAAATCAACAAGATTGCATTCAATGCCAACAATGGGAATTTCACAAAACTGACAGCAGGTGCATTGTGTGGACTTCCATTCGGATAAGTTGATGATGAATAATAAATTGCTCCAGCAATTAAATCTGCAAGAAGAAACATGGTAATAATTGCAGTTCCAATGAATAAAAGAATGGAGCCAATTGCAATGACTTTGGTTGTCTTGGGATTTTCATCATTTGCATTGTAAGCATGTTGAGGTGGTGAGGAGGAAACAATATTCGAATCAATATCCGAATGAATAAGTGATTCTTGTTGATAGAGAAGAGGAGCAGAACTCTTCTCATATGGTTGTTGTGGTTGTTGTTGTTGATAACTAACAGTATTACCTTGAAGATGTGGATACATTTTTTTTTTGACTTGATTGACAAGATTTGCTTTTCGTGCAGTTGAATTTATTTCACCTTCTTTATAAAGAATTAAAAAACGTTCTAAACACATTCTGTGCTCCTTCTAATGTTCCAGCTAGAAAGTCAAGCAAGTTATTGTAAGTTCGTCCACTACAGCAAAGTTATGAGAAAAAGGCAATCAATAAAATATTGTGATTTTTGACCAATCAATTTTTGGCTGGATTTTGATCATGATATTAAAGCTGTGCACTACTACATAAAACTGAGACCAGGTAGGAGTACACACAATACATCAAATCGTTCTAGATGATCTCTAGAATTTGATTTTTGATAGCGTGAGATTCTAGTAACTATAATTTTGGAATTTGAATTGTTTTTAAGAAAAAAGAATCATTTTGGCCCAGTTTCTTGCTGAAGGTGAGTTTGGATGAAGAGTTAGAAACACACTTATATACGTAATACTGGTTTTGTGAAGAGGAGTTTTTCGCTCTTATTGAAATTTTAGAAGATCTTGCAAGAAAATAGAACCACTTTGGAAAGGGCAAGTAAATTTTGAAATAATTGACAAGAGAACCATGAGAAATCTTCAGACGGTGGTTGAAAAAATTGTTTTCAAATTGAGTTCAAGATCATTAGAAAAAGAATCGAAATTTACCGTGAAGTGGAACATTGAAAAGTGTTTTCTCATATCTGATACCCTCCTATTATCACAAGCTTTCTCATCAAGACATAATGCCCTAAATCTTATAAGATTGAAATTCCTCTTCAAAGTCATCAATCTATTTCAATAAATAACAATAAAAATGGTTAAACTCCAACATCATGGTGATAAAGATAGTGAACTTCCCGATTAATTCAAGTATTAATTTAAATCTGCATTTTGTAATTGCACTACTATTCATCCCCTTTGTAAACTCTCAATACCCATCCTTCAACAAATCCCATTGAATTTGAATTTCCAATCAACACCTATTCTTTCAAGATCTCTAAATTGCAATCAGATTCACAAATTCCATGTCACTTCATCATCAACTTCATATGAATGAATTAAATTTTCAATAAATATTTGAAAATGCACAATTTTAAAATAAAGGCCTCTCCTCAAAAAAATATCTCAACACCTTTAAACGCCACACTCCCTAACCGAGCAATATTAGTAGTCATATATAAAACAGCAAGATGAGTTCTCTCCCAACAACTTTCCCTACTGAATTTTTACATTCTCACACTCAAGTTAAGAAGAAGGAAGAGGATGTAACTACAAGTTTGTTCTCAAAGAAAGCCGAAAAGGAAAAGGAAATTGCTACAGTCCAAAGATTGGTTTCCTATGTTAATAATTTTAAAACTCCATCAAAGCAACCATTTATTATTGGTGTTTGTGGTGGTAGTGCTTCTGGTAAAACAACTGTCTGTAGAGAAATTGTCAAGAGTTTGTCCGATAAGAGAGTTGTCGTTGTTTCTCAAGATAGTTTCTATAGAAATTTGAATGAAGAAGAACGTGAACTTGCCAGAAATAACGTTTATGATTTTGATCATCCAGGTATGTGCTCTTGATTGTCATCATTTTGAAAATTAATTTTTCAATAATTAGATGCTTTTGATTATGAAGCCTTTGAGGAAACAACCAGAGAATTGAAGGCTGGTAATCCTGTCGATATACCAGTTTATGATTTCAAGACTCACTCTAGAACAACTGAAACTGAACCTGTTGAAGGTGCCGATGTCATCATTATTGAAGGTATTCTCATCTTCTTCACCAAGGAAATGAGAGAATTGATGGATATGAAGATTTTCGTTGATACCGATGCAGATGTTAGATTGGCCAGAAGAAGTATGTAATAATTAGTAATATTAATAGTAATTATAATAATAATATTTAAATAGTTAGAAGAGATACAAAGGAAAGAGGACGTGATCTTGAAGGAGTTTTGCTTCAATATGAAAGATTTGTCAAGCCATCATTTGATGATTACATTATGCCTACAAAGAAGTATGCTGATATTATCATTCCAAGAGGTGGTGCTAATACTGTTGCTATTGATTTGCTCACCCAACACATTCATCTCAAGTTGTTGGTTTTGAGTGATAGTGCTTCTAAATAAGTTTACAAAATTCTCATAATTATTTGAGAAAATGGAAAAGAATTCTTGTAAATAATTGTTTTAATATGAAATAAAAAATGACAAATTCAACAACTCCAAAACAACCCTACAGAAGAGGAAGAAATTTTTTCACTAGAGCACTGTTTCATCCGAATACTTATTATCTGGTGCAATATGGTGGTTTGCTCACAATTTCTTATTTGATTTTAATTAAAACAAATTGGAAAGAAGGAACAATATTTTATGATGTGAGTTTTTGAAGAATGAATTAGTGTACAATAATAATATCGGAAATTGGATTTTAATATTCATCATCATCTATTATAATTTATTTAATTGAATGAAAATATTTTGATTGAATTTTTATCGGATTTAATTTTGATTGAATGATGTATTTAAATATTTGGAAATATTAATAATATTAATAACAATATTGGAAAAAATATAGTTTAAACAATATTTACAAGAAAAGAGAAGAAATTTACTTTCAATGAGTGAGGAAGAAATTCAAAAACAAAAGGAACTTCTCAAATTATCCAAAGAATCTAAATAGCCAATTATTATTAAATTATTTAAATCAATTATTTTACATAAACTCTCTTCAATCTAGGTAATAAAGCAGTTACAACTTCATAGTTAATAGTATTGGACCAGTGTGACACCATTTCACATGTCACTTCCTTACCATCTTGTTCACCAATTAAGACTACTTCATCATTGATTTTAACTCTATCTACAACAGTTGGAGAAATTTTAACTACAAATTGATCCATGCAAATTCTACCAACTATTGGACACTCTTCACCTCTAATTAATACGTGGGCCTTACCAGTATTAATTCTCTTGTATCCATCTCCATAACCAACTGGGACTAATGCAAGGGTTTCGTCATCCTCTGCAACTGTATAGGTATTTCCGTATGAAACTGGTGATCCCTTTGGGAATTTTTGAACTCTTCCAAGGTGCGAAACAACAGTGAGAGCAGGTTTCAATTTGAATGGAAGTCTTGGATCATCTCTATCATTACTTGGTGAAAGTCCATAAATTGAAATACCTGGTCTAATCATATCCATGTGCATTTCTGGGAAGAATAGAGTTCCAGCACTATTGCAACAATGGTAAGTGAGTGGCTTTTCAAAAACTCTTGAAACTTGATGATTTTCAATCATTTTCTTCACCTCCATGAATTTATAAAATTGCTCTCTCGTATAGTCTGGGCTCATCTCATCAGCACTTGAAAAGTGTGTAAATACTCCTGTAATTTTGATTCTATTGTACAATTTCATTGGATTAATAGTGAACCATCTCAAGAAATTTTCCAATTTTTCAGGATGAGCTCCAAATCTTCCCATTCCAGTATCAACCTTCAAATGTACATTAATGGTTTTATCTTGTTTTTCACATTCTCTAAACAGAGTTTCAACAATTAATCTACTGCCTGAAATAGTTGGAGTTAAATTGTAAGTGACACATTCCTTCACCTCCTCTGGAATGGCATAACCCAACACTAGAATTTCAATATTTGCATTTTCCTTACTCAAATTACTACGAATTTTAACACCTTCCTTCACTCTATTTACTGCAAATTGTTTAATTGACAATTCATTGTAAAGTTCCCTGACAACTGGTGTATCTCCGTGTCCTATAATATCATGAAATCATGAAATTGGATTCGTCGTATGAGTGAAATTGTCATCACATCCGAAATTAATTTTTTCATCATTAACAAATATACATCATGAGAATATTTTCAACATCATGATTAAATATATTCCGATCCATAATTTACCTACCATAGGCATTGGCTTTAACCACTGGCATTACGTGAATATCCTGATTGTAGTTTTTAGCAAAATTTACAGTATTTTCCACATTTTCAGTGATATTCCTCAAATTCACAATCGCACACGAAGTTGATTGTAGTTTTCGTGGCACATTGGACAAGGTTGTTCCCAAATGTTTTAACAAGTTGGATGTTGTTGTTCCTTGTTTCATCATTTTTTTTCTGAGCAAATTGTTTGTTTACTTTCTTAAATTTGGACAATTTGTGAAAAGTTACTTATCGAGAGAAGATGATTGTAATTGCATTAGATTGGCATTGTTAATAGTGTGAATATTAAATGTTTATTTCAATAGATGTATTTATGAAATTGACTAATTCATGTTCATGTGAAAATTTGTGAATTTTAGTAGAAAATTGACTCAGTCAAGAAGAATTACACTCGTGAGGGTTGCAATCCTCTCAATAATATGGCGAATTTCATTTCATATTGAACTTTCACAATATGTTCATTGTAATCAAGTAATTTAATATATTTAAAAATCTTAACATTCAATCCTTTCCCATCTCTCAATTTAATCCATCCTCATGTCCCTTCCAAATTCTCCTATAATTATTCATCTCAATATTCTAAACATTTTCCTCCTCCCTAAACAGCAATTGCTTCTTCCTGAACATTCACCCAACAAACCAACAGCAACAACAACCATATGAAAGATCATCATCCTCACCACCACCAACCAAGCAACCTTATCAACAAACCAATCAAGTCATTCACCACCCACTCTCTATCCAACCACCAAATATCACTTCTTATCAAAAGACAAAGAAAAACCAATTGCTCTTGAATTTTTAAATAGATAAAAAATGTTGTCATCATCATCGGGTGCTGATAATAACAACAAAAGCAGTAATAATAATAATAATAATAGAATGGATAATAGTACTAATAGCAATTGTAGCAACAACAACAACAGTAGCAACAGTAGCAATAATGTTGGTTTGGGAGGTTCTGGTAGTGCTCTGAAGGGATCGGAGGAGAAGAAGAAACAACAGGCTCCTATTAAAATTCTCAAGAAGAATGATTTTAGACAGGATAATGATGAAGAGTTTTCAATGAGTCCAAAGTTAGTTACGAGAGGAGTTTTATCAGTTAAAATTCCACCTGCTAATGTTAATAGTAATAATGGATCTCCCCTCCCTTCATATAAGAAGAGTTCAGCCTCGCCTTCAGCATCTTCACCACCAGCATCAGAATTATCTAAAGCTTTAGTATCATCGGAAGATCATGATGGTCAAAGTCCATCACCAACAACATCTTCTTCTTATGAGGAGCAAGGAATTGCTGAAAATCATTTTATATTTCTTCCGAATCATAATGAATTGTTTAATCACTTTGCATTAGATATTGGTGGATCACTTGTCAAGATGGTTTACATGTTACCTTTTAGTGATAATGAATTTATTTATCAAACTCAAGATTCTGAAAGTAATGAACTTGAAGCTTATTATCATCAAGCTGTTAGTAGTGATGATGAAGAGGTTGATGGACAATTATCCATAAAATCACTTCCTCCACAATCACCATTAATCATTTCAAAGGATGTTGATCATTTTTATGAATCTGAAAATGGTGTTAAAAAGAGAGGTTCTAAACTTTGTTTTGCTAGATTCCAAACACAAGATATTGAACAATGTTTGAGTTTAATTGAAAAGTTACTGAAATTAGATGAATCAATAACTGGTTCATCAGAAGCTCCTTGTATTAAACATATTAATGCTACTGGTGGAGGTGCATTCAAGTTTTCAGCACTATTGAAAAATAGATTTGGTTTTGAAGTTAACAAGCTAGATGAAATGGAATCATTGATTAAGGGGTTAAACTTTTTATTGTTAAATATTCCAAATGAATCATTTACATTCACAAAGGAAAAGAAGAGAGAATACCTTTCTTTCCATGACAAGTTACATACAGATATTTTCCCATATTTAATTGTAAATATTGGAAGTGGTGTGAGTATTGTTAGAGTTGATGATGTTGGTAAATTTGAAAGAGTTTCGGGAAGCAGTATTGGTGGAGGTACCTTCTGGGGTTTATCAAAATTATTAACAGGTTGTAATTCATTTGAGGAATTGTTGAAATTAACCAAGACTGGTGACAACAAAAAGGTTGACATGTTAGTTGGTGATATTTACGGAAGAGATTATGAAAAAATTGGTTTGAATTCTGATATTATTGCTAGTAGTTTCGGTAAAATGATTCAGTACAAAGCTGGAGAAGGTGAAGAACCAAAAGATGCCGATCTTGCTAAATCTTTATTATTTATGATTTGTAACAATATTGGTCAAATTGCCTATCTTAATGCTCTCAGATTTGGCCTTAAAAGAATATTTTTTGCTGGTTACTTTATCAGAAATCACGATGTCACAATGCACTACATTTCCTATGCCATCAACTTTTGGTCTAGGGGTGAAATTTCTGCCACTTTTTTGAGACATGAAGGTTATTTGGGAGCAATTGGTTCCTTCCTTTCATCTCCTCAAAAAGATTCAGAAAATTCTGAATAAGCTGTAAATATGTATTGAATTGTATTAAAAGAAATATATTTATTAAATTTACAATTTAAAAGTTCATTGTCATCTTTTTCTTAGGTTGTTTGGCAGCAACTTTCTTTTCTGTCTTGGCAACAGCTGCTTGTTGTTGTTGTTTTGCAAAATCTTGAATATCCAGTAAAACTGATGAAGGTAAGAGTTGTGAAGTGATTAAGGATTTGAATTGTTCTGGAGCAACTTTGGTCAATCTGTCAAAACATTGAACTCCAAGAAGGAAGAGTTTGGAAAGGGCATTATTCTTGGCAAATTTAGTTACTTTCACTAACATTGGTACAATCATACTCAAATAGCTTTGAATACCTTGAGAAGGTGTATTCAATTCAGCCAAAAGTGAAAAACCAGCCAACAAAATATTGATTGCTGGAGGAGCAATCTTATCTGCACCATTAACAACAAGAAGTCTCGATTCTGATGAAAGACTCAGAACAATTTCTTCAGCAATCTTCATAGAATAGAAAACTGAAAGTTTTGCAAGACCGTTTCTAGCCAAGAATAGAATACCATTCTGAATACCATAAAGTAAGTTGAAAACATTGTCAACTGATTTGGCTTGTTTGATTTGATCAGTTCCGTGAAGAATTTCAATGTCAGAAGTAATTGCCTTACGAATAGCTGAGACAACATTTTCATGGATTGAAACATCAGAACATAGAGATGAAGAAAGGAAAATAAATAATAATTCAACTTCTGGATTGGTAATTAGCTTTCCAGAGGCAACTCTACCAATAATATTTTCAATAGAGGCACTGATTGCTACTTGCCAAATACTGAATTTCTCTTCAGCAGAGATGGATTGATCTTTGGATTCACTTTCATTTCTCAATTTTTCGCTTACCTCAATTATGGCTGTTGTGGTATCTAGACCCATGTTTGATTTGGTGAATTGAATGACTCTACAGGTTGTGTACAACAAAGTTGGGACTACAGCACCAGTAATTGACAAGCCAAAGACTTTAACAATTGTTTTCAAGGATTTCATACTATTAGCAATTAAAAGTTTTTGTTCCTTTTCCAATTCAAAAGATCCTAGTTCAAATTCACTGTCTTGTTTGAAGAGATATGGGAAATGAAGTCTCAATGGCTTTAAGCAAACTTCAGTACTGGTTGTCACAACTGCTTGAGCATTGACTTGATCACTTGAAACAAAGAGAGAAACATCTACACTACTCAAAATCTTTTCCAAAAGTTCAAGGCATGCATTATGAAGTTGGAAATGTCTGACTCCTTGAATTTCAATCAATAGCAAGAATACTTCGAAAACTGCTCCAGGAGCATGGTGATGTTTTTGGAATTGTTTGGTGGCCATTATTTCACCAATAGCTTTAATACACTTGATAGCCTTATCCACATTTCTCTTGTCAGTTCCATATAATCCAGAAATTGCAAGACCAATCAATAGAGAATCATTATAGTCAATATCTTCAGCTACAGCTTCAAGACCAGCCTTCTCCTTTGCAAGCGTAATACCATTCAAAACACTAGCATAAGCTTGCTTGTAGTAGTAGAGTACATTTCTTTCGGTACCTAAAGCAACATAGTAGAATCTGTTAAGATTTTCTTCAGCTTGTTCATAAATTGGAGAATATTGATCAGAACTTGATCTGACCAAGATGTTGTCATCCTCTTCGTCTGTTACCACAATTGTCAAGTTGGCAAAATCTTGCAATAAAGTATACCAACTAATAAATATATCCTTCATATTTGGTTTAAGGATTTCAATGAGTTCAGTGTTTTGAGTTTCTTGAGCAGCTACATAAATATCAGCAAGAGCAGCTAATACAGAAACCTTAATCATACAAGTAGTAACCTCACCGCCTGCATTAATAAATAACTTTTCATCAATAACATAATTTACAAGGTAGGAACACATTATGGAAAGTAATTTGTTTTGATTTCTAAGCATCTTAGAAGGAATGATTATTGATGAAAGTTGACATGCAACATATACTAGTAGAGGCGAGTTGATTTGTGTGATAGTTTCACAAACAGCTGTTGTAAATCTAAGTGAATGTTGTTGAAGTAAAACTTCACATGGACTAACTGGATCAAGTACTTCTCCAAAGACATTGTTAATATTAATCATTAACACAAGCCCAGCATGTTGAACTGAAATAGTTCCTTTGTTTGTTGCAATAGAACAAATATTGATTATTTTTTCCAAATGATTAACCAAACAATCCTTGTCAGTATTCTTTAGAGCAACAGCCGCATCAACATGATGTAACTCATCCTTGAGTGTTTCGATAAGTTGTTGTAAACACTTCATGGAGAATACCTTTGTTTGCCAACTGAAGGCAACAACTACTGATTTTCTTTCAACAGGAGTATCATCCTTTTCATCAGTATCACTCAACATTACACTTTGACTCTTTTCTGCTTCTGCTATCTTAGTTTCTGAAGAAACAACTGTAAAAATCAAATTGACCCAATCCTTTGGTGGTATTAATTTGCTTGAAATTAAAGATAAAACAATATTCTTAAAGTGATTTTCTTGGTTATTTCCAGAAACATAGCTATCATTTGAACTTTGCGAAAGTGATTGATAGGTGAGAGCTTGTGAAATACTAAAATCAATTGAATCAATGATTTGGAACAATTCTTCAGGTGAGAAGTATTTAGAAATAAGTTCTGGCCTTTGGTCACAAATAATCTTGATACATTGACCAATCTCGTTTTGTATGTTTTCTATGTACAATCTTTCCTTCTTTGTGGAGAGTACTTGCTTCAAATATTGAACAATCATTTCAAAATCAGAAATCATATATGGTGTAAAAATGATAGCTCTTTGCATCAGTCTAACAAATTCAATTAGTAATCCATCGGTAATATCCAATTCAGAGGTGGTTAAAGTGGCATTCATAATGTCAGTAATAAAGTATTGGAAAATCTTATCGAATGGAAGATTTCTGAGTTGCAAAAGCTCTGGGCCCAAACCAATCAATGCTCGCATAATTTTACAAACTCCAGTCATAATAGAGGTTGGAGAGTTTGGATTTTCAAAGAGAAGTAAGAACAAGTGTTGAATGATTGACTCAGTGTGAGGCACGAAGGCAACACCATTAGTCTCAATAGTCTGGTAAATTGATACGATTGAGCTCTTTTGAACGTCTTCTTCTATAATCTTTGAAAGAGCAAGCAAGAAGCTAACTGTTGATGGTAAGGAAGCTCTACTCTTAAGAGCACCAATGGCTCTATTGACTGAACCGAGAGCTAAAGCTAAACCAGATTTGAGGGCAATATTAGTAGTGAGGATCTTTTCCTGGCAACGCTTAACAAGGTCATTGAGTAAAATATCTCCTATAAGTTTACCAAATGAGTGCATACATTCGGCAGCAGCAGCTCTCACAAATGAATCTGAAAACCCTAAAGCAGCATTCAGAATGGAATGTACTTGGGTGAAAAATTTGTGTTTCCTGTTTTCTTCAATATTTGTCTCTAAATTTCTGAGAATGCAATAAACAGAAGCAACAACGTTACTGAAAATGCACAACCCAACATCGGCTGGTCCTGTTTCTTCATCAAGTCTACTTCTTAAAGGTGTTGATGATGGAGAGATGAAGTTATTGGCAAGAGCTGTTTTGATTTGTTGTACTAAATGTTCAATAATTTGGGTCTTGGAGTTTGGTTTGTGGTAAATAAATAATTTTCCTAACAATCTGATTGAGGAGTCAACTAATCTGACAGCCAGTGATGGTAATTTCAAATAAATACTTTCAGAATAGAATAAATTAGAAATATTATCAAATAAAACACAAGCTGCATCTAAACTATCAACTGATATTGAGGTTACTTTGCTTTCGATTGCTTCCAATTTGACTTTAAGATCAACCATTGAATCAACAAGAGAAGTTCTAACTGGTACTGAATCTGTTGATGTAGCATCAGCCTCAGCAAATGCCATCTTGGTAACAAAATTGATGACGTGTCTATGTTGAGGTAATTGCAACTTGCTGTCAACAGATGGTACATATGCAAGCATTACTTCTGGAAGTTTTCCAATCAAGTTAAATAAATTCATCTTGAGTAATCTTATTGAGTATAACCCTATTGAAGTAGTAGATTTAAAGTTGGTAGGTAAACTAGAGAGCAACTCAATGGTGGAGGAAATATATCCGAAAATCAAGTTCATCTTTTCTGGTGTGAGTAAAGGAGCACAATTAGTAATAAAAACTTGCAATGAAAGAAGGCAGCAAGCTCTAGATCTGAGTCTATATGTAATAATTTCCTCCTTAGTTGTATAAGTAATAGGTTCTTCATACTTTCCACTCATTGTTTCATTCCATAATTCGAGAATCTTCTCTAAATTATTCTTTACCCAGTAATCATTGAGAGAAAGAACTGAACAGATAAGTATCCAACAAGATTCTTGTCTCTTCATAGATACATAAATATCATCAATATCTCGATGAGCTGCTTTACCAAGCAGACATGCTGTATCTAAAACAGCAGAGCACAAACTATGAGAAATAGTCAAGCTATGTTTGGCAGATACAGTAATTAACGCAGCCAAGGCACATGAATGTCCATGTAACGAATTAGCATAATTTTTGATATTTTCATCCCTCTTGGAAGCTGTTGCTAATTCACCATGATCAATTTGTACCATGTTCATCAAAGCACTAATTAGACCTGTTGAGTGTGATGGTAAAGCTTCCATGAGTTGCTTAATTGTCAATGCTCCAACATATCTCACATTTTCAGATGGATATTTAAGACTACATAAAATAGCATCCAAAATAGAATCTCTTTGTTTAGAAACACATTCTCCTAAAACTCTACATAATTTTCCTATACAATATAGCACAGTTGTAAAACAACTCTCATTGGACAAAACTGTATGGCCAACAACTAATTGAACTAAATTTGATAGTAAAGAAAGTCTTCCTGCTTCTGTTAATCTATCAATAAGACCAATACTAATCATTTTAGTTACATAGGTTTGGGCATATTTCTTGTCATTGTTTGTAATGTTGTTTGAACTGATCGAGATGAGTCCTGTTAAATTTCTTACAATTGTATCCATATTGTTGATAATGACTTCCTCTGGGCATTTAGAGAAGAAATAAATGATACATGATGAAATAGCTGCTCTGAGCTCTTTTGTTTGTCCAATTCTTGTGAAAGGTGCTGTAGCAACCATGATGGCATACAGACAAGTGTATTCTTTAGAACGTTTGGCTGTACTTCTTGGAGTTGTTCCACCATCTTCATTACCTACGGAATCATAAACACCTGTGTCACTCATACATGATAGTAATAATTGTGCTGTGCTATGACTAAACACTTCTCTAACTTCTTCATCCGTTTCCTCCATAGCTTTCAAAGAAATATTAAGAGAAGTTTCAAAGATTTTTAGATTAACATCCGAAGGTCTCGCATAATTGATAGCAACAGCAAGCATAAGTTGCCCACAAGCTACTTTCACTTGTTTGTTTGTTTCTTGTGTTCCTTTCATAATTAATTTCAAGTATTCAGTCCACTCATTCTTCACTCTCTTTTTAGAGTTTGCTACAAACTTTGTACATAATAATAACATTGATTCTTTCATCGGATCATCCTATAATAATCATCAAATATTAAATCCAAATAACAATAAAGTTATAACAATGTTTAAATAATTAATCAAATAATAAAGTATAATAACAATAAATCTATAATCTAACAATTAAAAACAACTTACATTCAACTTCCACAATCGTGTAAAGAGGCCATTCATGATCAAATTAAATAAACTTGGAACAAGATGTGATTGTATCGAATAGGCCTCTCCGAGTATATCCAATAAACAGGAAATTTCGTTCAACTTTTGTGGATTTCTAGCAAGATTGGAGTGTTGTTCAAGTGATTGAATAATACGACTTGATCCGGATGGAATCAACGATGTTGGATTTATCCTATAAAATCTATTAAAACATCTACACAAAAGTCGTTTCGTGAGAGAAGGATTGCCAATATTTGTCAGAAAAGACACTGACTTTATCAATGTAACTTCAACATTCTTATCCAATTTATCATAACCAGTATTCTCCAAATAACCACACAAATCGGTGAATATCAGATAAATTTGTTGTTGTTGAGTACTATTTATCTTTTTGTTTTGTGAGGCAAGCGTACAAAACTGTGTTAGCTGAGAGAGACAGGCCTGCATTTTTTATGATTTGAAATTGTCGTTGGATAATTTCCCTCTTCTCTCACCACTTATCACAAACAACAAACATATCATAAAAAAATTATTAAAAAAATATCAAATAATGAAACCTTAATCCCGAATAATAATATTATTTCATTGTTTATGATGAAGACTTTGATTACATGACTGGTTTGTTGCAGAGACTGAAATCAAGAAATGAATATATTGCCAAGAAGTAGGAGGACTAAATTTAGTCATAATCATTCTTGCAATTTGTTTAATCAAATTTCCAACCAGAACTGAACATATTCTTGTAATTTCCTTCACTTTGAAAGATGCCAAAGGCCATATGATAAATACTATCAAGTATTTGAATTCTTTCTTTTCCAAAATCTGAGAATCTTCTTTTAAATTCATTCCATTCTAAATAATTAACCTTATTATTGATAGATTTCAATCCAATCTTGAACAGTAAATATCTTGCCAATTTCATCTCTCCAATAATTTTTGTAATTCTGCACGGAATATTTGCTCCTAACTTGTATTGGAATGTGTTTATGACCTCATCCACTTTTTTACGGTCTTCTTCAGTTATTTGAGCAAATCTTTTTTCAAATTTCTCATCATTGTCATTCAATTCTTTCAAGTAAGCTCCAAGCTCCTCAGTTGATTTGAAATCATTAATGTCAATAAAAAGGCTTGAAGGAAAACCCCAATCCTTAATATTTTGAGCTCCTCTATAAATGATTAATAACTTGGCACCATTTTGAAGAGCTTTCACACCCTCAAAGAATTTCTCTGTAACGTAATCCTTTGAAATGGAATTCTCAGCAGCAAAATAGAATTTGCAATTATTCTCCAATTCAAATTGTTTTCCATCAGGGCCTTCTTGAGCATTTCTTCCACAACGTCCATACTGTCTTATTGGAATAAACTTGGATAATGTGGTGAGAGTTTGATATCTTTCTTTTGCATAGGTTCCATCCTTGCAATTCGAAACAAAGGCACAAATTCCAGAATTTCCACTTCTTTTCTTTTTTCCAAAGAATGCACTCTTTGCCAACTCGATAGGATAATACAAATAATTTACCCAAACAGAGCAAGTTGACAAGTAACAAACGCTAATATCTGCAGTAGATTCAGAGAATCTCTTCATGGATTCAATATCTGAAACTGTTTGAGTGAGAGGTTGAATATTTTCATGAAGAACTGCCTCACTACACATAAAGATTGATAATCTTCTCATTCCTCTCCACATATTCTCACCATACAATTCATCAATTTTATGGGAACGAATCAAGCTTTGAGAACTTTCCAATTCTATAACTCTTTGAAATACTTCAATATTTCTCAATTCTTCCTCTTTTGTGCTGAGGAAGAATGGCTGAGAATATTCACACAACACTAAAACTGCATCCAAATTCAAACCTCTTTCTTTTGATACAATGTCAGCACTCTTATCTCCATATATTTTACTTGAATGTTGTCTAGTACATTTTGATGTATCAAAAGTTCTAAAATAGGAAAACATTGAATCACTTGTTGTCCAAGTATCTTGAAATCCTAACTTTGCCATGATTGGATCAGAAAATTTAGTATTTCCCAACATGTTATTTTCCAATTGTTTTCGGTACCATCCATAACTTCCTTCGCTGTCTTGATATGGATTTGTTAATTGTAGAGCAATTGCTGTGAAAACATCGTGTGAAGGAAGGAAAATATTAGAAAGGAACCAAATTATTAAAACAGTAAAAATTATTATTCCATAGATCAAATGTTTCTTATTTCCAGTGATCTTTTTTAATAACAATTTAAATTTGTTGGTTTTGGCTTGTTTCAAGTCATGGAAGGAATGATCAGTACTTGGTTCGTGTGGTCTGCTTCTTCTGGTGAGGTTAGGAATAACACCACGATCTTAGTGAGTAGGAAGGTAACATTTTTTCACAACCTTTCAACTCTCTTTTGAAGTGTGACGCTGATAAAAGTCAAGACCGACTATTAAAAAGGAAATCGAGTTTAAAGAGCAAAATTCAAAATTAAAATTGAGTGTTTAGTATTCAAAGCTTTGTACCAGGTTTTCTTCGTAAAGATCTTCCTCTTCTTCGAAACCATCAAACATTCTTCGAGAGTTAGATTCCTCAATGTATTCATCCATTCCCACATTTACTGTACAAACTCTGCTGGGTATTGATTGTGAGACACTACTACTCTTATTGACATATTCCTCATCTTCTTCAGTTAAGCTGGCTAACATTGTGTTTCTTTCAATAAAACTGTCATGCTTTGATCTTTTTGGCTCCATATGGTCTTCATCCAACAGCACAATATCATCATCTTCAAATAGTTGAGGATTATATCTCTTTTCTTCCTTAAATTTATAACTATTAATCGTCTTGATGCTCTTTCTTGGTGGGTATTGTAAGGAAAATTCTTCATTTGCAATTTCTTCTTCCAGCTCATTGGATCCTTCTTCCTCTTCAATTTCCTCGTCACTAAAGTCTGTTTTTCCAAACAAGTCACTATTTGTATCCTCTTCATCTTCGTCTTCGTTATCCATTCCTCTAAATAACGTGTTCTTAGATGGTGTTGATCTAGAATCTTGTAACTTTACAGAGGTCAAACTCTTTTCCAGATTTGAGATGTTGTCATATGATTTTTGAATTGACTTTTTAGAGAAAGCTTCTGGAGGAGGCTGATAAAGAGGAGAATCGTCCAATTCATCGCCAATATCTTCCTCTGAAATAATAATCATGTCATCATGAGAAGCAGAAGCTTGATAATGTTCTGGATGGTACTCTTCCTTTGGAGGTTTTTTTAAAATTCTTAATTCCTCTATTGAATAGTGTTGTGTGTCTTCTTCCAAAATATCGTCTTGTTCCTCTCTGTTTTCATACCTAGATATTTGAGAATCATTTGGGATATTGCTATGAGAAATTAATAGTACATGATTTTGTTGCTTATTGGAGCTTCCTAGTTTGGATTGAACTTGACTCTTGTTGTTTTGTTTTGCAGTTTTGGTAATTGGTTTGGCTCCTTGCATGACAAGAGCTTTGGAATTGGTTGGACTGGTGGTGTTTGGAGTTGTTATCATTCTTGGTAGAGCTGTTTGTGGTTTAGGTTCAGTTAGGAATGATGATTGGTCCAGTATCGATTCAGACATGTCAATATTGGTTGTGTTAGGTCTGTTTGAAGTTTTTGCCATTCTCCTTCCGAAGGCAATATGTGGTTTATCTTTTGATGTATTCAATGGTTTCTCAATGGCGAGTGGTTTCTTCTTCAGAGCTAACTTTTCTTCTTCTGTCAGATATGAAGATGCATCTATCATGCATACGTTATTATCTCCCATATGTGTAAATGCCAATTTCTTCGGTATGAGTGCCTCCGTGACAGGATTCTGTCTTAGGGAGTATATTTTCCTTAACGTACAAGCTGGTCCAATACTAATCCTATCCATGCAATAGTACTCTTCCTTATCATTGAATGACATGGATGTCAGTTCTTGTAAATCAAAACATAAATTCATCCACTCTCCACTTTTTACAACATCAGAAATTGGTATTTGCGTATGCAGTTGTGTCTTGGTAACAGTTTTAAAACTACTAGAGAAAATCAATCTCTTTTTGATTTGTTTTTTATCCCGAATATGTATTTCTATTTGAAAAACTGATCCGATACAACATTGTAGTACTAAATATCGATGCATAATTTGTAGTGTTGATGTTGTCGATTTCGGAAGCTCAATGTTCGTTGTATGAAAGGAACTTCCCTCAATACAAACAACAAACGATTTAACCTCTTTATCAAATTCTTTTTTTACCATCTTTGTATTCTTAATTGCAATATTAGCAAGAGCACTCGATCCCTGAGTTGACAGCAATTCAATACTATCACCCGAACTTGAGGCAAGATTTGTCGACATTTTTTATTCTTATTTTTAGATGACAAACAGCCTCAATAGCAAACCTAAAAAAAACCGTAAATTCGCTTGATTGCTTGCGATTTTGATCATCATAACCTTCATGAAAAAATATATTAGAAAGTAAATATGGGAAATGAGAACACTGGAAGTGAAAAAAGCAATAAGGCAATTTTAAATAATAATAATAAATAATATTTAATATTAATGAACAAGTTTTCCCTCCATCAAAAAAATGCCAGCAAAGAAAGTGAAGAGTAAAGACTCTACTACAACAACACAGCAACAACAGAGACATCCAAAACTAAGAAGAAGTCATCATCATCGAGTAGTAGTGCACCGAAAAAGTCTTCATCTTCGGGTAGTAGTGCTGCTACACCAAGTACTCCAACAATAGCATCGAATGTGAATACAACATCAAAATCATCATCAAAACAGGCATCAGCAACATCTTCTGTTGATTCTGTTCACAATTTATCATCATCTGTGGCTTCTCCTTCTCCCTCTGTAACAAAACCTAAAAAAACAAGTAAGAAAACAAAAACTTCTTCATCTATAACTTCAGGCAGTGCTAGTAATTCTTCTGTTGCTGCTACAAGTGCTCCGATCATTCCACAAGCCTCTATTCCTCCTTCCTCACAAATTGCAACCCCTGTAACTATAAATTATGCACAACAGGCAGTACCTCTGGCTTTTCCACCACAGTTTGCCAATAAGAATACCAATCCTACACCACCATCAAATGTGGAGGTTCCATACTCGGAGGAAATCAGTAAAATGTTGATGGTATTTTGTTATACGAGCAGAATTGAGCCAAATGGAAATAGAATTATTGAAAGATATACTAGAAATCATTTAATTCAATTAATTTCAACAGCTTGTGAACAGATACAAAAATCAGCCACACAAACAGATAGTTCAATAACTATTTCTCCAGATGACATTCTCTTCTTATTTAAAAATAATAGTCTAAAATTAGCTAGGATTGAAAATTTAATTAAAGTGAAGGAAATGAGGAAAAAGGATGAAGAAAGTACATCAGAATCTGATCCAAAGAAGAGAAAACTTACAGCAATCCCATTATTAAAGGAAAAAAAGATTAAATATGATCCAATTTTAGAGATTGGACATTTTTCTGATGATGAGGATTTGGAAAATGAAAAATCAAGCTACGATCCTTTTGCCACATACATGCACGAAAAACGAAAGGCTGCTGATTTTTTAACTAAATGTATGACAACAAATGAATATATGGAATTTACAAAGAATAGAGAGTCTGCAAACATGTTGACTAAGGGAACCAAAAAATTCAGACAATGGCTCGACGTGTCGAACGATATCAAGATGAACGACCTTGTTTTAGAAATATTAGCAATGGAAGCTTTCGAAACTATTGGAATACTCTGTCAAGTAGCTCTCATAGTAGCTATCGATAGTCAAAATAGAAGAATATCACCATTCGAGGATGCTCTTTTCAAGTATGCTGGCTTACTGTCCGAGAGAGCCAGAAGGATGTACTCTCAACATCCACAAGACCCGATAGACTTGGCCACTTCGAAACCAGTTCCAACTGTAAATAATAGTTTCCTTACTAATAATCACTTCCTTAGCGCAATCACCTTACTCCACCCACCAAGTTGCGGAAAACATTATAACCCTCTCAAATTTATTGTGAACATATAAACCCATATTCTTTTGAAGCGACATCAACTTTGAGGTATTTCAGTTTCTAAACAAGTTTTCAATGAAAAATTGCTTATTATACAAAAGAACTTAATCCTTAATGATGCTTAATGATGGAATTTACAGTAAAACAGAAATTTCTTTCCAAATATATAATAATAGAGTATTGAACCTCTAATGAGCAGATATATATTACATTTAATATTCTTAATAAATAGTTTCATTATTTGTAATTTCTATTTTTTGTAATATTTTTGGAATATCACAATTATCACCATCATTCAAATAACATTTACTTTTTAATGAATGAATATTATTTGATTGAGGTGTTGTATCAGAAACTCCACCTATTGTGGATGAAGAGGAGTGACGAATTGTAATCAAATTGTTTGATCAGATTTTAACTGAAAATCATAGTGAAAGTTCGTATGATTGTTGTAATAATGAGAGCGGTTACAATTGATCATCCACCAATGGATTGGAAGGAGGGTTTCACCGCAAATTTTGCTAACTCCTAAACTTTGAATGCACATATTTGGAGAGATTTTCAGCAAAAGAAAAAATGTTTACAAACGACTTACTGTTTGTTGCATTGTGTCTTGTTTTCGCTCTTTATGTTGGTCAATTTGTCCATGTGACTAATGGCCAAAATTGTTCAGCATCAAGTTTAGTTTCGAATTTCGCTATTGATCAAGCTGCCAATGTTCAATGTCAAATTGGCTACGCTCCAGACAAACTTTCATTACAATGTAGACCCTATGACACTGTATTCGATGAAAATTATGGTAAACTTTGTAATGTCTCAAGTGATTGTCAATTAAGTTTCGTTTGTAGTGAATTGTCAAAGATTTGCGTTCCTTCCAAAACCAGAAGATTAGGAGACGCATGTCTTGCAAGAGAAAGTTGTGTAGAGCCATTCAATTGTTTTAACGGAGTTTGTTCCATTGTAAAGGAAAGCAGTGATAGAAAATTTGGTGAAAAGTGCAATTTCATTGATTATGCCAATAATACAAAGCACTTATGTAATCCTACCTTTGCATGTCTAGCTGTTTCTTATCCAATTTATCACTGTTTTGAAAGAATAGAATCTGATATTGGTGGATTTTGTGGTCAGAACTCAACTTCTTTCCAAAGTGGTTCTTGTAAAGTGGGAATGTGCAATGCCATAACTGAACAATGTGTTCCATATCTTACCAATGCAACAGAAGGTCAAGGTTGTGAAATTATGACACCAAATTCGTATACCACATGTGGTTCAAATTACGAGTGCAGATTAGGAACGTGCTATTTGAAAGTAGATGCAGGACTCGATGAAACATGCTTATATTACAATTCTACTTCATATACATTCGGGGTCTGTAGGGAAAAGCTAACATGTTCAGGTGGAAAGTGTATTGGATTGACAATTTCACCACTTGGTGGATATTGTGGTCAAAACTCAACTGGAAGATATAACTGTGGCAATGGATACTGTTTCCTTGAAAAGTGTGTACCTTATGTGAGTTCTCTAATAGGAGGAAAGTGTGATGTAACTGATTCTGAAGGTTTTTTCACATGTAAGAATGATGGTACCTCACCATATTGTTTCAACAACATATGTAGGACAAGAGGAAAGTTGGGCGAAAGCTGTCAACACAAATCTGATTCCTGTACCTCTCAATTAATTTGTAGGTCCATTGGAGGAGCTCCAAAAACATGTGAAAATTATGCACAAAAGAATGAAAACTGCTCATCCACTTCTGATTGTGCTACTGGATTATTGTGCCTGTATTCAAAGTGCACTAATTTGAATGGAAAATCAGTGGGAGAGGCATGTTTCTCCAACTCTGAATGTGATTCTGGTTTGTGTTACAATAGCATTTGCTCACTGAATTACAATACCTCTTCATGCAGTACTGATTCTGATTGTAATATTTATGAAAATTCCAAGTGTTCCTGTGGTTCTGGAAGATCTTCATCAGATTCCACATTTGGAACTTGTGCTGGTTTGAAGAGATGCAATGTTTACCAACTCATTCTTGAAATCTGTCTTTCCAATTATGGAAGAGGAGCCTCTGTAACAACTATTTTTGACAGACACAGCTCCATTCACAAAGATTGTGCCAAAGAATTTTCTCAATATTATTCATGTTTGAGAATTGGAATTAGTGAAGCAGGTAATGTTCAATCTCTTTCAATTTCTGGTTTAGATGTCAACACTCAAGTTAAAGATCCTGCAGTTGTCAAGATTGCCCAATGTAATGCCTTTTTAAGTCACCATCTGTCTGTTTGCTCTGGATTTGGTGATTGCATTGCTGATGGTGTTTGTAAATGTTATCCAGGATATACTGGAACTTATTGTCAAACAATTTACACACCTCAAAAATCATCAATTATTCCACCAACAAATTCAATTGGTGGGGAAAACCGCACTGCCCTACTATCTGAAGGAAAGAAGAATACCTATTCAAACTTGTTGTGGATTGTCTTAATTTCATTGATTTTTATTCCACATTAAAAATATTCTACATCATCAAAAATTGTTTTCAGGAGTTCAATAATGTGATAGGTAATGAGGTCTTCAAAAAGCAACTGTCCAATCCGTAATAGAATATCTAAAGGTTGTATTCTACCTTGATGTCTAATAAATCATTTTGACGAGTAGTCTATTCTTGTCACAAAAATATTTACAACAAGAAATCAAAAAAAAAATGTTGATATTACTGATTAGAATTGCTTTGGTGGCACTAGTCTGTTTGTTATGTTTAAAATTCGGTATTGCTTCACCTTCATACTTGATCGCTCCATCAGTATTTATTATAGCTCTTGATTTGTTCTATCACGTTAATCAAGAAAGAGACGAAACAAGACATGATGAAGATGAAATAGAAAATGAATCAGTTGATGATGATAAACTTATTCAACAAGTTATTACACAAGAAGAATCTCATCAACCTGAAACTAATGTTGAAAATAGTTTAGACGCCAGTTTACCAACAGAAACTAGTGACCATCCATTGGAGGACTTTGAAGAGCCACCTGTCAATGTGTCAGATACAAATAATGAAGATATAAAAGGTAAAGAAGAAATTGTTTCGTCAATTTCGTTGTTGGATCTGCAAGATGAGCCTTTACAGATTGTTGAGCAAATAACAGTCACACCATTAAATCATGATGTTTCTTCTGAAGAAGAATCTAAAGAATTGCCATTCACCATTTCAAAGAAACTAAAAACTTCTATTGAATATTTAGAAGAGGAAGAACTTCAAAAGATTGAAGCCAATGCTGAACACTTTGAAAAAGTTGACATTCTTTTGAAAACTGATCTGAATTTCATTGAAAGAGCTGTAAATGTTAATTGTAATGTTTTAAAGTTGCTGAAGGAAGATGAACTTTTAACTGTTTTAGAAAGATATGAATACTTGTTTGCGCAACTTGACAACATATACCAGAAGAATGTAGAATTTGTAAAGAAAGTGCTGGAAAGAAATCGCCAAGTTTACTTGTACTTAACAGATGTTGATACTATTGCACTATTGTTAGAGGAAGAAATTATTTCTGGAAGATCTTTGGATGATTTTGTCATAAGCTCCAACTTGCTAAAACGTGTCATTCTCAAGTTGACAAAAGATCCAAAATTTTACATTGATCACAGAAATGAAATATTATCTCTACTGGGTGGTGATCCGTGGTTACATAGATGTTTTTTCCCATTCATTAGTGATGATAAGGAAATTGTCATTGAAGCAGTAAGGGAGGATGGTTTCAATTTACAATATGCTTCTGATCGATTGAGAGGTGACAGAGATGTTATTATAGTAGCACTAAGGAACAATCGTTTAGCAAGAAATTTCATAAGAAGGGATTTCTATGAAAAGTATGGAGAACCTTGCTTTTAATTGAAAACAAGAATAAATATAGCTAAATCAAACTCCCTTGAGATCCACTTTACACTAATCATAGAAATTGTGGAGCAAGTTAGTTCAGAAAGTAAGGAAGAGCTAACAAATCTGAAGCATTTGGTCGTTGATTTGCATCCTTTTGTAACATTTGTATCACAATTTCAATTAAATCATTCGAATATTCTCCATTAATTGATTCTTTCATTTGATTTGTTAGAATATTAACGGCACTTCCTGATTGATTTCCCAAGAGTAAATTACTTATCGAAGTTGAATAATCTCTTGTCATGATTTGGTAAATTGAAACACCCATTGAAAATATGTCAGTGTTAAATGAATAAGAACTTCCAAGAGCAATTTCAGGACTCATATCTTTACAATCTGGGTGTTAAATAGACCAATTATGTAAAAACTTACACAGTGGAGTTCCAACATAGGATTGACCTTTCATTTCTTGAAACTTTTTTGCCAATCCAAAATCTGCAATTACAATTTCAATTTTTTCTTTTGATAATTTCTTAATAAATATATTGGTTGGCTTAATATCTCTATAATTAACAAAAATATATCAAAAATTAAAGAATAATGTCTAACATACCTATGAATAATAGATAAAACATCATGAACATATTTCAGAGCACTCAAAGATTGTTTCAAAATTTGTTTCACAATTATTTCACTACAATTCTCTTTCAAAAATCTTGTCAAATCACCACATTCATAATAATCCATATCAATACAAAGTAAATTATCACTAGTAATAAAGTAATCATTCACTTTGATAATATTTGGATGATTGATATTACTCAATTGAGATGCTTCTTTCATAATACTATTTAAATCTGTGAATGATTCAAATTTAACAATTTTAACAGCTTTGATTTGATTTCCTTTCTTGGAATCGTTGGCTTTGAATACACTTCCAAATGCTCCTTGACCAATTCTTGTTATATTACTATATCTGGAAAACGTATCTTCGGTATCAGAAGTAACTGAACCCATCGATGATGAAATAATTCTTGATGATTCTGTTGGGAAATCTGATAATTCAATAATTTCAGTATCTATTTTTGCAATTTCAACATTCTTATTCTTCTTTCTCTTTAACGATAACATGACTATTACAATAATAATTATTACAATAATTGTAATAATCAATAAAGTACCAACAATTGGTACTACAATAGAAATAATGAGAACAGTGGATGTGTCAACCGATGACGCCTTCTTAATTTGACAAAATTCTCCTTCAAAACCCTCATTACATTTACAAGTATTGGTTTGGACACATTGTCCATTTCCATTACAAACATTTGAATTTGAAGAGAGAGTTCCATTACATTGTATAGGTTGACAATTACTTCCATAAAACCCTTCCAAACATACACAGGTATTATTCCATGAATTAAATGCTGAATTCTCACCACAAACTGGATAAATTTTTCGAATAAGTTTTCTGTTGTCAAACAAGAAAATTGAACCATCACTTTCCTCATATTCAACACTTGTTAAGAAGGAAACGAATGAAGTATACGTTCCTTTACCATCTCCATTGAATTTTGGATTTTCAAGTCTAACACCAGCAATATCCACAAGTAAACCTGTTTCTTTCTCATACATTCTAACAAGAGTACTGTCCAAAATAATGATATCACCATTTCTTTTTTGTTTCATAGCATAAATTTTTTCAAGCAAAGAGATACCAGCAGGCAGATTATTACCTGAATATCCACTATCTGAAGTTCCTGCAATTGTTCGCAAATACAATTCATTTTCAGACATTATCTCAATTTTTTTAACACTAGTCGCAGTAGAGAAATAGATAGAACTTCCTTGAATTATAATATTGGTTATTGTACCAGGTTTTGTTTGATTAGTAATAGGTCCATCAGGTGAATCATTTCCGAATGTGAATTGGGCAACTCTTGTAATCATTTGAGTTGATATTTCATACTTCGCAATGATAAAGAGAGTTGCTATAAATAAATCACCATTTGTTTCATTGACAGCTAGATAGGTATTACTTAATGGGAGAGTTGTATCAAGTCCCTTAACATTAAAAGTGAGAGTACCACATCCTTTTCCAATAATTCTTTCGAATTTCATTGTCTCTGGATCTATCCTTAATACTCTACACGCCTCCTTAACATAGATTTTCCTATCAAAATTTGAAAATATCATAGAAGAAGCAACGTAACCTAAAGAGAGGAAATTAGGTTCATAAATATACGTATAAGGTACCATTATAGTACTTGGGCTCAATGGGGTAGTAATACCTGTTTTTTCATCATATTTCTTCAATGATTTCGTATCTATAAAGTAAATTACCTTATTTAGCGGATCTCTTGCAAATGATGAAGCTATTTGAATTCCAACACTTGGATTTAATCCAGCAATAGTTGAAATATTACCATTGGAAACTTGTGAAATGTAATTTGTACCTGTGAGCAATATTTTGGTTGGTTCATAACAATCGACTCTCTGAATTTGTCTGTAAAATACACATTTCACTATGTTTGAAGAATTTGTAAAATACTTACAATGCCGACTCCATTACTGGAATATCTTCTCCACTATAACCAACAACTTCGAATGACGCATTGGAAATATTAATGCTATCCAAACCTGCAATTCTATTCAATGAAAAATTCTCAATATTCAATTCGAATAATTTTGATGTCATTCCAATATAGAATTTACCTTCATAACAAGAAAAAAAAGTATAACCAGGTAAATCTCGACTGTACAATTGAAAAGATTGATTACTATAATGAATAATTTCATAAAATGTTATTTGACCGTAGTATCCAAAGATAGAAGTACTGTTTGGATATCTATAATTGGGAATAACACAAAATCCATAACTTGAAAAATATGATTTAAAAGGTATAATCGTTTGTTGATAAATCATGTTTTTGTAATAATGAAAATAACCATTAACATCTAATATATAAATTGATGAATTAGCAAGAGAATTTCCAATTACAGAAATGGCTTCTCCATAATCTGATAATTGTGAAAAATTTCCATTTTCCATATTTAAATAGTACAGGCCTAAATTTGGACTAAGTTGTGATAAAATCAATAATTCACCGCTCTCAAGACAATGTAGTTCCCTTATTTGTTGTAAATAAATTCTTTGAGGAATATTTGAATAAGTTAAAAGTCTGTCACTTCCAAATACAGTAGTCATTTTTCCATTGGAAACTTTTCTAATAATATTTAATTTTTCAACAAAATAAAATTCATTCTTGTACATAAAAGGATAATTAACATTGCCAGTTTCATACATTTTCAAAGGTGAAATATTTTCACCATACGGATGATTAACTATTCCACCAGATAGAGTTGAAACCATTCTATTTTGTAAATTAATCATTCTAAGACAATTATTCGACTTGTCAGCAATAATAATTGAATTCTGATACAGTAATAATGAAGATGGTTCATAAAATTTAATATTCAATGAAGAATATTCTTCCAAATCACCTGAATATCCACTGCTGAATGAAGAACTTCCAATAAAGAGCTTAGTTTCACTTGATTTTGATAATTTCATTTGTAGAAAGTTGTTAGTTTGTGAGGAGGTGTAAATTTCTCCTTGTTCTGTAACAAATATTCCAAATCTTGACAAATTTAGTACTATTTCATAAAAAAGACTTACAAATTAGATTGAGGTGAATTTTGATCAACTATTCTAAACTTTCCATTTTCATCAACTGATCTCACTCTATCAGCATCAGTAAAATAAACAATTTCATTCTTTCCATTCGAAACAACGTATAAACTCTTTGGTGAATTCAAAATCAATGAAGTTCCGTCCGCTCCGTCAATTTCCTGTTGAATTCCACTCAAATATCCACCACCTGCAATGATTGAAAGTTTCTGTGTGGAAATTTCATACTTTTTAATGAGATTATTTCCAGTATCTGCAATGTAAATATTTCCGTTCTTTGTTACAAACACTCCTTGTGGTTTGTTGAATGAATATTGAAGAGAAGAAACTAATTTAGTTGAATTCGAAACCATTCGAATCTTGTCATTTAAAGTATCTGCAATATACAAGTCACCATTTAATGGATTTTGAGAAATTGAAGTTGGTGTATTAAATAGAGTTTTTAAATTTGAATAACCATCACCATTAAATCCACTCAACCCAAATCCTGCATAAATTTCAACAATTGACATGTCGACTATTCTAAAAATCAAATGCCTTCCAACATCTGACACAAAAATATCATTGTTCAAACCAAGGCATAACCCTGTTGGTAATTGCATGTATGCATCCCGAATAGCAACTTTATCATAATTATTATTCACACCAGCCAATGTTTGAGTTTGAAAATATTCAACTTTTGACAGACCATGGCAGCAGGAAGAAATTAATAAACATGTAAAAAAGATAAGAATCTCCTTGGTTGGCAGAGGTACCATGAATGTGTGTTGCGATGTTTTTTTGCGGTGTTATCTATCCACAACCTCCATTCCGGTCATGACCAATATTTACAAATTCAAAAAAAAATTTGATGGAAATAATATGATTGGTTGGTTTGGTCCGGTACTGTGAGAACATGAAATAACTGATCAACTTCCATTACATAGGTTTTTGCTCATTCATTAGTTAAAAATCCACGAGTTCCTCTTTCAACTGTAAATTTCATTCTCTGTGAGCAACTTGCTTTCTTGTTATTGTTGTTCTTGAACGAAAATTCTCACAAATTTCTCGAGCTTTTTTCGGTGGCAAGCCTTTTCATATTTAAACTGTTCTCCATCCCAACACAAGGTTCATCAAAATACATTTTTTTTAAATCTCATTTCCTAACTTGAATCAAGTTGACTGGATTTTACAATAAAAAATAATGATACCAAACAATCATCATACCCCAACAACAACAGTGAACAAAGATATCTCCTCCTCCGAGCAAGGACTTTATAGTCTTGGACCTAAAACACGATTAAAAGGTTTTCATAAATCACACTATTCTCCACAATTGTCAACCAGCAGCAAGCCTTCAATTATTCTTCCATCATCATCATCATCATCAGTGCTTATTAATTATGATCCACATGATCGGGGAGAAGGCTCATCATCATCAGCACATAATATTACGAATACGAGTAGTAATACTACTCATTCATTGATTAATAATAATAATAATTTAATTTTGGGAGATTGTGATGGAGAGGATCAACAGTGTTCAACATTATCAAATCAATCAACAATGATTTCCTCTTCGTTTGGAACTTCGTTTCTACTCTCTAATGATTTGTTGAATAGAGTGGATGGATCAAACCGTTCCATTTACGAAATATCGAATCAATCGAGATATAATCCAAGGAATGTGGAAGATTTTGGGAAGAGTAAGATCTTGTTTCATAGAGCTTGTAAGGAGGGTTCTTTGAGGAAAGTTATTAGAATGTTGGATGACGATAATGGTTTGATAAATTCCAGATATGAGAATGTCACTCCACTCTATGCATGTATTGAGGAGAATAGTTATGAGGTATTCAAAGAATTATTAGATAGAAAGGCAATTATTACAGAAGGATTTCTCGAAAAAGTCATTGAACGAAATGGAGAATCATGCACAAAGATTAGCTGTTTGTATTTGGCTATTCATTTGGGAAAATACACAATAGTGGAGGATTTAATGAGGAAAGCCAACTTTATGGATATCAATATTGGGAAAGTGGTCAAGAATAGACAATCTACTAAATTTAAGGAAACTCCATTGTTTTTGGCTGTTCGATTAGGAGATATCAAAATGATCAAGACACTTTTGAGCGACACTCGATTTTGGCCCCATTTCAATCTTGTACATAGTATGGTTTCAAAAAATTATGGAGACAGTATTTCCAATACTATATTTCAAGCACTGTTTAGTATTGAGGGAAGGACATTTTTGGAAAGGGAGAGAAGGTCAAGAGATTGCTTTTTGGAAATTAAGAAAATGTACAACTCTATTGACCCACCAATTGCTTCGATTCAAGAAATTACCTCTGACATTAAGCCATTTTCTCTTTTGCATTTCAGTAGATGCTCCTATAGTGGAACGTCACTAAAAACCATCCACAGCCCTCTTTATTTGGCCATTATGAATGAAAATGATTACTTGACAAGAGAACTTGTGAGCTGCGTTCCAAACAAGCACTTTGGTGAATTTGTTTCCAAGTCGAATGAAACCGAATCTTGCCTGTATTTGGCAATCTACAAACGAAGTATACATGTAATTATATATTTATTAAGAATTAATGCAGATACATTGGAAGATGTAGACAAGTTGCGAGAGTTTGCCAGTGGAGAAGGTATTCATCTTGACCATTACATCAAAGTAGCAAGATACTTTACTAATCGAATGTATAATCTAGCTAAGGGGATTGTAGATCATTACTCTGATTTAGAAATAATTACTCAACAATAAGAAATCACATTATTTATTTAATTTTACCTTATTCACTTCAATTTCAAAGTTAAGAGCTCTTCCGCATCCATTACATTCATCTTCAACAATCAATATGTAAGCTTTATTAGCTTTGTCCTCATATAATAGCCAAGCATTCTGATTATAACACTCGTCACTACAATAAATCATTTCGTCTGGAAAAATCCAATCTTCTCCACATTTGCAACTCAACTCACCACAATCATCACAAGTGATTCTGAAAGAAGTTGCAACTGAACAAATTTTATCACAACCAGAACATTTAGGTTTCATTTTCTTATTTTTTTAGAATAAAGTTGGTGAGAATGATGAAAAGTTTGAATTGTGCTTGACAAATTAAGCACTTAAAGTGCTATAAGACCCTTTGTAAAATTAAATAAGCAATAACTGAAAATGATAAATAGTTTATAATAAATCAAGAATTTCATCTAAACCCTTAACAACTCTATCGTAATCATCTTCAAAGCCAACAGCCAATCTAATGAGAGTATTTCCATCCTTTTCTGTAGGCCATGGATCAGTTCTTGATAATTTACTTCCAAATGAAGTCTTGTGTTCAATAATTTTGACACGAGTCAAGACATCTAGAATTTGTGATTTGGTTCCCTTAACTTTGAATGTGAAAACACTTGGCACTAAAACTTCATCATCAACTTTAGAGAAATACTTGGCAACTAAAGCATGAGTTGGATGAGTGGAAATAATAGGATGATTAATTTGCAATACCTTTGGATGTTTGCTCAAGTGTTCTGTGATTATTTTCTTAGTCAACTTGGAAGAGCTTTGAATTCTTGTATCGATATCTGACAAGTGTTGATGAACTAATTCACAATGGAGAGGAGAAACGTGATTTCCATTTACAATCATCCATTCTGAAATATTCTTCATTGAATTCTTTGATCTAGCCAAAACATATCCTCCAATACAAGTTCCAGCACTGTAATACTTTGTCATTGATGAAACAACATAATCAACTTGTTTCACACTAAAAGGATTGAAAATAGTTTCTGTCAACCAAGTATTATCCACAATTGTTGTCAATGACTTGGAAAGAGAACCCAATTTCTGAAGAATTGTAAAGTCAAATATTTTACCATTTGGATTAGAACATGCCTCAATAAACAAGACATTCACTTGCTTTAGTAACTTTTCTTGAAATAAGGCAACAATCTTTTGTGGATAGGCCACGTCAACACTCACCAAATTAACATTTGTATAATTCTTAGCTAACCAATTGAATAACCTAGGAGAATCACAATATAATTCATTGGAATAAATTAAATTGATTGGACCAAATTTGTTTTGCATCATAATACCATGAAGTGTGGCACTAATCGACTGCATACCTGAGGCTGCAAGTTGGCAAGCCTTTGCATGAGGATCATGTCTTTTCATCAATAATTCTTGAAGTTGAATATTATCGGGTGAGGATGATCGATTGTAGAAGAATTTCCCTTCCGATACTTCTCCGAGTACTAAATGTTCATCTTCAAATCGTTGATTCATGGCAACAGGTGTTGTGAGAGGTCTGCTTTGCATTTTGTTTTGGTTATTATTTGGTGATGTGAGTGCAGCTAAATTATTTTTAAATGTTTACAATATTTCTCAAGTTTGAAATTGAAAGGATAAATGAGAAGAATAAAGGTTGAATATGAAGGATCATGATTGAGGATAATAAATAATTTAATTTTACATCATTGAAACGTCTCCATCAGCATCAGTTTGTAAGGTTTTGGAAATGTAGGATGCTAGGGAAAGTAACTGTAAAAATTCATCAGCTCCATCAATTAAACACTTATCACATTCGGATATTTTCAATAGAATCTTACTTCTTTGAATATCATCCATTTTAACACAACAAGCTTCGCTCAATAAATATCGTCCAAGTTGGGTAATTATTTGATAGGCAGCAAAACCTTGCTTGATAATCTTATTCACACCACTACGTATCACACCTAGGTCAGTTTGTTGGGAAAGGGTTAAAATTTCTTCTATGATTTCATCTGGAACTAGACCAGAAATTTCAGCTATATGATTTTGTGAAATAGCATTACCAAACATTCTAGAGGCACTTTGTAATGTTGTGATGGCCTTTCTCAAATCTCCTTCAGAGTGACCTACAATAGTATCCAAAACTTTTTCATCTTTAAGTGTTATTCCCTCCTGATTAGCAATATATTGTAATCTTTCTTTAAGTAATGAATACTCGAGTGGTTTAAATCTGAATTTAGCACATCTTGATGTGATTGGATCAATAATACGACTCACATAGTTACAAATTAAACAGAATCTGGTGACATTAGAATAGGTTTCCATAGTTCTACGCAATGCAGATTGAGCATCTACAGTCATTGAGTCAGCTTCATCAAGAATAATAATTTTAAAAGGAGGACATGGATACTTTCCCTTTCCTGTTGGATTTTCACTCACAGCTGTTTGAGCAAATGTTTTAACTTTAGTTCTAATAACATTGATACCTCTTTCATCACTCGCATTCAATTCCAATACTCTAGTTTTATATAATTCTGGTCCAAATAATTGTTTAGCAATAGCAGTTGCTGTACTTGTTTTACCATTACCAGGAGGTCCCTAAAATTTCATCCATTGTTAAATTTTGTTGATGATGAACATCTCCTGATACACTATTTACTTACATAGAAAAGCAAGTGAGGAAGATTGCCCACCTCCAAACTCTTCTTCAGAGCACTAACAACCTCTTCTTGGTGCACAACATCATCCACAGTCTTTGGACGGCTGAATTAATTTAAATTCCAATTTTTGTCGGAATCAATGATCATCACCACAATAAATATTTATCATCAAAAACCAACAACACAATATTCACCAACAACACAATCATCATTATCATTTTAGAATCACAATAAGCACTCTCATCACACTAAAAAAAACACTGCTACATACTACTTTTCAGTCCATGGTTGTTGTGATTTTTGATTCATTTTTTTTAAATTTTTGGCGGCAAAACAATTAAACGGAAATTGCTTTTTATCACCCGCAAAAAATGAAAAGACATTCAAATGGCAATTCTGTTGGTTCTTCTACAACAGCAGAAGCCGAGGATAGCAGCATCATGATGCTTCGGGTTGATAATGATAATGATGGAGAATCAATCAACAACACTGATGATCACTCTCATGGAGGACCAAAGTTGAAAAAGGTCAAATTGAATCGTGATGATTCTTTTGCAAATTTGAGTGTAAATATTATTGGTCGTATTATGGAGTATTATTCGTATTTTATGGAACATACATTTATTTTGAGAGATGCCAATAGTAGATTACTGTTAGATATTTATGCAATCAAAAAATTGAACGATCAAAGACATGTCTTTCTTCTATTTCCAAGTATTGAATTGGAAATTTATGAATTTAGTTTTAATTTTGATTATTCATTTCCTATGGATGTCAAACATCTAAAATTAATTGACAGAAGGCCATTATCACAGATAGAACACAAACCACAGGCTGCACTTTATCCAATTCACAAAATGCAACACTTGGAGACATTAGAAATATTTAGTAATATTCTACATGAAGGATTTATTCCTACCCTATCAACAGCCAAACATTTAAAATCCCTTTCACTTAAAAGTGTGTGTGAAATAACTTTGGATGGTCTCAGAACCATCTTGAAATCATGCCCTTCTCTACAGTGTCTTAGATTGGGAAACAAGGGTTTCGAGCTTGTAGATGACCATTTTTGCGAGGATATTATTGAACATCCAAATTTAAAGGAGTTACACTTGCCTTACCATAATATTTCAAGCAAGGGACTGGAGGATTTGATCAGTAATAGCAAAATTCACATACTTAACTTATCTGAAAATCAAGAAATTGAGGAAGCCGACATGTCCTGTCTTTCAAAGAGTGACAAGTTGACAGATTTGAATCTTTCTTACAACAAACTAGGAGGAAAACAGATTAAGCAAATAGCCAAACATGGCAAGAGTGTAAAATATTTAAATTTATCAACTTTGAAAACAGAAATCAATCCTAAATATATTGGAAAATTATTACAGATGAATTTAGTTAATCTTTCGATTAGACATTTAAAACCAGTAATAATAGACTCGGCGATATTTGATATCAAGAGTAATTTATCCAAGTTGGACATTTCTTTAACATGCGGAGACGAAAATACATCAGGAGATGATATTGCTATCAAAATTTCACAGAATTTCAGCAACTTGAATTTTTTATCCATGAGAAGATGTTATCTGTCAGATAAATCAGCAATGGAGCTTGTTAAGATGCCATCTCTAAAACACCTAAATCTAAGCTTTAACAAGATTACAGATGATACTATCAGACAATTCGTTAATCTAAACTCCTCTATTGAGACTTTCTATATCAATAATAACAGTCAATTAACAGCTAGTGGCTATAAATTGTTGGCTTACCATCCTAATTTGAGCTGTCTCAGAATATCTGGAAAAATTGGAAATGACAGTATTATTCACTTACTGACTAATTCACATCAACTCAAGTTTTTACAAATTGAAGACTACAAAAGACTTTCCAATTTACCTTTCGAATTTTTGGAAAAGTGTCCTACTTTGGAACAATTATATATTTCAGGATGTTATGTATCAGATGAAGCTGCAGCCAATATTGCCATGAGCAGTGTTTATGATTTAGCAATAATTAATCCAAAACGAGGATATATTTCAAATTCTCTTCTCAAAATTCTTGCACAATCCAAAACTCTTCAAACAATTAGGTTAGCCTACGATAACGTACATGAATTGACAGAGGGCGTGAAAGATCTCAAATGTGGTGGAAAACAAGTTGTTTGGCAATAAATATATTTATTTCTTCTTTTCTGACTTTTCCTCAGAACCAGGAACAAGCTTGTAGGTATGGAGCTTGTCAAAAACGAGAGCAACTCTCTTTTTCAACCTTGTTGTATCTGTTATCATTTCAATTTCTTGTTGAAGAGTTTTATCCTTAGGGTTCTTGGTTAAAACAGTGCTCAGCAATTGACCTAATCCGAAATCAACTAACTCTTCCCAACCTGGTGATTCATCGTGCACATCAGAAACCCAGTGATTTTGTAAAACTTCCATTTCTTTGTCTTCCAAAGAAAGATTCAACTTCATTAATAAATGCATTAATAAAGTTGCACAAGAAAGGTTTTGAGAAAGTTCTTTCAGATTGGTTTGAGTCTTTTCAATCTTCTTTGTTAGAGTCAGAATGTCATCATAAGTCTTTTCAAACAAAATGTCCAAGCTATTGATTGAGGTTGGATTCTTATCCTTGTATCTGACCATTAAACGCCTTTGTATTGTTCTGAATTGAGCTGCCAGTTTGTCCAATTGCTCGTAATAAATTTGCAAACCAAGACGGTTCTTAAAGTGTTCGTCTATAATATCAAAGTATGGGTAGAATGGAAGATTTTCTGTACTTTCAATCTTAATTGGAGATTTATCATCTGACTGCAGGGCAACATTACAGGCCTTCAATCTTCTTGTTGTTTCTTTGGCGAGTAAATACATAGTTTCAAAATTGGCAGATTGAATTCTATATCTTCCTGCATTCTTTGATACTAAGAGAGTTGCATCTTTTCCATTAGCATATTGGAATGTTAAGATGTTTTCACTCACTAAATTTTCAGTTTCAGTATCTCCCTGTGGTATCAAATCTTCAAACAATGTAGCAATTGGTATTGGGGATTTGTTAGTTTCTAAAGTGATTTTGTGAGTTGTAACTTTCTTAGCAGGAACAATATCTCCACACAATCCGAAAGGAAGCAAAAAGCTGCAGTTAGATACACGAGGCTGACCTGTTAAAGGATCATGGTAAATTGCACTAACAGAAGCCTCAAGAGTCTTTGGAGTGCATTCATTACCACCAAATACAGTTATTGGGAGAACATATGGTGTTCTTTGAGACCCAGCATCTTGAAAGAGTAAGTTGCCTAATAATTTGAAAATACTTACTAAGGACACTAATGTAAGTGGTTGGTGCTATCACATAAAATGGTTTTTCCACACTCATATTAATTGTAATATTTTCTAATTGGCATTCATCACCTGTAAAACCTATGTACAACTTGATGGTCACTCTCTTATTTTCAGTTCCAGTACTGAATGACTCAGGGTCAACACTAGTTGGTATTTGAGCTCTTATTACTAAACTTTCATTTGCTTCATCCTTTTGATTTCTCTTTGTTTTTCTTATGATTTGTTGAAGACGCTTGGTTTCTTCTTCCAAACGCTCATAATCAATATCTTTGTTTTCAAGAGTTGGAACAGAGTTCGAAATGGCTCCAGTACCAAGATAATTTAAAGCAAGGTTTCCTTCTTCATCCAAAGAAACAACCATACCCTTGATTCCATTAAAATTAGCAACTCTAATACTCACAGGGGAAGAATTGCACCCAGCTGCCCAAGCAAGCTTAGGATCAGAATAGATCATTATTGTCTTGTTGTGAGTTCCCAAAATCAAATTTTGTCTTTCAGCTTTGGATATAATTTAGATTTAATACCTATATGGTCAGTACTTACTAGGATCTGAGCTTGGTTTGTAGAGATCTACTGCACTAGGGAAATAGTCAAATCTCATTTGTGTCATTAATTCTCCATTTTCCTTGATACTGAATAATGTTCGTTCTCCTATAACTAGAATTTCAGATTGACCTGCTGATAAATATTGACTATATCTTCCAACAAGAATGTCATAGACTTCTTCTCCAACATTTACAGTCCAATTTGCTTTTACCTTTTTTCCGTTTGTATTTTCTTTTTGATTCGATCCGGATGAGGCTGCCAACATTTGATATCTTTCAACATTAGACCAATAATAAAACAGCCCTACTTACTTGTAAGCTTCAACTTCCATCGATGAATTAAATGTAACAAAACTGTCCATAGATTTGCTGTATGTTAATGGTCCAGGAACTAAACTTGTTGACAAGAATCTTTGGAAAGTAAAGTGGTCTTGCTCAAAGAATGATAATTGGCCATCAAAAGATTGAATACAAATATAATCCTTTCCGAAAGCACCTCCAAAAGGGCCATAACAAAAGTTGTAAGATAATCTTTGAAGAGCATGTTCATAATACAAATGAAGTGTATAACCTTCCATAGAATTTGGATCTTGATCATTGCTTGAAACAAAAGACTCGGAGGCTTGTTTTACAATAGTATACACTGCAAACTTTTTAGGCATCAAAACACCAAGAGCATTATCCCTTGAATTACTAGAATAAAATTCAAAGCTCAATCCTTGCCTCAACAACTCACAAAAACTTACGGAATAAATTTACCAATTTCAACTTGCAAAATTGGTGCTTCTAATTGTTTTTCCAACAATAAATCAGTTGGATAAAAAGTGTTTTTCTGAGGTTTATAAATTCTGAGCATTCCAGATAAACTTCCTACAACAATTTTATCCAAATAATTATCTTGACTAGAATTTGGGGGTCTCTCATTGTCTACATTTCCTATACAAAGAGAACCCTTATCAAATTCTTCATTCACTCCGCATTTAGTCGACCACCATTCTCGAAGTTTAAAAAGGGACATTTTTTTGTACTTGTATTGAGATTGTATATTTGAAAAAATTGGCGGGAAATTTTGTCTTTATGCCTCAAACCAACCTTTTGAAAAGCTTGAAATTTTCATCATCCACAAAATTAATTACAATTCAATCATGTATTCATCATTGCAATTCTTCAATTATATGATAATGATAATTTATTGTACAATAGTCACAAAATTTAGTGGGTTTCCTCAGTTTGAGCAGTGGCAGCGCCAGGTTGTGTGGTTGGTTGTTGTGGTTCGACATATTCTTCGAATTGGTGAGGTTCGAATGTCTTGACATAGGTAGTACGGATGAGTGGGTAAGGTAAAATTTCTTCAAAGAAACTGATATCCAAATGTTTGGATGTCTTGACAGTTCTATCAAGGAAAATGCAACAAGTATCGTATTGCTTTTCATAACCCTTAGTACCATTCATGTGGAGAAGAATCATGGCAGCAAACTCGGCGAATCTCTTGTAATCCTTTTCAAGTTCAGCAATCTTATTGGACTTGACACTGTGAACAGCTTGAATCAATCTGTGGAATGCAGTAATTGACAAGTGGGTATTGTTATACCAACCTTCAAGATTGACATCATAGACGCTGTCCTTTTCTTTCCAAGTGGTATTGAGAATAGTGAGAGCAGCAAAGGCCAATGGTAAGACTTCCCAAACTTGAGATCTATCAACGAGTGGAGACAACTTCAATCTGAGAGGGTGATCAACATCAGAGAAACCACAATCAGTAGCCAAAGCGTCAATTGGAAGGAACTTGCCATCACCATAATAATTTCTGGAATATTGTTCGTAAGCACTGTCAATGACATCATAAATAGCTGGGGCATTTCTTCTAACTGAAGATTGAAGAGCAGATTGTAAACATTGTCTGAATTCCAAAATACCACCAAGTTGAATGAGGAGTGGCATGAGTGTTTCGAGAGGAACAAGAGTTTGTCTGACCTTCTTATCCAAAACAAACTTTTCATCATAGAGTTTGCTTTCAATATCCTTGAGGGCATTGTTGGCTTGGGACAAAACTTCTCTGATCTTTTCACTTCTTACATAAATTTCATCCAACAAGGATTGATTCAAAGCTCTGAAACCATACGGACCAGTCAAGGTGATGAATGCCTTCAATTCATTGTAATCCAAGTAATTTTCAACATTGTAACTTTGAATTGGAGTATTGGCAGTTGAGATGAAGGTTTGTCTGTTTGGATGGAAGAGAGTCTTATACTTTTGTGGATCTGAAACCAAATCAGTGAACCATTGTGAGTAGATTGAAATCAAGTTGGCTGGTTCTGTTGTTTGAACAACACCGAATGGTGAATCAACATAATTCAAATGCACAAAGTTATCCAAGAATGAGTTCAGAACCAATTCTTCAGTATTGATATTGACACATTGTTCAATAATCTTTAAGGATGACATGAAAGAGTGTAATTCACTCAACAATTCTGATGGAGAAATGAACTTTGGAGTAAGAGCGTCATTCTTCATTTCCTTAGCTGTCAAATCAATAGTAGTGGCAATTCTCTTGATATACTCGGCAATGTATTCTTCGAGAACAGTTCTTAAGTATTCAACAGGGTAGAAAACATTGTCATACACAACGATTTCGTCGTATCTAGATAATGAGTACAACAATTGAGTGACATTTCTTTCCAAATCACGCATATCATTGATAGAATTATTTTCAAAGTGACTTTCGACACCTGGAACTGCTGGTTCTTCGATATATTGCTTGTTCTTACCATATCTACGGAGGATAGTTTGGGCAGCAACATCACCACCGATTTGATGAGTTAACATTCTGTAACCATGAGAACTGTTCAACAAATCAAGACCCTTTCTAATTCTGTCGACTAATTGTCCGAGCATTTGTTCAGCAAATTGAACTGATTGTTGACCAATTCTGTTTCTGAGGGATGGATTAAGTTGAGGGTGAATATTATCAGCATATGTGTTAAGAATTCTGATAAAAGCAGTCGAATACAAAGGTTGACTCTTTGAACCAATAAGACCTTCAGAGAAAATCTTATCAACATCAGCTCTGTAGAAGTACAATTGCTTGAGGGATCCCTTTTCGACCAATTCATCATATAAACCATCGACGTGCTTTGAGAATACAACAATCTTGGTCATGGTATTAAACAAGAGTGTCATTTCAGGCAATGTTTGTTTGAATTGATAACCGGACAGGAATGATTCAACTCTCTTCCAATTCAAACGCATGGCTTCAAAATCTTCACTATTTTGAATATCTGACATGATTGATTCCATAATACCAGTAACTTTGGCAAGTTCAAGCTTGGCTTTATGTTCTTCGATCAATTGCCTGGCCTTATTATAATACAATCCACGAATAATCTTGAGAGAGTATTTTCTAATAACATCTCTGTGTTGCACACAAACGTACATCATTTCATCCATGAGGTAGATCATTTCACTAATCAAAGTTTCCTTAACTTCCTTGAACTTCTTTTGAGCAGACTTTGGAACGTATCCATTGTGATGGAAATACCACATGATTTCATTTCTGGCCATTGAAATAGCAGCCAAAACCAAGTTGAATTTTGGTCCAAGCAAACCAGGTTGATCCTTCATCATGTTGAGCAAGGACTTTAATTGCAATCTGAGATAATTTCTCAATTCCTTGTGATAGTCATGACATTTTTCAGCAGCAATTTCTGCAAGTTCCTTCAATGATTTCTTTTCCTTTTTCAAATCTCCAAACTTTTTAATCATGACATATTCTTTGAAAGGATCGTGAATGTTGTAAACTTCATCACCGTAGAGTGGAATGACCAAGTTATTGGCCAAAACTCTTTGTAAGAGAATTTCATAACAACGAAGAGGAGCATCCTTGTCCTTCTTCTTGCTGACTACAACTGGTGTCATTCTTATTTGTTTTTCTGGGGCACGAGCAAGTGCATCAGGACAACAAGCATAAATAATAGCAACCCATTCTACGATATCTTGATAACAATTCAAATACAAGTATGTTTCATCAACAGCAGGGAATGGAATTCTATCTGGTTCAGACAACATTTCCAAAGGTCTTTTAACATTCAAACCACCAAAAGTACCTCTTTCAAATGCTGGAATGAGAGCAATGAGTGCTTTACCAATTTGATCTTGAATTGTGAACCATTTTTCTTGGAAACGAGGAATTGGATCAGCAAAATCTTTAAACAATTGCCAAACTCGTTGAATGTTTGGTTCTGCTTGACCGTTCAATTTCAAATAACTCAAGTTTAACAAACAAACAATAAGTTCCTTGTCCTTAATTCTATTCAGCAACAAGATCAATTTCACATATCCAACCAACATTTGCAAATAATCATAACATGTTAAAAAGTTGACATCTTGTAAAAAATCAATATTGGCATTTGTAGACATTTCTAATATTGTTTGTTGAGCATGTTCTGTCCATTGTAACAATTCTTTAAATGTTAAATAAATTGGATGTACTTGATTAAACAGTGTTGTCATGTTATTCAATGCCCAATCAAAGCCTTGAACCTTTTCCAATTCATCAATGGCAATATGTGGAGCATCTTTTAATAATTTAGCGAACATTTTCTTCATATCCACAGGAAGTGTGGACTTCATAATATCAGGTTTTAAATCATTATCACCAAGTTCATTCTTTATCGTATATAAACGTTGGAGGAGAGCCTCAGAATGTTGTTTTAAAACAAAAAGCTAAAATAGTTTTGTTTCGAATATATTTTGCATCAAGTAGTAGTGCAGGATAGCGTTTGATAAATAAAAATTGAAGAGAGGAGGGATCATAGTTAGTATAAATTATTATGAATCAGAGAGTGATAAATCCATTCAATCCACACAGTGAAAAATAATTTTCATCATCATCATTAGAATAATTAAAACGATTGTCGTTTAATACGAAATAAATTGTTGATCAACAATAGAATAATAATGTTAAAGAGGAGATGATGTGTTTGCTCTGCTTACCTTCTCTGCTACCTTTGCCATGGTGTGATTTACAGTGGTGTGTTGGAAATTTTTTTAGATAGAGAAGAAGGATTGACAAGTGATTGAATTGATTGGTCTGTTTCTGCTACGCGAAGATAAGCAAAACAGAGCACAGTAAAAACATGGCAAAAACTACAGTGAAGAGATCTAGACCTCAATTACTTATTAGCATGGTTGTTAAGGAATACACATTGAAAAAAGACTACAGCACCACAGGTTCCCAAGTTGTCTCCAACCTCAGTACTGATGTGGCTCGACGATGCTTAACTTCTCAAATCGGACGGGATGAGGTGCATGAATCGTGATATGGCCGTAGCCAACAATTTGTTTGAATTTATAATTATTAAGGGCAAATTCACCAGTCAATATTGATAGAGAATTATAAATAATACCACTCTAATTTTCAAAAACAAGAATGAACCTGTAATATTGCTATTATTTTGTAATAAGCTTATTTTTTAATAGATTTAAAAAATGGATCAAAGTGATGAGTAAGTAATTGATGAAAAATATTCTTGTTTAACTGATCATTTGGAATCAAATTATACACCAATTAATATTCTAATTATAATAATATTAAATATTGATTTATTTTGTATAGTTATTGTAATTTAGTAAATGCTATTCAATTATTGGAAAGACAAAAGGCTCAAGTGGAAAAGGATGTAAAGGAATTACAGGAGAGACTCGCTCAGGAAAAGAAGGGAATGACCCTCTCCGAGCAATTACTAGTCTCGGAACAAGTTGTACAACAAGTTCCTAAAATTGATTTTGCTCTCTATCTTCAATTTTGCAAGGAACACAATGTGCACTTGGCAAAAGATGTTCAACAAGCTCTCGAAGCCTACATAAAGGAGGCCAAGAAGAAATAATTATTTATGATGTAAAACTGAGGAGAAAACAAATGATTACGAGGAGTGAGACAGTTCTTATTCATCAATTACTTAGTACGAAAGTGGAGCTGAATAAACACTCAAGCTCACATAATTTACAAAATTCACATATAGGTTTATTATTGAATTTATTATTGGATAAGATTAAACTGTTTGAAAAGTTCAATGTATTCACCACCCAAATGATTTGCCATATCAACAGCATTGGATTTGGATTCAGACTCAACTGAATTAGAATAGGCATCACAAACAATTCTATCATTCACACCATTTCCACATCCATATTCCAAAAGTAATTTAACAGCTTCCAAATCCTCATTTTCTAAAGCTGCACAGATTGGTGATGTTGAAACGTTGGTAACATCTCTAGGCATATCACTTGAATCATAATAGGTGCATGTGTAGCTTCTATTAATTTTAGGATCAGCACCTCTTTCCAAGAGAATTTTCATTGCTGTGTGATCCTTCTTTGTAACAGCTCCATACAGACAAGTGGAAGAATCATTGCCATATCTTACAGTGGATGTATCATTCCTGGTGGCGTTAGGATTTACCTTAATTTCATCAAGCAAATATTTCATCACGTTATGATGACCTTTATCGAGTGCTCTACATAAGGCATCACCAGTGAAGCTATACTTATAGTAGGTATAGTATTTTTGTGTGGTAGGGTTATGATGCTCCTCACAGAGTTGTTTAGCTTTCACCGAGTCCAATTTTGAGAGAAGGGCTTTAAGGTTCTTCAGACAGGTAGTTTCATCGTCTGTCTTGTTGATGGTTTCATGTACGTTCTCAACAGTTACTTTCATTGTTTTTTTTAAGTTTTCTTCTACTAACCGTGGATGAGTAGATGAACTTGTTGCATCTCTCACTGAAATGGAATTATTGAGGACCAATTTTATAAAGTTTCTTAAGGTTGTTTATTAATACCCAATCGCTCTTCATTAGCTGGTAGAGATAGCATGCCAGCAGAAGGTGAAAGAGCAAACTTGTAAAATTTATACCCATACGAATTGTGTACCCAAAATGATTCGAAATGCTCATCCACATTAATGGATTGAACATTCTTATATTCTGAAATTCCTCTCATTGCATGCACACCAAGCGCATCTTGTTTATGAGTAGAAACTAATGGATACAGGTAGCTCAAAACATAATCCTTTTCTGAATAATAGTGATATACATTTGATTTAGCCAGACCTTCAGTAAGAATATCTCTAGACTCTTCTTCTGAGATGGCAGGAGCACACAAATGTACTTCATCAGGTCTGTATTCATATGGCAGTAACTTTAGAGCCTCTACAAGCCAAGTTATTATCAAAAATAGAGATGCAACATACCTATCAAATGTTTGGCACCAAGTGAATGGGCTACTATTCTCAATTTACCATGTTTCATTCTGAGTAAGTGTAGTTCCTTACTGAGCACTAGTGCAAACTCTTTTGCATTCTGGTTAGCTTTCATGAATTCATAGTAGACCAAAGCTAGAGTTAATGAGACATCTGTCAATAAAATACCTGGCAAAGTATACAGAGATGCAGCTGAGAAAAGCAGCCTACTCTTTCTCAATGCATTAATCACGTTAACTCCAGCGTAGGCCAATGTGGTGAATGGAATTGGAACGAATGAGAGTGGGTTGAATGTTTTCTTTTCAGATTCTTGCAATGATTGAAAATCTATTTGGTGGGGCAAGCGGCCGCTCTCCCATTGCCAAGCCATTGCGTGTGAACCCCAATTGTGTGACTATAAATTGAGATATTCCAAATAAATATAATAATATAAATGGAAAGTATGTTATTTTAGGTAATATAAATTATTAGAAATGTACTATAAAAACATACTTCTCTCAATGATAAAACCTCATGTGAATTTTTCCAAGATTGGAAATGAGAAACATCATTAGAAAGTGAAAAATCTCCATCAGCACTTTTAAATTGCTTAATTAAATGTGATGTCGAAGTGTGAGATCCTAAAAATCCTTTCACATAGACTGTCATTTCATAATCCGTATCATTTCTATCCAACAATGTAGGATTTTCCACAGAAAGTGGAAGTAACAAGGCTGTTGGTTGTTTGAATTCCTTATCTTTAGTTTCCAATTTTCTCACCCATTCGGAAATTTGTTTTTCCAAAGAATTTTCCACTTGGTTCCAATTAAAAAAACTTCTTTGTTGACATCCATTCATCAATAACTTGGCATGATTCCGATGTTGCCTCATTTTCAGAAGGGTTGAAAAACTCACTCTACCAAGTTGATGCATTTTTTTTAATTTTTAATTTAGTTTTTGATTGACTTTACAAAAATATTTTTACAGATTTTCTTCATTAATTAAATGATCCTTGAGTTGCTTATCAGATGGCAACTTTTTGTTCTTAGTAGTAGTGAATATGTAAATACCTCCACCAATAATAATGGCAATGATGAGAACGAGAGCTAATCCGAAAACAACTCCGACAACAATAAGCATGGTATTATCAGATGGTATTTCTCTAAAGGTTGGAAGACTGAGTTCTGGATTATTAGAATCACACAAATCCAAAATTTGAGATGGACAATCAATAAATTTCAAATCCTTATCCAAACAGAATTTAACTTCCAACAAGACAGTTCCATTGAAACAATTAATACCTGGTCTTCCATATCCTGATGCCTTGAATGCATCTTTCACATAATCCATCTTGTAAGTTTTACTCTTTGAAGCATAAATAGCATTATTTTCCAAATTATCATAAATACTCTTCATTCTCTTTCTTAATGAAAGTGTTTGATAGAAATAATCATAAACTGGACGAGAACTGAATTGAGGGAGTTGATAAGCGCATGTTCCATGTTTAGTATATTCATATCTCCAAAATAAGAATGTTTCATTCTTGTAATCTTTAATTCATTAATTTCTTTCTATTTGATTTAATAATTCACTTACCATGCCAATAAACTTGCAATTCACTCTTCAATTCATCAATGAGAGAATAATCGAATTTAGGTGCCTGACATTCAGCTGGTCCAAATGTATCAACCAAATTTCTATTCACATAAATTTCACAACAATTTGAAAATTACTTACGTTGGCCACAAACCATGAATTCTAAAATTGTTTCACAATTATTTCATTATACACCTCAATAATCGTATTCATAGAGTTTCCATTTGAAAACTTACGTAAAATCATTAACATATTCAGGAATGTAGCATGGTTGAATTTTTTGACAAATACTTCCAGGCCATGAAAGTGCAAAAACCTTGAAAATTTTTAAAGCAGTCCAGAGAAAGCAGTTCATTTAAGTTGTGTGAAATATTCTAAAAACCTACAAATATATCAAAGGTTTCATTGGCATTAACTTGAATGGAGCGATGTTCGGGAATGGCCATTTCTTTCATTTGCAGAGTTACGGAACATTCAACATGGTAACCATTACTATTCCATTGTTGTGTGAAGAAAAGCAGAGAACAAAAAACGACAACCACTATAAATGATGATGGAAGATGTCTGATGATTGTTGCAGAGCTGTTTGGTTGCATTTTTTTTGTGTTGGAATGGTTCATAATGGTACCTTCCCTTTGCGGATTTGTTTACCAGTTTGTGAAAGGTTGTTTGTTGAGTGCGAAGAGGAAGGTTATTGTAACATGACTCATTTGTACAATGGAATGGTGATGGATATTTATTTACACATAATTAGGATACAATGAATGATTATTATTTAGTCTTCTTATTGGCAGGTTGATTTGGTGGAGAAGCTTCTGGATTTGCTGGTCTTTTGAATGCTTGATTTGGTGAAGGTCTTTGGAAAACTGGTGGTGTCTGATTCTGAGAAGGATTAGAAGGTCTCTGGAAAACTGGTGTTTGATTTGTGGCAGATGTTGTAGTTTCTGGTTGGGGTGATTCTGGAATGGCAGATCCATCTAAATCTAGATCATCATCAATATTCAAACTTGATTCATTTTCTTCCTTGACATGAGTTGATCCAACTGTTTGACTATAATCAGCTGATGCAATAGATTCTAAATGTTGTTGAGTTGTATTAATAACAGGAAGAGAAGAGGAAGGAGATTGAGTTCCAAATGATTGTGAAAAATAAGGATTAGTTGGCTTTGGTTGATTTGTAGCTTGTCCAGGTTTCTTTAAAGTTGGCTTAGTGATTTGTTTGAGATGATCTCTATCATAAATTGTTAAACCTAGTGCATTACCAAAATTTCTCAAAGCTCTCTTTAAACCATCACTAACTGCTGTCTTTTTTGCTTGTTCTATTGCAGCACCTCTTTGTTTTTGATTATCACTAGTACCATATCCGATATCTTCATGGAAAGATCCATCTTTCAAACTGACACGAATGATTGCAGAAACTCCACAATTAAATTTTCCTTGTTGTGTTTGTTCAACAAAATCGTTGGAAATTTCCATGATACTAGATGACCATCCATTAAATCCGAATGTTAAATTGGCCAATTCAATAGCTTTCCATGTTTCAATGTAGTGTACATTTTGACCATTTGGTCCAGGACGTTTGGAAATTGCATCCGAATCTAACTTTTTTAATAATTCTCTCTGGAGAAAATCTCTTTCATTTATATCATAGTGAGTATTACCAAACACACCAGTGTTGACTGTGGATTTTTCCTTCTTATCAGATTCCGACATTGATGTTTTTTTAGTGGTGAGAGGAAAAGGCTTTGTTTTGTTTTTTTTTGATCCTAAAATTTTCTTCTTTTTTATGGATTCTTGTGCCAGCTCGAACTCGTTTTATTCCAGATAGAAGAAGAAAAAATTATTATATCCTATAATTATTATTGATTTTTAATAACAACTGAGGTATTTTGTGGAATATCATATTTGAGATGGTTTATTTTGATTTTCTAGCATTCAATTTTTCTACAGCTGTTGAGAAAACCTCATCCTTCTTCTTGTCATATTCTTCAAGAGTTGAGTCAATGGATTCAATTTCCTCACTTGTTAAATTACAATCTCTAGCTTTAAGCATTGCTGTATAATTAGTTGCACAATGCTTAAACAGAGCATCTCTGATACTATTATTCTTTGTTGAATCAAAAACTGGTAAATCATCCACAACTTCCATCAATTTGTTTAAATATCTACACATTACACTCCAATTTTGACCATTTTTCACTTCTGTTGTCTTTTCTGTCACACTCTTTTTGAATGAAGTCAACGTTGGTTTAACCCTCTTGAAGGCATAGTCGTCACGGTTAGTTCCATATTTTGCTCTTGGGAATGCTTTTTCAACATTTCTTCTTAATTGTTCCAAATCTTGAATAGCTCCATCCACATCAGCATCAGGACATATAGTTAGAATATCTTGTTGAAGAGTATCATATTTTGAAGGGAATTTCTCTGGAAGTGTAGTAATTAATTGAATAAGCTCATCCTTTTCCAAAGATTTGAGCTTTTTACTCAAATCAACTTTAGGCTTTTTTGTGGCTGATGAAGGCTTGCTTGGTGTTTTCCTCTTCTTTGGTGTTTTTTCTTCTGCAGTCTCCGTCACTATCACAGATGAGCTAGTATTCGTAACAGTAAGTGGTTGTTGTTGCATTGGTTGTTGGTTAGAAGATGACAAATTATTGTTTTGTGCTTGCATGGAAGCTGTATTATTATTATTGGTATTATTATAGTTTGGTAATTGTATTGTTTGTGGAGTGAGTTGCTGATGTTGTGGAGTAGTAGTATTATTATTCATGATATTATTATTGGGAAGAGATTTCTGAAGTCCTGCAAGATGTTGTTGCTGTTGTTGAAGCATTATATATTGATATTGATTCAATAACGCTTGCACATTATTATTATTATTATTATTTGATAACAGGCTATTCAATAAATGTTGCTGAGCAGCACCAGCAGCAGAAGGATTGACCATGCCAAACAAATTACTTAAGGCTGCCGATGACGGAGTGGAGGGTGATTGTACATTAGAAGGGAGTGTTGCATTAGAAGAAGACGAAGGGTTCTTTTGATTGGAATTTCCGTTACTATTATTCGTTGTTGTTGCTTGTTGAATGTAAGTTGGTGGTGAGGCGTTAACGAAAACAAAATTGTTGTTGGACATTTTTTAATTACTTTGTTGGTGGTGAGTGGAAGATTGAAATGATATCATTTTCAAAGGGAATGTTTATTGTTGAATAACAACTACTGAAGAAGGATAGGAAGGTTGCTGTTGTGGAGTTGGTTTTGGCTTGGTTATCACTTGATAGTACATGAAGCCACTTATTGAACTAACTATTGCCAAGATGGCAATAAAGACTGACAAAATCAAGGCGAGAGTTGTGTGAGCATAGTTCAAACCAGGAGTAATTGCCCTGAACATGGTTAATCTAGAAGTATTATTAATAACAGAGTATCCATATTCTAATTGAAAATCAAATTATAAAATTAATATTACTACTTAATAATTGTCAATCATAGGAACCACCTACCTGTTAAAGCAATGAAGAAGAAACAAATACTAAGGAATGGTAATCCTATCATACATCCACATACATTATACTGTAACAAGGCCTTTCTATTGCTATCATCCACAGTCTGATGAACTACACCAACAATTCCTGTAACTCCATAAGATAGTGTCAGGAAATTTAATCCAAACATTAGAACATCAGACATTCCATAACCAACCATTAAGTTTGAAAACCAAATAACACCCACGGTGAAATGGTAGAAAAACAAGAATAGTGAAAATGCTGAAATAATTATGCTCGTCACCAGGTGGAATATCTTCTTGTGTTTATCTGTTATTTTGTCATTGATTGATGAGAGAGTGGCGAGAGGGTTCGTACTGCTCATTGTTTTTCTTGTTGGTTGTTGTTTACAGTAAGTTGAGGCGCTTTGTGAATTGCTTGCACAAGTGATAATAGTATATGTGGCAATTCTTTCTTTTTATGACCAATTTTAGATTGATGCATTACTGTTACACAATTTTACCTTATAAATTTATTAAGGGAGCTTGTGCTGTGAGAGTGTGCTTGATTGTTTTCATTCACACAACACAAAAAACAAGAATCTTCATTCTTCTGAGCACAAAATCCCAAAAACTGTCACAACAAAAAACAACGAGAATGCAAGCAGACGAACCTGTACAACCAACAAATGTAGTTGTTGAAATACCAACAAATAACACGCCTCCATTTGTAATCACACCAACACCAACACCTTTTTACATTACCAATGAGCCTATGGTTGCTTCTGCTTCATTTTCCACACCAACAATTCCAACTAGCTTTCCAACACCAACACCTTATTACATTAACAATGCTTCTGCTTCATATGTCACTCCAACTGTAGCAACAACAACAGTTATCGTGGTTGAGCAAAAACCACCATCATCTCACTCACAATGGAAAATAGCTCACACTGTTCTCACCTCCATTCACCTAGTGTGGGTTATTGTTCAGGTTTTCTATCACTTTATTATGATGATTTCATTCTTCACAAGTGGAATTGCTGGATATGCTATCGCTGATTTGATCTTATTGTTGATAAGCTTGTTTTATCTTGTTGTGGGAATAATTGGACTTGTTGTCATGTGGTTGCCATCAACAGCAATATCACCACTGGCTGCATTAAGATTATTGAAATTTAGCACCATGGCCAACGTGATGGGAACTCATTACATGACGTTCCTGTATTTGCTAATGTGGGTTACTGGTAAGTATTGAGCCTTGTTTTATTTTGACTATAATGGAAAAACCAGAGTTTGCACATTCCCCAATTCTATTCTATGTCTTTACGGATATAATCTTTTCCAAAATTGATCCAAGAAGCGAATTGGGGTTACTTCACCCTGGTATTTCAATAATTCCATTTGCTATCCATCTAGTGATAGCTGTTCTTATTAGTGTCACCTCAATCAATTTTTATCAAGTAATGGAACCAATTTATAATGAAATGATTATCGTTAAGGGGAAACATGAGAAGAATATTCAACAATAAACTTAATTTTCAATAAACATGAAATTAATTGAATGGAAATTTAATAGAATGTTTTATTTAAATTCAACAGTGGTGTAACAAATGATCATTGAAGCAGCATACGGCCTCTATTTATTAGAGAATGCTTGTACTCAAATAATTACCAGTGGTTCTTGTTGGTGATTCCCCCTCACAACAACATTCCTTATTGTTTTCTTGACTAATTCAGAGCTATAACGGATTGATTAATGGTATCTATGGGAGAACGACAATATAACAATGAGGAAAATGTTGAAATAATAATTACTGTTATTTATAATAAATTATTAGTGGGGAGTAAGGTTTTTCAACGACTATTCAGTCATTACATTATGAACCTTATTTTGTTTTGTTTTTCTTCAATTATTGTATTAATATTAACAATTGAATATCTCGCAGGGTATGTACATGTTAAATAGCTCTTTCGAGATTAAATTTGTAAAAGGAATTTGTTTAAGGAACATCTCTCCTTCTGTGTGGATGATGCTGTGCAGAAGGAGGCCTTAGCAGGGAATCAAGAGAGGAATATGATGGATTAGAACGTGTCTCTTTTAACGACTGTAGAGAACCCCTGAAGTATCTGGAATCAATTTCATTCGGTTTAAATCGTGATGGAGCAACATCCACCACAATGCTTGGTATTGAAGTGCTCTTGACCATTGATGGTCTTCTCATCACCTTGCTACTCTTGGAAAATAAGCTTGATGATGATGAATTGAGGGATACTATTGATGTTCGTTTTCTAGAGCCAGCTTCATAGGTTTTAGCTCTATCACCAAACACTATCTGGTTTTGATTTTCAACATGATCTTGTTTCTCGTTCTCAATAATGTGAAGACAAGTGCTTCCACAAAGGCCCATCTTGATGTTTTTTTGATTGTTGTTGAGGAAATGTTGTGCACACATCCTGATGTAGTTAAAACATTAGATCATCTAAGAGAGGGACTTCCTCACCCCATCGTATTTTGCTTGCGCCAAATGAAGACTAAATAAGGACGAATTCAACTTACCACATCCAAAAGCGTGTCAAGTCTTGGAATGGTTAGAAAATTACATGAAATGGCAACCACAGCGTAGCACATCTAATCCTGTTTAAGACCATTGCCCCTATTGATGTATCCTTAAATTGTTACCGTTAACACTTGCCTTAATGAATCATATTCTGTAATCAACCAGTAAATGAAAATCAATGTATCAACATTAAAAGAAATCTAAAAATCTCAAGTGAAAGGAATTTCTCTCCTTCCAGATTCCAATTCCTTTGTTTTCCAAATTACATCACAACAATGCCAATAACGTTTATTCACCGTAATCCTAAGAATCATTATCAAATATCGGCAAAACAAACGAATAAAGAAAATCTACAACCTTAAGAATCCAAATTTTCGAGGTTTGTTTTAACTGTACCTTATTACTTAATTATTGAAAGTTCATTCGTTGATAACAAACACTTTCACTGGCGCTACTCACTACACCTTTGTTAATTGAATAACATGCTATATATAATCAATAGAACAACTTTTGATTTTAGTTGAAAACTGATTCTATGAAATCCTTGTCTTCCTTAATTTCACTATTTTTTTTGTTAAAATTTGTACTGGTTGAAATATTGTTGTAACAAGATTGGCGCCAAAAAATCAAGATATTATCACCTCAAAAGTGTTCGTTAGAGATCCTCTCTCAATTTCCTTTCAATTTTAAAAAAAATGAACGAACTGGTTGGGGCAACCGCTGCGTTACTCTATCCGATAACCCCAACAACAACGTCATCGGCCGGCAATGTTGCCCTGGATGATGATCATTATAATTTATTTTCGGAGAGTGTTAATTTTGTATTGATGAATATTTCAAATAATTCAACAAATGGAACAGTAACAGAAACACAACCAATCGATTTATTCTTTTCTTTGAGTTTGGGATTAACAGTTGTTTGTGGATTGTTGTTTTCTTATCTTATTTTGAGACATTATACAAAGCATTCACCATTATCTTGGTTTTTATACATCCCTCTCGTACTTACATTCTCTCTCCTTTTCACATCAGTTTGCATGGTCTGTATTGATTTGGCTGCTGCTAGGTCTGTTGATATGTCATCGGCTAAAACCGATGCCAATAGAGCACTAGAAATTGCTTGGCGTGTTATTTATTGGACCTGTTTCGTTTTGGCTCAGGTTTTACTCCCACTTTTCAAGGGATACCAATTTACAGGTGAATTTAAGGGCATCTTTAAACTCTTGAAATCAATTGTTATGAATTTATTGACCATTTCTGTAATGTTAGGCATTGGTGTTGCTGGTTTAGCAGGATTTTTGATTTATATTGCGGTAGTGGATGATATCAAAAATGTGACATTTAACATGCTTCTTGGTTTGGCTCTTTCATTGTCCAACCTTGTAGGTCTGTCTCTATTGATTACTTTACTCGGATATGGTATTGTTGTGTTACCAAGAACATTGTGGGAAATCTCTAACGATCAAAGACAACTCAGAATGTATGAATTCAAAACTGTTGGACTCTTGGAAAACCTCAACGATACTGAAGATGAAGTAATTGAACTCATTTCAGTTTGTAAGAAACTCCACAGTACTGTTCCTGAAAATCACAAGGAAAGAAAGAACGTACTCAGAATGATGAAAACTGTTGATAAGGTCATTGAAGATCACCCTCAACTCCAAAATGCTAGACTCAGAGATAGATTTGAACCTGGATTACTTCCTGCAGTAGAAACGCTTACAAGATGGCAACTCGTAAACATTCACAAAAATCTTGTAAATGCTATTCTTGAATTTAGTATTAACCAATATCAATGGAAGCATTTGCAAATTCAAGCTTTCATACTTCAAGATATTGTCGATTCAAAGAGCAATGGTTCTAGAAAGATTGATTCCCCTTTCCGTAGATGGAGATTTTCATTTGTTCAAAAGATGCTCCAATTTCCTGAATGGTTATTCAGAAAGTTTATTAGACCTTGGTTCTTGAAGCTTGTTGCTGTTGTATACGTTCTCTTCTCCTTGATTCTCTTGTGGTGTCAATTTACTCCATTATTTAAGAATGTTACAACTGTTAAGCTTTCAGTTTTAGAAATGTTAATTTCATCAATTGGAGATCGTTTTGTTGTTCAATTTGTTGCTTTAGGTATTATTTCTGTTATTTTAGCAACAGTATTGGTAGCTTTATTTAATGTTAGAGTGATGGAATATTTCAGATTGATTCCAGGTCACACAGATTCTTACAGTTTGTTCTACACTGCTCAATTGCTGTGTAGAGTTATTCCTAGTATGATGTTTAACTTCTTGCAATTGATTGGTGTCAGTAAGAATGATGGTGTTGCCTACTTTAATATTTATGGTGAATTGAGAATGGATGGTTTACTTAAGTTTGGTGTTATTGGTGGTTTTATTGTCGATTACCTTCCATTAGGTATTTTCCTTGTTGTCTTTGTTGCAGCATTCAGAATTTTAGAAAGACTTGGAACATTGATCAACATTGAAAGATTCAAGTATTCAGGTACTGAAAAAGTTACAGATGAAAGAGTTTTAGAAGGCAGAGAAATCTTGGCTCGTGTCAGAGAAAGAAAGCTTAAACATATTGAAAAAGCTAAAGAAGAAAATAGAGATGGAAGCTTTAGTATTACAAAACTCTTTGACAAGTTGGATGAACATGATGTTGGATCTGGATCTTCAAAGAAGAAGTCATCCAAACGTAAACAAAATGAAGACGATGATGACTCAGATACCATCAAATTTAGTGACAAGTTTTTGGAAGATATTGATCAATTTGCTGAAAAACCATCAGAAAGACACTACCAAAGTGGTAGTAAGAAGGAAAAGAGTAAGCCAAGAGGTTTCTCTAGAATGGATGACGAAGAAGTCAGTATGGATGATGATATACCACTTAATAGTTATCGTCCTCATGATGATCTTATCAATAAGATCAGATCCAACAGAAGTAAGAAGTTTGAATCAGTTTTGTAAATAATAATAAATAATTTATTCAATTTTAAACATGAATAATACAGTCTGCTTCATTTTGAACTGCTGAATTGTGAGATATCAAAATCACTTGTTGATTTTTAAACATACGTGACAGAATTCTAGAAACTAATTTCTGTTTCTCTTCATCCAAATTGGCATCACACTCATCTAAAATGTAGAACATTGATTTCTTAAAGGTAGCAATTGAAAACAAGAATGCCAAGCTAACCATTGTCTTCTCACCTCCACTAATTAGAGAAAGTTGAGAGGTATCTCCTTCCTTGTTTGAATTCTTTGATTTTACAATAATTTCGACACCTTCTGAAACTTTTTCACCGACTTTCTTCAAGGATGCAATCTTATTTGGAAGCATGAGCTCTGTAAATTTTTGAAATAATTGTTGTACTTTTTCAAAGGCTACTTCATTATACTTTTCCACAACTTTTTGGCCACACGATATTCCATCCATTAATACTTGACAACTTTTAGAAATCCACATTACTCTACTTTTACTATTCTCTAGAATAGTTTGCTTTTTCTCCAAATCAATTACATCAACCATCATGGCTTTCGATTTTTTAGCCAAAGTTTTGGCTTTCTTTTCTAGGCTTTCAACAATTACTTCTAAATCCTCAATTGATTTGTCAATAAATTTGGAATTTTCATTTTCATCAACCATAAGGTTGCTTTCACCCATCTGATTGACTACTTTCTGTTGTTTTTTGATTGACTTTTCTAGATTTTGAATTTTTTCATGCAACACTTGCATGGAACTATTGATAGTAGCGAGGTTATCGGTCAGTATCTTGTTCTCTAATTCCATAAATACAAGTATTCATTGTAAATAACTTACTTTTTTCTTGCTCTGTCTTTTTAGCCTTGAGCGATAAATAATATTCTTTCTTCCTGACAAGCTCTATTTTCATACCATCCAAGTGTTTAATTTTGGACTTTGCCACATTTTCCTTCTCGATTATCTTGTCGTTCATTTGCTTGATCAGTTCTTCTGGGAATGAGTTATCAACATTTCTAGATAAATCCAACTCTATTTCATTTCTTTTACTCTCCATATCTCTTAATTCAATACGAAGCCTTTCAAAAGACTCTTGTTGTTCAAGTCCACTTCTGCAAGATAACAAGGTTTGCTTCAATATCAACAATTTTGATTCGCTTTGTTCTAAGCTATTCAGCAATAGATCATGAGCAATCCTTGAGTCGTGTAATTCCTCTGTCATTGCTATGTTATTTTCATTCAAGGAAGACAATATCTCTTGTTCTTGTATTGTATAATTGAAACTTAATTCCATTTCCTGTAATATAGACTCCTTTGTTCTCATTGTTACCTCTACTTGTTTTAAAGTTCTCAATTTATGGTCTACATTTGCTCTTTTTTTAAGTGCACTATTTTCATAAATATTAGAAAGGTCACCACCAATAACTCTTCCAGGAAGATGCTTGACACCATTTAAAGTGCTTTTAATTTTAGATAATCTCAATAATTTTCTATACTTACACTGAAGATATACCGAGATCAACCAGTTGTTTTGACATATCCTCTGAAAGTGAAATCACAAAGTCACCAATGCATCTATCAATGGAAGGTTCTATTTTTTCATCGAAATTGAGAATATCTTTTGGAATGACGAAATTTAAGCCTCTCTTATCTCTAATCTGTCTTTGATATGCAATTCTTTTCTTTTGTTGAGAGGAATCCAATCTATCCAAGGGCCAGATAGTAATGGACCTCTTTCTTTGTGAGGCTGTTTGAAGAAGTTTTTCAGATTGGCTTGTTGTTTCTACAATGTGAGTTGAAAAATTCTTTCCCATAATAACAGAAAGTGGTAAAACATATTGTTGTGAATTACTTTCTAATGATATCATATTAACCAGAACTGTCTTTAAATCTTGTGAAATTTCTAAACTATTCAAGTATCGTTCGTCTCTTTCAACTTCCTCCTTCATTTTGCTAAATTGATTTTTCAAAACTAAATATTCATGTTTAAAGAGTGATAAACTCTCAGCTTCTACTATTGTAGTCCTTGCCATTTTTTCAGATTTTTGACTGATGATCAATTCATTCTTCCTGATATTGTCTTGTAATGTTTGGATATTTGATTTGATACTTGATATTCTTTCTTTTACATTCATAATAAATTTCGATTCCACTTCAATTTGTTGTTGTATTTCATTGATATCCTTCACCTGGTGTATTGTTTGTGATTTTTCACTACATTGATAAGAATTATAATAATTATAAATACTTACTTATTCAGTAGACCGTTAATAGTTGCTATTTTGCTGTTAATAACTCTCAGTTCATCTCCTAAGTTTTCTCTCTCTAACTCTTGACGCTTTTTCCTTTCTTCGACTTTTGATTTTTCATTCAATAATGACCTATAATTATTATTCAATTGATCTACTTCCTCTTTAATAAATTCTAAATTTTCTGACAGTTCCGATATTTGTTTTTGCATTGGAACAATATCTACCGTCTTGGTGGTTGTCATTTCGGATTTCAACTTTTCCAATTCTAAACAAGCAATCTCACTCTCCACTTGTTGTTTCCTCTTCTCATAGTCTGTTTTTTTAAAAGTTAATTCCTCCATCATATACAAGTCTTTTGCTAGATGGTCCTCCAACTCGCTTCTCCTCTTCAATGAAAGGGCAAGCCTTGCTTCTGTAATATCGTGTTCACATTTTTTTCTTTCACTTACAACAGCAAGCTTGTTTTTATCTTCTTCTATCAACCTCTCTAGTTTTACAATTTGCTCATTCATATGTTCCTCTGTTTGCTTCCATGATTGGATTTCATTCAAAGTCTTCTCGGCCTGTTGTTCAAAACTCAATCCTCCACTTCCATCTGTGATCATTTCTGCAATCTCCTTAGAGTTTTTAAACATTAGACTGACCACATGATTCTGGAAAATAACAAAGTTTGAAGAGTGTCTCAATCCATGCTGGAAGAGGAAATTCTGTACAGCTCTTATTGTTACATGTTTTCCATCAAGTGTATACTTTCGTATTCCCTTTTCTTTGAAGAGAGTGACTGAAAGTTCATGTTTTAAAGGAAAGCCTTCGTCATCACCCTGCATTGTGTTCTTTTCATCATCTCTTGAGAATAATAATTGAACACATGCATACGATTCCCTTTCACTTCCTCTCGTTGTAATTAAATCCTCCAACTTTGATACTCTCAATAATTTAATATCCAAGCCTAGAGCAAAACAAATTGCATCAACTTTACAAGTGTCAAAACAAACATTTCAAGCAGAACATACCAACATTACTCTTTCCCTTTCCATTTGGTCCCACAATACAATTTATTCCATTGATGAAGGCTATTTCCTTTGGGGAAGAATTACTATAAGATTTGAATCCACTCATAAAGACATGTTGTAGATACATTTTTTTACAATTTGAAAAAAGCCTTAAATTGACTCAATTTATTGGTGAAGTGAACATTCCTTCTCGAGCATATCAAGTTTGTCATTAATGAATTTTCTAAACTCTGGATTGCTTGGAATTTGAGAAGTGTCACCTATAAAACTTGAACTGAGAATACTTTCATTCACTCTGTATGATTCTCCCTTTTCAGTTTCTCCGTGAGAGAGAAAGGCATCAATATTATTTGAAACTTTTTCTTCAATAATTGTGGTAGTATCTTCTTCTCCACAGCTACTAATTTTACTTTGCTCCAAATCTATTTCTATTAATTGACTAGATTCTTCAGGATAACCTGATTGATTATAATCTTTCCTGTCAAATAGGATTCTATAGTGGGATTCTATATCCTGTGTTTCATTCTTGTCAATAGGTTCGTAATGTTCATCCTCATTTTCGTCTGTATCTAGAGATGCAATCTTCTTCAAACCCATTTCAATCTCTTCTATTCTCTTCTTCATAACACTCTTAAAGTTAGATTCTGAATCCTCACCAAAATCAAATTTGGTAAATGAGTTTGAGTTATCATTGACCACTGAAATATTTAAATCCTTCTCTGGTCTATCAGATTTGTTGTTTTGAGATGATTTTGGAGTAAATTTCAGAATTCGTAATTCTTCCTCTTCTATTTCTCCCCAAACTCTCTTGTATTCCTCTTGTTCAAGTAGAATATTCTTTAGACTTATATTTACAGACCTAACATTTTCGTGTGAATCTCTGACACCTTCAGCTCTAGGTTTTCGAGGAGCGGAACTTGGCCTCTTTGGAGTTGATGAAAAAGACATTTCGTCATGTTTTGGTAAAGAACTAGTTGGTCCTCTTCCAGAAAGTGCAGATGCTGGTCTTTGATTTCTGTTTTGTGATAGAGAAGTATTCTGTTCTGCACCAGAATACTCACTTCTCCTTGAGACAACCTTTGATTTTACGTGACCATATCGTTCTCTATTCTTCTTTGCTATTTCTTCCAGAGATGATTCTTTTGGAGTTTCAAAGGATTGAGGTCTGTTATTGCATCTACTATAACTCAAAGGACTTCTGGTATTACTTCTCCTAGATGACGAAGGCGTAGTTGGTCTTGTTACTCTATTAGAAATTATTGAATCATTTTCTTTTGATTTAACTGACTTAGGTGGTAGGTCTGAAATTGATGAAACCACAGATCGAAAGACAACACTTTTTTGAAGTTGATCATCTAGATCTTGTATTTGCTCTAAAATAATTTTCTCTTCTTTTTCAAACGGATCAAGTGGTTTTGGGACCTTTCTCTGATTGTATGGTACAGTTTTTTTTGGAGTTTCCACTACTGCTGATTGCACAACTCTACTCCTTGGTGCAGAAGATGGCCTTTGAAGTTTGGTTGGTGATGTTAATTTCTCTGGAGTTTTACTGACATCTGGAGCATGTTGGGAATGTTTCCTTGATGAGTTGTTCAAAATTGAGTTTTGAGATGAATGTGATTGAAATTTTTCTGGTGATCTAATCAAGTTTGGTTGGAATTGAGGTTGTTGTGTGGTTGGTCTTGCTGAAGAGGGTCTTTTTAATTTCTGAGGAGGGCTTTGTTGAGAGACTGCCAAATACTTTTCTTCCATAGTATTTGGAGAATTCTTTAGTTTTTCTTGTCTAGCCTCCACTCTCTTTCTCCTTTCAATTTCATATTGTTTCGAGTGAGGAGATAAAGGTTGGCTCACGGTATTTGGATTTAATTTAGTTGGAGAAGTAGGAGAAGTATAATTATTTGCTAAACACACTTGCTGAGATTGATCTTTAGTGACACAAGATGAAGAATTAAAGGAGCGATCAATCATGGCCTTAATATTCATGCTTTTCAATTCTTCCATTCTTTTCAAAAGATAGGAGGCATGAATGTCCTCCGATAATTGTTTGTGTTGTTCATGAGCATAATTAGTGGCTGCTTTCCTCACCTCCGAACAAATTGTTGGATTTGTATAATGTTGTTGCTCTGGAGAGGAAGACTGACCACCAACACTCCAACTTCCACTTGAATTATTGATTCCTCTAACACCACCTGGTGAAAAACATCTACTCCTCGATGAAGAAGAACGAACAGGACTTTCTTCGTCATATTCTTGATAATTTCCATCATCATTAAAATGAAAAAGTGAATTCTGTAATTCTCGTAGTTCTTCCTTCTTTTTTCTTCTCCTAGATCTGGACTTTTCTAGTAGTGATTTTACATAGGCTTCCTCCTTAGGGCGTAAAGATGAGGGAGAGGAATTACCTTGCATTTTTTAAATGATAAGTCTCAAATAAATTTTAAGGGAAATCATCTGCCATCAAACACTTTTCAAATACAAATTTTTGGAGGGAAATAACAGTAATGAATGATTGAAAGGATAATGGCTAAACTTTAATTAACTCGAAACATCTAGCAACCACAAACTTTGAAAATAATATCAAGGTACAACAAAAGATAGCTCTAATTTAAAGTAAAACTCTGGAATGATATTTATTATTGCCGAAGGTCAAAATTGGGTTTAAAAAATGCTGAAAATGAGAAACTCTCATGATTCTTTCTTTGTTGGTGGATTTCTGGAAATCAGATTGTACTTTCAATAAATTTGAAGTGTACGTTATTCCACATTCATTAATCCTAGTTGTTGGTCTCCAAAAGAAAATCAACTAAATTGATTAAAACTTGTTCTTCTTGGCCATCATGGCTTGTTTATGAACCAAACACTTGTCTAAAATTAATCCAATATTATCTGAATGACAAACTGGTCTGAACTTGTTTCTTGTTGTTTGATGAATTTTCATGGTATTATTGTGGACCATAAGGCTAGCAAAATGAGAAGTAGATTCACGGGCTTGTGTCAACATTTTTAATTGGTTTTTGCGGTTTTAATTTGATCAAAGAGCAATAGTGCTTTTTTTTTCATTCCGTCTTTTACCGTTGAGGTAAGGGTATTAATAGATTCCAGCCTCATTGTGTTTTACAATGATTTAATCATCCAATGAAAAAACATCGCCCCTCTATTTTTAAAAACTCGGCCTTTTTGCTTTAGGTTTAAAAATTATCGTTGCCTTTTCGATAGTGACGCAGAACGGATGGTTTGCTTCCTTAATTCCAAGAGCCAAATGATAAACTTCACGGATTTAACGCTTCATTCTATTGGACCAATAGATGTTAAGAAAAATTTTCTATCAGCGCAACTTGTTCACCATTAAATGTTGGTTGTATCAAAACTGAGGATCCAATACACAGAGATCTCACCTTAAAGCATTGTAATCTAATGGGTAATCTACAATTATTTAGTATTTGTGTAATGGAAAGATTGAACTGTTGATCAACTTCTGAATTTTGGAAAGAACAGTTGACAAAGTAAACAGGCAAACCAATATTTCACATATAGCACTGAACAACAAATACTGATGTAATCTTTATCAAATTCATCCACATAATTACGCCTAAACGTGTTGAAGAAAGAGTTTTCAATAATTATTCGTCCAATAATTAATTTAATAATTTAAAATTGACAAATAGAAAAAATGAGAAAGGCTCTTATCATTTCCTTGCTCATTGCTTGTTTATTATCTTGTGTGCTCTTGATGAGCAATAATCAAGTCAAGGCAGAAGAGAATGATGATTTTTGGAATGCCATTCCGACAACAACAGTTGCTTCTAATCAATTAAATGATGATACGTTATCAACCAGTACTTCCGATGACGAAGAAATGGTTCCATCATCAACAACAACACCATCAACAACCAATAATGACAATATTAAATCAACAACAAATCAAAAGGAAGAGGATGAGGAATTTGATTTTAATGAAGATGACTTTACTTCAATTCAATCCAAATTAATTCAAGAACAAAAGGAACCATCGGAAGAACAATCAAATGAAAAGCAAGAAGAAACACAACAAGAACCAGTTCGTTTGTTTGGACTTGTTAAACAAGAACATTATTACTATGAAATGGGATTTGTTGCTTTCATTTTGGCTTCTGGTATTATTTACGTTATCGGAAGATCTGCAGGTGAAAAGGTTTTCATGGAATGGGCTGAAAAGAATTTAGTTAACAAGATTATGAACAAGCACTTTACTAAAGTCAACTTTATGCGTGATAGTGCTAATCAATATATTGTTTATGCAACTGGTAATGAAGCCATTAAACACATGACTTTGAAGGTCACTACACCAAATAAGCAAGATTTGTTGATGGGATTACTTTTAAAGCCAATTATGGGATTGTTAAATGGAACTTCTATGCTTTCTCAACCTGAAATTTCATTGGAAATGACTTTACCAAGAAGATTTATTGTTCTATTTGGTATGTGTGAACCAAAGAATTATAAGAATTTCTTAAAGCAACATGAACCTCTTCAACTTTACACCAAGCATGCCCAATGTGATGTTAATGGAAAGCAATTTGCTGTTTTTACAGATACTCCAACTTTGATTACAAAGCTCATGTCTCAATCCTTTGTTTCCTATATTGAATCTGATCTCTTGGTCAGTGACATGCTCAAGCCAAGAATTGCTGGAACTAATCTTGTTAATTGCATTACTCTCAGAACCAAGATTCAATTCAACAAGACATTATCAGAAGGTGATAAACATAATTCAAAGAATAAGGCCAAACACGAAAACTGGTTGGATGAATTGATCAATTTTATTTCATTCGATTTTAATTTGACTCAACAAGAAAATGACAGAAATATTAAAAACAGAATGGAAGTTAAGGAAAATATTGAAAAGGAAGAAAAGAAACAAAAGTTAAAGGAAGAATCAAAGGAAAATAGACTGAAGAAACTCAAAGGTGGAAATAAGAAAACCAAATAAATAATTATTCAAGAATCTCTGAAAGCAAATCACATTGAACACCTCCATTAAATTAATTAGTATAAGTGGAGAGGTAGATGATGGAAGTTCATCTTAGCTCGTTCATCTCTCCTTGACAGAGAATCCAAACTCAATCATCCTGTTGTTTCTCCATTAAATTCTTATTAATTTTGATTGTTGCAAGTATTTTGGTGCTTACAATCATGTGGATTTGCCCAAACAGTCTAAGCTTTAAGAGGGCAAAAAAGTGGTAATGTTTCCTCAGCAGCAATTCCAACAAGTATTGAAGTCTGTTACTTGGTAGAAGATACCTTACAATAGGCCAAAGGCGCAACATATCCGAAAGTCTTTCTTAAAGCTTCATTTCCGAAAAGATATAATAAGTGTAATCAATGAGCTGAATACGCAAACGAAACCATTTTTTTCTTAGGTTGAATTAACACCCACATTTGCTAGGACATAATGAAGTGGTGCGATGGTTTCAATTCAATCGGAATATTTTCATTATCACCACTATGACTCAAAATGTTCATTTTCTGGAAAGTTTTACTTTATTGATAACTTTCCATTAAGTGGACGAAATTTCATAATGGGAATCTCAAAATTTCCCTTCCCTTACTTGGTAAAATTTCAAGCGTTGATGTCAATTGAAAAACCGAAATATCCTCAATCAATATAGCTCGGAACCAACAGTTAGTAATTTCGGATCATGAACTGCACTTTAGATGCAAAAAGAAAGATTATTGAAAAGTTTACATTCATTAAATTTCACTTTTAATTATTGACGAAAAGCTACAAGCACAACATTGATAATAATTCCAGCTAGGAAGAAGTAACAACCACTAATCAATCCATAAAATAAAGGTCTTGGCATATTTGGATTAATTGCAGTATTCACAGTTGTCATTGCCAAGAATCCAAATCCAACCAAAGCACCAAACAGAAAACCATCAGCAATTGAATTGATGTTGAATGCTTCAACCATCATACTACTCGTAATGGTGGTCACAACTGTACAAATCAAAGGTCCAATTATAAAGATTGGTGCTAGTTTATTCTCTGGTTGATATCTTCTTCCCAATGCTTCTGCATAGACCCTCCCAAAGAGTGCAGTAAACCACAAACCACCCAAAAAGGAAGCACACAAAGTAGCAACGAGAATTGCAATCCAATTCAATGCTAATAATGAAGGAAACATTTGATTCTTTTTTTCTGTATTGAAATTGAATGGATCCGGCTGCTATTTTTGACATTTATTTTGATTGATGGTTCATAAAATTATGTGAATGTTCGAGCAGGTAGAGGAATTGTAAATGGGCTGAACGATGTTAATTTTCTAATTTTAATACTTGATTACAATATCTATGACACAATAAATATTTCCAAAAGCGTTCTTTGTAAAAATAACCAAAAAATCTTTCTCATTTGTGCAATTATTCCACCACTCTAATAAATTCCACAAGTGCTCAAATTCAACATCCACCTCCTCTTTATCTCAGTACAGAACCGTTCCTTAATATCTCACCAATTAAATAGTCTATTTCATATATGGGCCACTTACCATCAGGATCACACTTATCTTTTATCAGCAAGAGAACTTGGCTTCTCAAAAAAAATGAAACAACACCAGCCTTCCTCCTCACAACAACACCGGCAGTCATACAACAATAATAATACTGGCGGTAGTAGCAGTGTTATTATTGGTGGAGAGAAGGCCACACAAAATAATAGAGCAAGTGGTAATAGTACATCTGTTGAAAGTATTGCATCTGCTGGTGGTCTAATAATAATACAGTGGTAGTGGGTCAAGTATCATCATCTACTATGTCGGGAAGAATGGAAAATAATAATCAAGGTGGATTTAATAGACGTTCTGTTCCAGACTTTTTTAAAAACAATAGTGAGCCAATAAAGAAGAATAATCAGCAAGGTTTCACGAATAATGGTAGTGGTTCGAATCGAAATAATCACAGAAATACATCAGACAATGTAAATCCAAATAATAACATGAAACCATCATCATCTAATAGTAATAATACTTCCACGAATAATTATCAACAGAAAACACATTATAAGAATAATAATTATAAAGGAAATGTTCACCAAAATTCAGAACAAAACGATAATTACCAAAGGAAACAATACAAACATTATAACAAGCAACAAGTCAATCATCAAAACCAAACGGAGAATAGACATTCTAGTAATATAAAACAAACACTTGATACTCACTCTAATGAACCATTTGGAGGTGGTTCCGACCAACAACTTGAACCCACATACAATAGACAAAATAAGTATACTAGACAACCCTACAAGAAGCAGGTCTATGCTAAGCAACCTATTTCAACATCAGAGTCTGTTTCTATGGTAAATAGTAGTACATTTGGTTCTCAATCATCTACAAGCACTATCACGTCCAATACCAGTGATCTCTCTCACTATAGTACACACCCAGAATTAAACAAGAAGATTAGATCAGAACTATCAAACAAGCAACAAGAATCAAAAGCTAAACAGTCAGGTGTTGGTGGAACTCTTTCCTACACATCTCAACTGTTCTATCCTTCCTATATGTATACTTCTAATGCGAGTAACAGTAATAATAATTCATATATGCCTACAGTTCTAGAAGGTTGTCACTATTATGTACCACCTACTTTTTATCAGGTACCAACCTCACCAGTCGAAACCCAGAAGAAAGAAGTGACAAAGACTCTTCCTTCACCATCAAAGAGGAAAAAGAGAGAAATTGAAAATGATTCCTCCAGTGAAGATGAAGATGATGAATCAATTTCATCAGTTGGTAGTCAAATTCAATTGAGTTTTGAAGATGATGATTATATTGTGGGATTTGCCTCATTTAATGGATCTTTCTTTTTTTGTTGGCAAAAAGCAACCAAGGAGTCAGAATCTCAAGCAAAAATAAGAGATATTCTCACATTGAGTTCCAAGTATAGTGGATCTAAACCAGAAACACTATTTTCTAAATGTATCAAGAATAAGTCTATTTATGCAGCCCTTAAAAAGTTTATCAAGAAGTTGATCAAACAAAATCAACCTTTTAATCCATATTTGATTAATTCGCATTCATCTCTATTGATGAAATTGTTTTTGACCTCGTCAAATACTTGGTTAGAATTTGCTTCCAACTTACCTGCTATTTCTAACAAATTTGCCAAGCTTAAGGCCAGAGAAGTTAAATTACTTCTTTCTGAATATTCTACAGAATGGAATTATTTTAGTGATATTGATTTGACAAAGGAAGAAAATATAACATCGCTTATTACTGGAGATGAGAACGAACTTGTAAAGAAATTTATGAAAAGAGTTGAAAGGGAGGACTTTTCTAAATTTAAAAGAAGATCTCATCTTCTTACATGTTCTTGGGTTTGTAAATGTCCGAATGGTAATGAAGATGTATTTAAAGAATTGCTTAAAACAATTAGAACAGTACAGCCAACACTATCATCAAGTCAAGAAAAGTTGAATCAAATATTCGAAAGAGAAAAGAACGATACAAAACCTCAGAAAATGACAATATGTGAATTAGTAGCAAAGGTAGATGATTTTGATGCAGATCTGACTAATTTCAAACTTAAAAAGCCAGAAACATCCATCTTTTCAGAGAGAAGGGTTGTTGATTCTGACTTTTCAGAAACCTTCATCAAAGAACTTTCTATTATTGTTTCTCTAAATATTTTCCAAGAGTTGAAATACAAGTATGATTTCTCTCACAAGAAACAAAAAGGTGCTGCAAATGATTTCAAGAAGCTTTACTCAATAGTTGATGTTGAGACTCAAAAGAAGAAGACAGCTTTCAATGCTAAAATCCAATCTGCATACAAAGATGAGTCATCCCAGATTTCTACATTAGAGTTAGAGGAGCACGAGAAGCTCATTCATCAACTCATTCAATTTGTTACCTACGACAAAGAATATCGATGCTTCCAGAGGTATTATGACTTGTTAAAGACAGAAGAGGATGACATCAATAGAATGTTCGGATGGTTCCAATTTCCGTATCAACTGAAGGCAGTGCAATGGCTAAAGAGACTAAATGCCAATATTAACTGGGTGGATATATATTTGAATAGAATTCATGCTTCACCACATTTTGAGGAAGATATTTTAAAGATGATTGATGAGGAATGTGACAGATCTTGTAATTGGGCTAATGAGTCTAGATATTCCTTCTTAGATTATTCAGACAAAACTTTTACAATTGATAAGAAAGGTACTAAGGATTGTGATGATGCATTTACTATCCTTGATCACAATACAAATTCAATCAAAATTGCTGTCCATATTACAGATGTTGCCTCAACAATTCTCAGAAATATTGATTTTTCCAAGAATGTACCACCTGTAGAAGAAAAGAAAGATGCAAACAAACGCTATACTGGAAACAAATCAAAATTCAATGATCATCCAATATTCCAAAGTGCACTTTTCTCAGAAGCAGCAAGAAGAATTATGTCAATCTATATTCCAGGTGTTGAGGAAACCTATGCTCCTTGTTTCCCAAGACATTTATCTGAAGAGCTTCTCTCTTTAATTGATAAGAGACCAAAAGAAGTAATTTCTCACATCTTTATTATTTATAATAATGGAAAGGTTGAATGTAAAGGTGTTGTGAAAGGGCTCATCCAAGTGAATCATTCATACTTTTTCGAAGAAGCTGATGAAAAAATTGATTCACCATATGCTGATCCATTCTGGAAACATTTATATGATTGTTGCTGTGCTATTCATGAAGAGAGACTTGCGCACGGAGCTAAGAAATTTACTCCTGGTGTTGTTCCACTTGGTGGTGTTGATTTATCACTTGATTATCAAGATGATTCTCCAAATCCAGAAATTCATGTTAATACTCATAGACAAAATCCATCCAAGTCTTCAAAAATAATTACAGAGTTCAGTATTTTACTCAATTCTACTATGGCTAAATATTTTTATGATAACAAAATATGTGGTCTCTACAAGGAGTTTTACCAAACCTACAATAGGCTTTTACCAGAGTCTATTAAAGATATGGATATTGAGGAATTTGTTGAAGTAGCTTCAATTCTTGACCCAGAAGGAAATGAAACAAATTACCTAGCTCAAGGTAAAACTCAACAAAATGAGAACTATACTGCTCTACAAAACTTTGAGAAAGAATTGAAAAATCAAGGAAGCAGAAAGACAACTAATATTGGTAAGATTACAACAAAACCAACCAAATTCTACCAAAATATTATTGGCGTTGAATTATATATGCAACTTTCCTCTCCTCTTAGAAGATGGCTTGATTTAGTATTACAAGTACAACTTGTTCATCATCTTAATACAATTGAAGCTGGCATTCCATGGAAAGGTCTTGAGAGTAGTTTATTCAGTGAAGAGATTTTGCATTATTGGAGTGAAAAGGTTTCAGACAAGATCGAAACAGTCAAAGATATGGAAAAACAAGTCATGTACCATTACTTTTTATTATATTTGAAAAAGAACATGGATGCATTGAAAGGTCCATATTTATTAGATTGTGTTTCAGAAATTAACTTTAGAAAGGGTAAAAGAACGAATCACCCAAAACACAAACATAATATTGATTATGACAATCTTGTAAACAAATCAAAACCAGTCATAACTCAGCTATTGAGATTAAGATTAGTCAATTATAATTACTTTGCAATTGAAGCTTATGTCACCAGTAACATGGTTGACATGGACGAAATTACCTTAGTCAAGGTTGTAGATATTGATTGTTACACTCACACAATTTCTGCTGAATTAGTGCAGTAAAATGTGCTCCTTCGTGAGGCTGCTATGAATGGCACTGCCTGGTAAAAGGTAGTCAGCATTTCTCCATGAAATAAAGATTGCTTGTTCATTGTGAACAGGCTCGAATAATTAAAACTTAAATTGATAACTTGGCATTTGTTGTTAAAGAAATGAAGATTCTCCAAGATAAATTGTCTTGACTTGCTACCAAATTGGTTGCCAATTATTTCTCCCAAAATTGTCTCAACATTTCTTCAACGTTTGAATAACCATTATTTCTTTCATACTTGGTGTTAAGTGATAGGATAAGTTCCAAAATTGCTTGACTAACTTCTTGCTTTTGATGTGCTACCACGTGAACGAGTCTGGAGTATGTTAAAACAGCCAAATCAACAAAAGGAAGTGTCAACAAAGGAACAGTAGAAAAGTAGGGATTGGTTGCTGCCTGACTGGCAATATCCAAACTTAGAATCCAGGCTTCCTCAATATTATCTGGATCTGCCAAAAGGATCACAGCAAGCTTAAATCCTTTTTCTATAAAGAGATGAATCAAAAATGCTATGTTTCTATGTGATTCGGATTCTGCAGAGAAATCAAAATTGTTTTGAATTACTGTGTCGATATAGGATGAGCACAAGTCAATTACCTTATAAGTTTGTGGAAGTTTTTCACGCTCAGTTGGAAGTTCGAATGTTGATTTCACATCCAAAAACTGTTTGGTTAATAAGGGGAAAAAATCTACAAGTCCTTGTGGGCCATTGTTTTCATAGCAAAGTGTGAAGTGCATTCCTAATTTGAGTAGTTCTAGCCATTTTTGTGTATTTTTCACAGCAATGCTTGAATTTTCAGTGCAATCACTAACGAAGTATTTAACTAAATCCAAATACATACTTGCTTCCTTGTACCTCTTTCTAGCAAGATTATGTGATGCAAAATTAAGCATGGACATACCAGCATAAATGTTTGTGTGATTATCGAAATGAGAAGCTACCAACAGCCTTGCATGCTGAAAACATAAATCAGAATATTGTTTTGAGCCTATTCTTTGCTCAGCCCACGCGACAATAGAAAATAAAAATGCAGAAACAGAATCGTCTAGTTCATCCAATGCATCAATCAAATTTTGCAATTCGTTTTTTGGCACACTCTCAAAAATACTGAATGTTGTAAACACAAAAGTTCAGTAAAACAACTTACGTTGAATTATAAAACTTTAACGTATTTCTAACATCCAGATTTAACCCTTTCTTGGTTGAATTAACTGAATGATTAATTATAAAACATTGTTCATAGCATGGAGTTTTCTTTTTTTGCTTCTTTTGTACAGCTAGCGGTTTGAGATTTTTATATTCACATTGTTTCCCACTCTTTAAACAAGATGAACACGATGGAAGCAATTTATCGCATCGTTTGTGATGAAATCTACACAATGTGCAGGCATACTCGCTCTTACTCTCCATGTTGTATGGATGATAGGGAACAACTTTTGTGGTACTATCTTGTGATGATTGTGGAGAAGAACTCTTCAGTTCTTTTGAAATAATATCGACACTTATTTTCCTAGTTGGTAGTGGTCTACCTGAAGCTGATGATGACCCACCCGAGGCTTCCTTCAAACTTGAGCCATTACTACTCGAAGAAGATTGTGATGGTGGGCTCCTATTGGCGGGTGAATTTGTCATTTTTTTAATCTAATTTTTGTGCTGACTACGGCGACTCACTTTACAAGAGTCGTGAACAACACGTTTAATTAAGGAAAATTAATGACAATCTAAGATTGAATAGCCATAAAATTTAAAGTCATCTTCTTGTTTATAATAATTATTTTCTCTCAATATTTGTTGCCTTAATGAAAAGAGATTGACTAGACCCACATCAAGGATGGTCAACAAACAATATAGGCGGAGATATTAATTACATTAAAAAAAATATGCCATCATCAAAGCAAGATTTTCAATTCCTGGAAAAGATTGGAAGTGGAAGTTATGGAGAAGTATTCAAAGTGAGAAGGATCAATGATGGAAAATATTATGTGATTAAACAAATTTCTATTGAGGATTTATCTCCAAAGGAACAAATGGATGCACTGAATGAAATTGCAATATTAAGTAGGGCGGAACATAATTATGTAATTTCTTATTATGATTCGTTTCTTTGCCCTGAAAGTCACAAGTTAAATATAGTGATGGAGTATGCTTCGAATGGATCTTTATTTGAGTTTTTAAAAAAGCAACACGGAAAATTACTGCAAGAGAATATGATTTGGAAATTGTTTATTCAAATTACTTCAGCCTTAAATTATTTACATAATCTGAAAATTCTTCACAGAGATATTAAGAGTCTGAACATTTTTATTGATGGAAATGGAAATGCAAAGATTGGAGATTTTGGCGTCTCAAGATTGTTAACCAATTCTAAAGAATTTGCAAGTACAATTCTTGGAAGTTTTTATTATTTAAGTCCAGAAATTTGTGAAGGTCTACCGTATGATGAAAGATCTGATATTTGGTCTTTAGGTTGTGTTCTATATGAGATGTGTTGTTTGAAACATCCATTTGATTCATCCAATCAAGGAGCATTAGTTTTAAAGATTTTGACAGGAAAATATGCGCCAATTAGCTCCATATATTCTGCTGAACTGGCACAAATGGTGAAAAATTGCTTGAATACTAAGGTTAAATCAAGACCAACTACCATGCAAATTTTAAACAACAGTCTTGTTGTAAAAAAAGCAAAAGAGTTAGACATTCAAATAGATGCTCTCAGAACACCATCCTCTCCACTCACTCCTACCACAGTCAACATTGAGCTTGGTTCTCCTCAACAAAAAAACAAGAATAGAGCACCACAAGCTATTAGACCAAGCTCAAAGTACAGTAACCGTAATGTAGTCAGAACAAACACGCCTTCTTCTATACCTGTCAAAAAGGTAGTTGTTTCAAACGAATTGAAGTTTGAAATTGTAAATAGAGAGCTTAACAATTCAATTCAAGAGGTCAGACAACTACCAAAAATACCAATGGAATCAAAAGCACCTACAAATAAGAAAGATCCAAACTTGACTGTTTATAGTAAGAAGAAGTCTCAACCTCTAATTGAACCGCCACCTTCTAGGGTTGTAGAAAATAATTTAGAAAGTCCAAAAAGAGCTCAACCTGCTGAAATTGAAATGCTTAAGGCCAAGTGTTTAGGAAAAATATCTGATTCCACTCTCACTGAGCTTATCACGTTCTTTAAAGATGCCATTGAAAAGGACACTCCTCAAGAAGATTATCAGGATTTCGTTTCTAAGCGTATTGGAAACAATGCTGACATTATCCAAAATATTTATAAGATTATTTACCTAGAAAGTCTTGCTGATTAATAAATATTTTGGCTACTGTTGTAATTTATCGAAGCCAACCCTTGCAGTTCTTACTACCACAAAGACATTTAACTCTTTTCTCTACAATATACTCATAATCAAATGTAAGTTCCTCTCCTTCTTTGATGTCTCGTTTGCAAAAGAATGCAATGTCACCATATCTTGGATCTCTGATCTCATTGCACACTAATAATTGCTTTAAATTACCATCACAAGAATGGTTTAAAAATCTAGTGACGTTACCTATGAAGGTTGAATCAATTGTGTATTCACATTGAACACCTCCATGAGCAAGATCAAATAAATAACTTAGGCCTTTTCTATCATATCTTTCACCTCTCTTCTCAGCAATAGCATCTGTAATAAGCTCTCCAAAGTAGACCTCTACGAATTGTCCTTTTGAGAGCTTTTGATTAGCTCTTAAACCCCAACCTCTATTCTTAGTTTTAAAAACACATAATTTAACATTACTTCCTTTTTGCACAACCCTGTTGGGACAAGTTTCAGAGCACCCACAATCTCTATTGCACTCTAAAATTACATATTTTGTATCAATATCTCTTAACTTTCCACTGTTGTCGTAGTAAACTTCATCACCTCTTCTAACAGGATTGAATTGACTTGGATCAAATATGTCTGTTCTGAATTCTTGTTGAAGTCTGAGACATTTACAACCCTTTCCACACTTATTTTTACAATCACATGCTTCAGAGTTTTTAAGAGCTGCCATTACTTCTCTTTGGTCTTCTGTGATTCCTTCACCGTACGTGTTACTTGTTGCATAAGCAAATGGCTCAAATTCAGAAAAATCAACTGCATTTACAACAGGTACGGCTGTCCTAGATTTACCAAGAGAAATATCATCAAAGTAGTAGAAATGAGGAGATCCTTTCTTTTTTCCTAACAGCTCTGGTAAGGTTTCACCATTAATAGTCTTACTAACCATAGATCTTATATAATTAAAGTGCCTACGAATAAATCTCTTCTTATGGTTGATCAAGTCATCAATTTTGTTGCAGGGATCACTAGGGTCCCTGTTTAAATCATCGTCGTCGTCTTCGCCCTCACTGTCACTTACAGTTATTTTACCCTTATTTGAAAGGAATGACTTGGAGTAAGGATATGCTGATACAGTCTTAGAAATGGCCTTGTCAATCAGCTTGTCAACGTTTTCTAGTGCTTGGTTCAAAATATTTAAATCCATGGTTTCTTCAACATGGAAATTGTTGAACTCTTTCCAATTTAAAGACTTTTCCAAATCACATGCATGTCTCTTTTTTGACTTGATATACTTTTTAATAACCTCTGGATCTCTTCCAAATGAAAGACACACAACGGTCAACCAGTGGACAGGCAGTCTGTCAAATACTTCATTTTTGGACAGCTCATCCAAAACATCCTTTTCTCGTTGAATGAGGTGTGTAGACTTTACAAGGGAACTAAATATTATCCATCTAGTATCCGTTATCACACCGATCATTTGCGATTTAAAATTATCATAAACAATTTGAGAAACATTTTCAACTTCAATTATGCCTTGTAAAAATGAATTCAGATAAGACATGATTTGGTCGTGAAGGGCATGCTTTTGATAGTCGTCCACAACCTCCAAAGCAATTTCACAAGGAGAAGTCATAGAGTCAACTTGAATTGTTCTTTCATCATTTTCCCAATGTGTAATTGACATGTTTTTCTCTGTAGGTATTCTATACTTCATTCTGAAACCAAAATCACACCTGCTCTCTGTTATAAGAACAGGATTATTTGTGAAATACCCAATGACTGCAAAGTATTTTTGACCATCATTTCTAGGAGTACAACTTCCAAGATAGATTCCTTTAAATTCCTCAATGTAAACCTCACACAAATATTCAGTAGGATTAAATTTGTGAATTTGTTCCTTTAGTTGAAGTTTAAATCCAGAGTCACCTTCCCACTCAAACATTTCATGAATCATTTCTTTTTTAATTTCAAAGACCTCTGAGCTTGCATCTGCACAAATGTCATAAACAGATGGAGGAATACTATTGTCCACTATAATAATATTCATAAAACTAATCATTTCCAAATACTTTTCCTTGATTTTCATTTGTAAAGGAGGAGAAATCTTGTTGTTATTACATCGGAACCCATGTCTTGTTAGCCACTCAATCGCACCAGACTTGGTAGAAAAGTTTCTACCGCTCATGTGTTCGATCTGACTCCACAGTACGTCAATAGAAATAGCATCACCCTCCAACACTTGTAGAATAAATTTTAAAAAAGATAAAAAGTCTGGGGAATATTGAATTTTCTGTAATGCTCCACAAACATTTATATCAAATGTTGTTCGGATTGTTTTTTGCTTTTTTGTTTTAGAACCTGTTACCACAACATCAGAATCATCATCCGAACCTGATGATTGTTTGTTCCGTTTAGACATTTTTTTATCGTTAAAAATTTTAAAATTAAAAAATTTGGCGGGAATATCATGATCCTTAACAGTGAAACCATAAAAGAATTGTCGTATGCTGAATATTGAGAAATTGAAAAAATCACCATCATGTTGAAAAAATAAACTCCTCCAGTATCTTCATGAGAATACATTTCAACTTATTGAAGATCGTTGAGTGGAGATTCTGAACTGTATCTTGTTGGAAATGTATTTTGTTTTAAACTATTTCTCCAAATAAAATTTTCACACCAATTAAGGATTGAAAAACACTTACCATTACAGTTTCCATATTAAACTCTATAAAGGGCGAGCTTTTCGACTCTACCTTAAAAAAATGTCTAGAGTTTTCTCTTGCTACTCGTTACTGTTGTTTCTAGTGATTTGTACCTTGTGGATGGCTCAGATGAGTACTTCCCTTGTTCCTGTTAAGCAACCGTATATTATATGGCCAGATTCCAAGACAGGAAATGGTAAGTGTTGTGATTTGATGAATGGAAAATCCTAAGATCCAATGTGCAGCTGTTGTTTACTTTAAGAATTCAGGACCTTTCCAAACTGAAGTTTTGTGGGTTGGTGCTGCAGCATGGAATGATCAATATCAAGTAAGAAATAAGGTTGCTCAATTGGTAAGAGCTGGAATTGTGCCATTCATGTATGTTATTTAACAAATTGCATCATTAATGATATGATTTTTAAAGTAATTCTTATCAATTCGGAGACAATGGACTTAGAGGAAATTATGATTATGCTGTAAAGTTTGATACAGAAGTTGCCAAAGTAAGTTTATAACAGAGTCAATTGTTTTTAAAGTGAGGAAAGGCGATTGGAAATTCATTTGCTATTATTAATTTGGAAACTGAATGGGATGTTGATGAAGTTTTAGGAATTTTCCAATCAAATGCTGGTAAACAATGCTTGTTGGACAGAATTCAAGCTTTCAGAACCTATGCTCCAAATGCTGTTATTGTGAGCTCACCTGGTCTTTGGAAGCCAGCTTCATCTTATTCATTCTTTGCACCAATTGATAAGAAACTGAATCAAAGAGCAATGTTGAATCATATTGTCAACTCTTATGATAGTAATTGTGCAAGAACTCCATATGGTGGATTCTGGCAATATGGAGCCAAGTCAGCTAGCTCTGCTATTGAGTTAATGCTTTCCAATGTAAACTCTAATTTTCAAAAAATTCAAGATGCTTGGGGTGATGAAGATTATGAATGGATTATGAGTGATGTAGCAGTTACTTCTTGTGGATGGGGAGATCAAAACCAAGCCCAAATTCTTCATGAAATTACCAATGTAAGTATTAAGAAAATGCCATACTTGTTATTTAATATCCATTCAATAATTAAGAACATTGATTGTTTGTATGCTTCAGGCTTCCGTGGATACGTTTTGAGAAATTCTGGTCCAGATGTTAACGAAAGAGCTATGGGTATTCAAAATGAAGGAATGTTCAAATTCACCAGTAATCAATACTCACCAGTTGTTCTTGGAAATGGTTTGAATAAGATGGTTTCATTCTTGAGAGGATCAAGTAAACCAGTTTGTTCTGGTGCTTCTAGCCCATCAAGTGGTGGAGGTAGTTCTGGAGGTTCTTCACCATCATCTTCCGATTTCACTATTAGAGGAGATCCAGGTATTAATGAATGGTGGGTTGAATTATATGTTAATCCAGCTTCAAGTGTTAGATCCATAACTTTCAAATGCAATGGTCTAACAACCACATTGGACAAATCATCTTGGTCAGCAACTCAATTCTCTAAAGGACTTTCTTCAAGATGTCCAATTGGAACAAAAGCTGAAGTCACAGTTAATGGTCAAAAATACTCTATGGTTTATGGAATTGCTCAACCTGCAAAGAAAATGTAATTTCTCGAACGAAACCTTATTAAACTTGTATGTTTAAAATTATTATTATCGTAATTTTCTTACTTTAAAAAAATGTCATCAAGAAAGCAAAGTGCCAAACCAAAAGCCAAATTCAACAAGCCAGAATATTGTTTGAATTTTAGTGCATCGGAAATGATAACAATAACATCAGAAGATGGTTTTCAATTTTATATCGATAAGAGATGTGCTTCCTTTTGCAAAAGATTTAGAGAAGGTAAATAATCGTTATAATTTAATGGAGATAGGAAATACAAAAATATTATTACTAATACAATAACAATAATCAAAACAGAAATTGATGAAGGAAAAACTGTAATTTGTGTAGACTATCCATCAAATATTGTTGAACAGGTTATTGAATACTTGTACTATAAACAAAGATATGATAATGAAGCTGAGAATAGACCTGAATTTCCAATTGATTTATACAACGCTCTCGATTTGATGACTGCAAGTTATGCTTTGGGGTGTTAATTTCTTATTTCAAGAAGTTTTTATTGATTTCTGTAGCTATTTTAACCATTTCAATCTTTGAGTTATGTCTTCTATCGACAGGAAGTGATTTCTGTTGAACGAATCTAATAGCTATATTTGTAAATAATTTTGGAGCATTTGGAAGAACTTGTTTTCTCCAAAAATCTTCCATATCTGAAATGCTAATACTCTCATTACCAAATGTCTCAAATACAATTGCAATTTCCTTAAATACCAATTCATTATATTTAGATGTGAAATTCTTTTCATTCATCTTAAGTTGTACGCTATCATTTCCACTGATTGGTGAATATCCTACACAAGCACATCTTCTAATATTTGAATACTTGTTGTAAAAGGCGTGTTCAATACAAGGTGGAGCTATCATGTGTTTTCTTTCATTTTCCAATGCAATATGGAACATGTGGCTCAATCTTCCACAATACCAAAGCATTTTGTTCTCGTCCATGTAGCCAATATCTCCTGTTTTGTGGTAAAGAATTCCATTTATCATCTCCTTACTTGTCTTCATTGCATTGTCGTCAAGCTCATATCTTGGACTAATGGCAGATCCACCAACCCAAATTTCACCAATATTGGATGTTGAAACATATTCTTGATTTCTAATCAAAATTGTAATGTTTGGACATTCCTTGCCAACACAATATCCCTTTGTAATACTGTATATTTCGCTATCTGATGTGTAAATATTATCCAACTCATATGTATTAGTCAAACAAATGGGTAACCCCTCAGTAGCTCCATAAGTTGGGAAAATTGCTGGCTCACTTGATTCTTTTGAGGCCCATTTTCTTAATTTTTGATGAAGTGAATAAGGAGCTACAGAACCGCCACATAACAATACCTCCAGCGGTGGAGAGATAGTATTCTCTTCTTTGATTGACCCAGCAGCTTCATTCATTTTCTTGCAATAATCAATTACTTCCATCCATACAATAGGAGAGCAAAATCCCATTCTTGGATAAAATACATTCAAGGCGTTGATGTAGTGCTTGGAGTTAACACTAGCTGGGCTTGCCAAATTAAAAGGTGGAACAATTGCTGTCAATCCCATACAGTTTACACATAAAGTCATTACTGTGTTGTGATTGATTACTCTGTCTTGTCTTCCTTTTATGAGATATGGCCTCATTAATTCGTTAAAGCTATATATTTGATTCTTTAACATTCCGTGAGTAATGTGAACAAGCTTTGGAATACCTGTAGTTCCAGTTGTATTGACAATAACTACAGTTTCGTCATCATCAAATTGGTAGAGATTTTCATCATTTTCCTCTGGTTCAATTTGTAGCTTTTCAACATTAACAATTTTTGTAATTTTCTTCCATTCTGGACGATTCTTGCTCAGTAAATTGAAAGCTCTATCAGAAGGTGTAAATAGCAAAACCTTTTTAGCAATATTGAGGAATTGTCTCTTTTTGAACAAGCTTGCGGCTTGAATCACTAAATAAATAAGTGGTGAAACAATTACAGCGTCAATATTCAATTTAGGAATCCACTCAAGGAAACTATCAATTCCACATTCATTAGGGTTCAATACAAGAATTTCTTGACCAGTTTGAATCAATGAAAATACCAATGGAACAAGTTGAATATCGTTTGGATCAACTAGAATAATGACTCTATTTTTGTTCTTATCCTTCAATTCATTTCCAATAACTCTATTATAAAATCTAATTGATTTTCTAACTTGATGAAAGGTCATTGAATTGTTTGTATCATTAATTTTGTAAAGATAATCAGCTGGATATAAATTGATTTTTCCAAGAGCAAAAAATATCAAAAAAGGTGTAAATAATAATGCCTTTTGATAACCTTCCAAATAATAAAACAGTAAAATGAAAATAGTCCACCCAGTCAAATAATAAATAAATTTGTTAAATTTAACATTAGTTGGATAATGAAGAGCAGGTACTTCTGGATCTTTTTCCGCAACTTGTTCAAATAATTTTCCTAAAACATTATTAGGTTTGATTTTTTGTTTAGATCGATCTCTTGGTGGAGGAAGAGGTGGTTGTTGAGCAATATTTTCTTGATCACTATCAATTGAAATTGTTGATTGTTCATAGCTTGCATCTTCTTCATCGGAAAATTCAATTAAAGCTTCTTTTGTTTTACCAGAGGAAGCAATGCCTTCTCTTGAAATTGGCATTTTTATTTTTAAATTATTTAAATAAAAGATAATCCGAATTATTTAAGAAGAACTAATTGTTGACCACATGAGGCATTTCTACTTTTTATTTGGGTTTTTGATCTTTCTTTTATGGCTTATAGGGTTAAGTTCAAGTATACAACAGTTCCTCAATTATGGATCAAAGAAATTATTGATCGTTTTGACCGTGTTCAACCAAAACTTTGACAGCTTCCTTAATCTTTTGATTGAGAGCATCAGTAGATTCAATCAATGTCAAAATATCAGAAACTTCCATATCCAAGAGCATACCAGTAATCTTTGGTGCATTCTTTGGTTCTCTCAAGTGAACGAGTGGGAAAAGTCTTTCACCCAACAATTGCTTTTGATCTTGTTCGCTAAGCTTAGCCAAGTATTCAGCAGTCAATTGATCGGATGGAGCTTGTGTAGTTTGAGCTTCTTGAGTGTTTGGAGTAGTTTGTTGTGGTTGTTCTCTTGGTTGATTACGAGCATTGTTGTTGTATTTAATACGACCAGCATTCTTGGCAGTATTAGCATTACCACCACGAGCACCTCTTTGTGATGAACCACCACGAGACATACCACCACGGTTTTGGTTGGATTGACGACCACCAGCAACTGGTTGCCAACGTGGCTTAATTTGACTTCCTGGAGGTGGGAAAGCACCTTGAGCAGGAATGAAGAATTGTGGCATCATTTGTGGGATCATTTGTGGTTGTTTTCTAGCATTGTATTGAGCCTCGAGTTGTGAACGACGGAGTTCCTTTGGTTGAGCAAAGTTAACGTAAAGTGGTTTAGATCCAATCATGTGACCAGACATTTCAGTCAAAGCCTTGTTGGCAGCTTCTGGAGTCTTGAAACAGACGAAACCAAATCCTCTACTTTGCTTGTTATCAGACATAACTTTAGCAGATGTAATATCACCAAACTTAGAGAATTCTTGTCTCAATCTTTCATCATCAACAGAATCATCCAAATTTTTAACATAGAGATTCAAACCCTTATATTTGTTAACCTTTTCTTGCTTCAATTTTTGGAAATATTCCTTCAATTTAGCTCTTCTTTCGTTCTTCTTTTGTGCTCTTCCAACAAACAACTTCTTATTTTTGAAATCCTTTTCATTCATCTCATCAATAGCGATAAGTGCTGAAGCGTGATCAGCAAAGTTAATAAAACCGAATTCCTTTGAAGCGCCGTTTTCTCCTCTCATAACGACAGCATTTTGAATTTCTCCAAACTTTGAGAAAACTTCTGAGAGTTCCTTTTCATCAACAGATGCATCAAGGTTCTTAACATAAATATTGGTGAATGAATCTTCATTGCTCAAAATCTTCAAACGTTCGGTCTTCTTTACAAATGGTCCAACGAAAACTTGTTTACCGTTTAACAACATTCCGTTAATTTTAGCAATAGCCTTTTCAGCAGCTTCTTGTGTTTCAAAGTGAACAAAACCATAGCCAGCTGATTCGACGTTATCGCCACCATTATCACCCTTCTTTGTTGCTTGACAAACCTTACAGGACAAAATGTTACCAAAGGCAGAGAATGTATCATAAAGAGCCTTGTTATCAATTGATTTATCCAAGTTCTTGATGAAGATATTTCCAATACCACTTTTACGAATTGATGGATCTCTTTGTGACCACATAATACGGATTGGAATACCCTTTACACTAGCATAATTCAAGGTATCGAGAGCTCTCTCGGCATCTTGTGGATTTTGGAAATTTACATAAGCATATCCAAGAGATTTACGAGTCATAGCATCTCTGCAGATACGGATGGAAATAATTGGACCAACTTCATGGAAAAGGTCAAACAAGAGAGCTTCAGAAATTTCTTCGTGCAAGTCTCCGACGTAAAGAGAAGCAGAACTATAGTTCATTGTGTAAATTTATAAGAGGTTTTAGAGGAAGAAACCGAAGCTGTTTGCGACGAGGTATTTTTTCGAAAGAAAAATCGCAATTATTTAGAGTCAACCTAGTCCTTGCCATTCTTACAACGTTGGCCGCTCTAAAAAATGCCAACCACGTAAAATTTTTTAAGAACAAAAATTATTGGGCTTGATGGAAACGTGTTATGTGACAAGGCAATAAAGGCAAGTGGCAAACACATCAAAATTTACCTTCAAGTCTTTGGTTGAAGTAAGACAAAGGTGTTGTGAGAGTTTAGGTAGCAAAGAATAATTTGCAGAAAAACTGAAGGTCCTCATTAGTAACATTGGACGTAGACAGTATACTACTAGATCGATAGGCCATCTAACAGGAATCCAAATGGAGAACTGATTTTTATTCTTCTCCTCTTCCGATGAGAAAAGTAGTAACATTGAACAAAAAAGATGGGCAATTCCTCATCATCAAAGTCGTCAATATCAACCTCTCTATTTAATGAAGCGGATGAAGAGGAATACGAGGAAGAACATGAGGAAGTAAAAGAAAGACCAAGAAGATGGTTGTTGGATTCTAGTTTTGAAGAAGATAATGCCATCACAGAAAGTGAAATTAAATCGGGTGGAGGAGAGGAAACTTTCCATGCTTTGTTACAGAACGAGGAAATAATATCACGAATCTTGATGATGTATTGTATAGATTTGTTGGATAATCTACTGACCTTGAGATTAGTGAATCGATCTTTTATGAAAATTGTTGATCAATTTAATTTTATTTCATTTCATGTATTTGAAAATGCGTCAATCGAATATGTTGTTGATGATGAAGATGTAAAACAACAACAATTAACATGTAAGCGAATGAGACTTGTTAGGAAAATTCTTGAAAATATAACTAGCAATAAGAGGCAAGATCTACCATGCTTTTTATCAAACATCAGTAATAAGAGAGATTTATTATTTACATTTAATTTAAAGGAACGAGAGAATATTACAAAAATTTCAAATCCTTTTTTACAAATTTCAAAATACTTGAGTACTGGAAAGATGGATCAATATTTTCTAATTCCTTCTATTGAAATTTATTTGGAAATTAATCAATCATCTGTTCCTGTTCACTTTAACATGCTTTTAATATCAGAGGAAACATCAAGTTTTGAAGAATATTTATTTAGATATTCCATTTCAATATCAGAGGAAGATGAATGGGAGACTAAGGTTTTTCCAATGCATAAGAGACAATTCTTTTCGAGTCCAAAGAATAATGCTCATCAAGTTCAACCAATAATTAATCGATCCAATAATAGTATTAATAATACGCAGAAAATCAAAAACAGAGGAAAATACAAGATTGTATTTTCATTTTCCAATAATTTTCAATTACACATTTCAACAATAGATATTCAACATAATTACTCCAAAAGCATAGATATAGTTCCTCTATTATCGGAGGATTATCAGAACAAACAATTGGCAACAATTCAAAATTTGATTAGAGATGTGAAAATTTCATGTTCCTCATCTGATTTGAACATTTGCAAGAGGGTTTCTTTCAAAACAAGTTTTGGCATTTCCTGAGGAATATCAGATTATTACAGGTTAACTTGTCCTATTTTCAATAAAAGCTTTCAAAGTTGTTTGTTCTTATGATAATTTATTAACAGGGTAAATTAAACTCACAGAATATCATTTTAAATTTAGCGCCATTTTTGCTTCCCGCCATTAAAAAATGAAAAATACTCTCGTTACAAGATTTAATAGCTTAACGAACAATGACTTGCCGCTCAGATTTGCTGGTGGATGATGGGAACAATTTCCCTCCCAAGTTGTTTGGCGCCTCTCACCACTATGAAACAATCATTTAATAAAAAACAAATGAACAACACCACGACCACAAACCTGCTGACGACAAGCAACACTCCTGCTACAGCAAATAGAAGTGAAGGAGTACAACAAATGAATACTTGTGGCCGAAGCAATACATCATCAACAATGCCAAGCAATATTCAACATGAATATACTATTGCTTCATCTCAAGTGCCAAATAATTATTCACGGGAATATACTTTTCTGAAAAACAATTCTAGGAGCAACTCTTCTGCACAGGAAATTAGTTCTTCTATTCAAGGACCATTCTCTGAAACAATGTCAATTAAAACTGAGAAGATAGCAGCTGGGATATCAGAAAGAGCAAATGTTTCTCCATTTTCTGAAAGTAAGCCAATAATTGCTTCTTCATGTATTGAAACATTTACAAATCCATACCATACTCCTTTACTGGGTACGCAATCAATGATCGAGCCTTGTGTACCAATAAGAAAGCTTCCAAACCTTACCATAAATGTAAACAATAATAGTAGCACTGCTGTCCTTGCATCAGCTGGTTCACATTCTGCTAAACCAAATCAAACTTCACCTCCTCCACCTTCCAATTTTCCAACAATTCCATTACTTCCAGCCAATTTCACAACAACTACCACTTTAAGTAGTGGTACTTGCACATCAGTGCTTGGCAACTGTGGACCAATTCCATTTTCCTTTTCAAAGCCAACTAGTTCATTTGCAGAATTAGGAGAAATCATTTCTCAAGGTAACTTTGGAATACCTAATTCCTCAACCTATTGTAATGATACCATTAGTTGCAATTCTACTACTAGCTCTACTTTTGAAGAACCTAAGAAAGTCAAGAATAGAAAAGAAAAATCACTCACCATGATTTGCAGCAAGTTTATCCAATACTATGAAGAAAAGGCTAATAGCCCAACAACTAGCGCTCAATCAAAGGGTGACATTAAGATTGAAGAAGCTGTTAACACACTAGGTATTGAAAAGAGAAGAATTTATGATATTTTAAATGTCCTCGAAAGTATTTCTATTGTAACAAAAGTTGGTGTTTCATGCTATAAATTCAATGGAACAAAGTGCCTCAACGCTACTCTTGAACAAATGAAAAACAGTGCTTTCGTAGATCCACTCCTTTTTGAAGGTATTCAATCACTCCCAAAAAATCCACAAAACGAACCAATTATTAAGAGTTTATCAAAGTTTAAACAATCATCTATGACTCATACTTCAAGATCGAACACATTGACATCATTGAGCAGGCTCTTGATTATGTGTTTCTTGGCAACTGAAGTTAAAGAAATTACACAAGATCAACTTTTGGCCATTGTGCTAAAAGATTCTACCGAAAAGAGTAAGTTGTCAAAGAAATTTTATTCTAATTATGATAATTAATAGCGAGAACAAGAAGATTAAATGATATTGTAAACATTTTATCTGCCATTCACTTACTTGAAAAGAAAACTGAAAAGAGTGTTAATGTTTTCAAGTGGCTTGGTGGATCTTACGCAAATGAAAACAAACCAGTCAGTTCTATCATATCTCCTTCTAAAATGCCTCTGAAAAAGAGAAAGAGAGTTAAGGCTGGATCACAAGGATCAGATAACGAAACATCTCCATTAACCATTGAAGGTGGTCCTTCTTTTTCTATTGTTGATATACCACAACCTGAAAATTCAAAGAACGAAATTTCTGAAATTAGTCCAGTGCCAATCTCTACAGTTTCTCCATCATTTTTCCAAAGCAGTACAACCACTTGTAAAACTCCAACATCTAGTGGTAGCAACAGCAGTGGTGGTCTTCATTTTCAATTCAGATCGCCACCAAGTAAGAAGAATAAGACCATTCCACTTTCTTCATTCACAACTGTTTTGGGAGGCGCACCAAAGATTTCTCCAAAGAACTTGAATGAAATCTTCAAGTCAAGCGAGCAACCAATTACGAATAATTCAAATATTCCTGTCCAAAGCCCAACCATTCCAAATGCTGGTATTACCACAACATTTGGTAAATTGGGCTCTGGAAGCATTTTTTCACAAACTTCTGGTCAAGTTTCACCTCGAGTAATGCCTTCAGCTATTAAGGCAACCATTTTCAACGAAAATAATAAGGAAAATGTCTGTAAGCCAACAGTTTCTCAAACTACAAAGAAACCATTATCACCTAACGACAATGCACAACAAGGTAAAATCACTTTCAAGATTCGTGGTACCAATGAAACAACTTTAGCTCCAAGACAACCACTTGGTCTTAAAACAGACAATGGCGTTAATAATCAACAAAATATTAAATCTCCAAGACCTTAAATTTTCTAAAATAGTTTTATTTATTCAACAGCTTCATTAATCGTTCAGAATCTACTACAGATGCATCTTTTTCAAGTTTCTTTTTACAAGTAAGGTAGGCACGTTCAGCTTGTGCAACAATATTGTTCAGCTCTATGGCTCCAGAAAGATCAATGCATGCCTTCAAAATATCATCAAATCTATACTTTTGTGTGACAACCTCGTTTCTAATTTTTTGTAACATGGCGTAACAGATGAAAAGATGGAAGTGGTTTCCATATATTCCAGTCCATAACTTTTCCCACATATTTTTGCATGATTCAAAATCAAACTCTCTTTTCAACTCCACTAACACCCATCTGAAACAGAAATACAAGTTAAGTGCATCAACAGATTGTAAGTGACGGTAGAATTCAGGATCAAGTAATTTGATCAAAGAAACCAATGACACTAATTGATCTTCCATTCCTTGAGAATTCATCTCAAAGTTACTTTGTCTAGTTTCCATTATACAAGCAAAACACCAGAATGATTCTACTTCATCTTTCATAATTTCTAACATAATACTGGCATAATCTCCCATTCCTTGTACATAACTCAAATCAAAATTGTAGAAAGTGTATGTCAACAGGATGTCATGTAACATAACCAACCATTCACTATCATCACTAGCATACATTGGATGAGTTCTGTCTGTTCTAATAACATCCTTTTCTATTCTGCTCTTTCTGTCTCTATAAAGAGCAAATCTAGATTCTTGAATGGTAGAAATTGTTGTCCATTGAGATTTATAACCATAGTATTCCTTTCTCTTTTCCTCGAGCAGAACTTCTCTTTCACTATAGGTCGAGTTATGAGGATAAAATCCTAACAAGAATTTCCAAACTTCCTTTCTTATACTATTTTCAACTCCTCCATAGTAAATTTTTTCCTTAAGAGCTTGGAAATCCTTAATTCTACCTTCCTCATCAAAGTATGTCTTCCAAGATTCAGCAGTGATTGGAGTATCCATTCTTGGAGTCCAACCAATATCTTCTGGTGATTCAATTTTAGGCTTTTGTTGTTGTACATCTATAACTTTGACTGGTTCAATATCGTTGAAATAATCATCTACTTCCTTGTTTTCCTCTGGCAAATAATTATCATATATTGATTCCTTAAGAGATTCTCTTATTATAGGTGGTGGAACTTTCTTCTTGTCCTCTAATTAACGATTAAGATCAAATGATATAATTTAACAAAAAACATACCTTCCATCTTTTGCCTTACTTTGAGTAAACTCATAGCAAGATTTTCCGAGCCTCCAACTTTGTTATCTACTGAAAGTTCATCTGATTGATTGAATAGTGCACTTGTTAAATCTCTAGCTCCTTTTGTAATTTTACTTCCCCACTCCAAGATTTGCCAGTATCCATCCTTCTCCTTATACATATCATCAAAATAGTCATCAAAATTAAATTGGTTGATGGTTTTTGATGCTTCTGATGACTCTGCAGAAATGTAGTAAATATTCTGATCTTTACTACTCTTTTTCAATGTCACTTGTCTATTAAATTCTGAAATGAAATCTACCAATCCACCATCATGGAAAAACAATGGAGGATAAGTTGTTTCATCTCTCATTGTGATTAAAAGAAAATGATATCCTAATTTTGGAGTTTGTTTTTTGAAATGAGAAATATCTACTGTTCTCACAACCAATGCGTATGCTGATTCATTTCTTTGAACAAATGGGCTATTATTTTGACTTATATCTACAATACTTCCTTGTGATGGACTACTTGCTAAATTTGAGTTTGGAACTCTATGAGAATATCTATCAGGTGTTACAATTTCTCCATTAGATCTTTCATGTAAAACTAAATCGCTATTAAAAGTACAAAGTGTTGAATATGGACACCAAACTACATAATAACAAGATCTTAAAACTGGTTGTACATTAGATGTTTCAACAATAAGAGATTTAGCTGTCATTACACTTCTACCAGTATTTTCTGTAGTTTTTTCAGTCAAATCCCTCACTAAAAACATAGCACCAGGAATTTGGTCAACAATATCCGAACCTTTTTGATTTGTTGTTTGAATAGAAGTGTGGATATAGATATCATCCTTTCTCACTACAATTGAATACTTTGAAGATGCTAAATTTTGAGAAGAAAGCAATTCCCTAATATTGGGAGTATCTCCTCTCACATAGAATGAACTTCCGAATGTTGAATCTGAATTAAAAACTACTTGTGGTGATCCTTCTTCACTTTCATCATCTGATGATTCATGATGATAAATCAAAACACTATTATTTAAATCATCCATTCTAAATATAATATACAATTACAATCAATATACAACTCCAATTATTCTTCTAAAGTTAGCCTTTATAATCGGAAGAGTTTCTATTCGTTGAAATTTGGAGTAACTTTTAGCAACAACACACGTGATGATGATTGTTGTTCGTTATTTTTTTTTAGTATTAAGTGATGAGCTGTTTTTATATTGTGTTACCGCGAAGAACAATTGAAACACGTTTGATTGAGAGAGAGATGAAGATTTATTAATAACTTTCTAATTGAAGATTTGTTAATATTTCAAAGATCAATGAATAATTTTACTCTTTTACAAATGGTTTGAGTTTTTGGTTGACAAAAAAAATGGGCAAACGAAAACATTCAAAAATTGCTAAAGAAAATCATCAAGTTGATAATGATGACCAAATAGAAGAAGAGAAAATAGTGGTTTTACCTCCTAAGGTATCAACAAAAAAGAAGAAGAAAAAGAAGAGAAAGAAAACTTCTCATGCATCTATCTCTTCATCATCAGTCTCGACAATTAATTCTGGTAATTCTATTGGATCGGAAATGATTAAAAAATGGAATCAAATTATTAGTTTGCAAGATACACTTCAATTAATATTGGGTTTCATTCCCGATTATTTATTGGAAAGAACGATGAGATTTGTGAATAGGGATTTTTATTTGGCTTCTTCTGTGGTTTTTAGAGAATTGAAAACTTGTTTGAAACTTTCTAAATTTAATGGTGACGAGAAAATATTGGAGAGTTGGAAAAAGTTTAAAAATCTGAAGAGTATTGACTTGGAATTTAAATTAGGGCATGAGGAGTTTAATGCTTCTGGTATGACAGATTTTGGAATTGAAACATGTATAATTAACTTTACAAATTCAGTATTTTCAAAGCCTCTTGTGGGAACTAAATGGGCTGATACTTTGAGATACTTAGATATTTGTATCCAGCATCAACAGTTTTGTCTATTATTTGAGTTGAGTTTACATACCTTAATAGTAGAACTCCAAGAAGATAGTGAAATAGATCTAAAGATAGGAAAAGAAGAAAAACCTCTATTCAACAGTTTGACATATTTTAATTATTCTTTATCAACATTCAATAATATGGAGGAATTCATCAATAGACTTGTTAACCTTACAACGTTAAGGAGTGATGATGAAATGAATATTGAGTTACTGAAACTACCAAAAATTAAGATGTATGACTGCGCACAGTTTGAACTAGAAGGAATACCAAAGGCATTCCCAAGGTTGGAACACCTCAAATCTTCCTCCTTTCTTTCAACAGCAGATATATTACAAGCACTAACTCTAAAAACCTTAAAAACTTTATCACTTAACGTAAACACAAGTTCATTTGATTTACTATCAGACGCAATTTTTAGCCTACCACTCCTAGAAAAACTATCATTGTTTATCAACTTTAGTAGCTCAGAAAATAATGATGTCATTGCATCAAAGCCATTACCTTATTTGAAAAAGGTCAAATTGGTTCTTATTGATTATGATGATGAAATACCTCCAGTATCTATTAGTCATTTCAATCAATGTGAAAATATTGAGAAAATTAGTTTTTTAGATGAAGCGCGACAAATATCAGTAGATCTTAATGATTTTTCTCCTTTTTCCAAGCTGAAAAGTATTCTAATAACGTGTAAATCTGTTTCTAATTGGAAAAATCCTGTATCTACATTAGAAATTTTGTCCATTACTACAGAAAAAGCAAGTAATATAACCCTGATAGGACTCGATAAATTGAGAGAGATAGATTTTGTGTCAGAAAATACGAGTAGTTTAGTTAAATACTTTAATCATCATGCACCTTGTGATGGCCTTAAAAAATTGAACATTTCTGGAAAAGACATTTTGAAATACCCATTCCCATCAAATCTGGAAAGTCTCACCATTAGTAATTTGGAACTCAAAGAAACTGATGATAATTTTACCAACATTTTAAAGAAACAAACTAATCTTAGAAAAATAGTAATTGAAGAATCCAAACTTGACCTTCTCTCAATACTAGAAACATTAACATGCCTCATTCATCAAGTTACGAAAATATCCATTGCTGGTAAATCATCCCCAACCCATTCAGAATCCAAATACATCACCAATCTACTCAGAGTCCTCTCCATTTTCGATTCAAAGAGAATAATATTGGAATTAACTGAATTCAGTTTAACATTCTCTCATCAAGGAACAAGATATCTCCGTTCTCAAATCAAGTCTCGTTTATTTGAATATTGGAAGTGAGGATCAATTAAATGGAACTCAATTCTGTAATTCAATAACAAAGAATATTTGTGACAAATTTTGTGATCTATTCAGAAAGGACATTCAAAATACATCAGTTAGAAAGGCATTCAAAGCATTCAAACCTCACTTGAATGTAATTTATAGAGATGTTATTCTTTCAATAGGTAAACAATTGATTTATGATTGTACATGTTGTGATGCAAAGGTTGGATGGTTACACATATTTAACATTAAAAATTGCCCCAATATCTTTACTCCAATAGAGGTTCAAATAGTGGAACAGAAACCAACCAAGAAAAATTCCAAGAGGTAAGTGCATACTAAAAATTAGAGATCTAATACTAGATAGTAAGAATACAGTACAAAATATTGAAATGGCAAACACCTTTACCAAAGAACTTTCCCATTTTCAATGGATAATTGAATTAGAGAATGATCAACCACAAGTAGTTATTCTAGTCAATGATTTTCTAAATGCCTTTGTAAAAATTTGTAAAATATTCCCAGAAATACCCAACTTTACCAAAGTACGAGCCAAAACAGCTCCATCAAACACTTTTCAAGAGTGTTACATAATGAAATTTAACAATACTTTTGCCTGTCTACCAATAACAATAGATGCAGGAAATATTGATATAGAATCAGATATCCAATCAATTGTAAATATTCACTTGGAACGAATTGATAAATTTTTGGAAACTATACAAACAGAACTATCCCCACAAATAACCAATATTAAACTATAGATCTGTCATGATAAGAAGATCAGTAATGATATATATAGTTTTACATCTTTGAATCAAAAGGTCCATTATGAATTCTAAGTCCAGTCTTTAGACAATTCAAATAATATCCATAAAATAAATCTTTACAGTTTTCATGTGTAAGCATGACATTTGCTGGATTAAACTCTTTAGCTCCCAAATTCATTAATTTGAAACATTTTTCATACAATTTATAATGTAAATTGCATTTTCTAGTATTTGAAGCTGTTGCTGCTGCAAGATAATGCCTCCTATAAATACAATCACCATAATCCTTTGATATCTTTAAACAATCTTTATCATAATTAATTTCTTGATTATTCTGAAAACAATTTTTTAATTCATTATGTTCTAGAGAACAAACTAATCCACTAAATTTAAATGCAAATGTATCCAATGTATCAAGTTGAACTCTGTAGAGTATTTCTCTCGGAATTTGTTTTTCATCTACTGGTCCAGCAGAGAATAATTCTCCCGATTCATAGTTGGGCATTTTTTTATTTGGTTTTTTAATTATTTGTTTTATTACTTTATTTTCACAACAAGTGAAAGTACTATAATATAATTCATTGAAAAAGTTACTGTATTGCATTCATAACATTGATAATTGTAAGAGTATTTAATTATTCAATTATTCGGCTATAATTGAATTTTTATTTTTTTCATCAAGAAGGAAAAAAATGGCTTTGTCCACTGTTCACGGAAAAGATTTAAAGATTTTAGGCGCCATCGTATTCGCTAGGTAAGTTGATGATGATGTTTAGTAGTGGAGATTAATTGATGATGATTATAGAGTGTTGGTTAAAGCATACAGGGAATACACTAGACCAGATTATGCTGAAGTCACAAAGGCTGCCATTGGAAACGCACCAGCAAGCAATTAAATTTTCGGATGTTTGATAGTTTTAAAGTGATTGTACAATTTAAAATATATATATTTAAATAATAGGATTTTCTTTTAGAAATTTTCTGATAGAATCATATTCTCCTTTCGGGTGGGGTAAAACATCATCAAACTGATCAAAACTTAGGGTATATATAGTTCTTGGACCAGTTTGTTCAAGTGTTATTTCCTTCTCCCAATCTTCTTTTACATACAAATCCATAATTGATGGTCTTTGTTTTATCTCCTTCAAATGCTTCTTGCTAACTTGCTTTTTCAATTTCGTTTCAACAATATCATAATTCTTTTCGGCAACATCTTGTTTTTCTACTATATTTCCAAACATTGATTCACCAGGTGTATAGTTGAGTACCTTCTCTGCATCATTCTTGTTGAATAGACTGTTCTCTTTCAGTACTTGTCTAGCAGTTTGTTCATTAAATTCTTCGGATTGTTTTTGATGAAGTTTATACTCAATTCTTCTCGATGAATTGGGTATTATTGCTGGTGTATGTTGTGGAATGTCATACTCTGGTTCTGTATTCTGGGTTGGTTCAGTTTCAGCATCAGAGAAATGGTTGACTATCTTTACCTGATTAGAGGATGATGATTTCTTCAGTGAGCTAGGTTTTGGCTTCTTTGGCACTAGAACCTCAATTTGAAGATTGGAACCTGAGTTGACTCTTGTTGTTTCTGGTTTGATACGTTTTCTGAGTGGCTTACTAGCGTTAACTGGGGATTGAGATGCAATGACATCATCAATGATAACAGGCTTGGGGATTTCTTTCTCTCTTCGTATGACTGGCTTTGGAAGACTCTCAGTTATCTGTGGAGTTTGAATAAGCTCTTCATCTAGGGAAGGAGATTGTTTGTTAAATTCTGGAAGGGAATGAGTTTTGAGAATGGGAGATGATTGTTTGGGCGGGGATTTCGTTTTTCTAATTTTGATAACCTGTGGCTCAGGAGTTAACATGTCTCTGTTTCTATCAATATCATTAAGGTCAATACGATCGTCTTGAGGTTTGTTTGGAGTAAATTCTTGGCTCCATAGCATTTGGTCCATCGTTTGTGGTATTGTGGGATCCATATTGTCAGTAGATGGACTTTTAGTTGGCTTTGGTACATTTCTAATCTCCCTTGGTAACGATATTGAGGATAAACTACTCATTACTGAGGTAACATCAGACAGCAGATCTTCATCAGATGAATAATCGATAGTGTTAGGTTGTTGTTCTTCTTCTGTTAGCTCCTGTGCATGATCCTTCTCTTCGTGAGGGGAATAATATGACTGCATTTGTTTTGGAACACTTTGTGGCCTAGGAGTTTCCAATGAAAAGCTCATGTTTTGATAAGACTCTTCTGGTTGCTCTGGTTGTTCGAGAGGGTATTCATCATAGTGATTTTCTTGTTGGTCTTTCTTGATAATTTGACTTATTATTTCATCAATCAGCCAAACATGACCCCTTCCATCCTTATCACAAGCTACCAAATGAGATCCTGGAAGTGGAATGGAGCTTTTTACATTAATACGATTGTCTTTCTTCATGCTAAATACTGTACAAAATAAAATAGGAGTTTCAAAACTATACTCCATTACCAAGAGTTGACCAATATAGAATTGCATTGAATTTGAAATAATCCTGTTATTCTTATCCCTGAATGAAACGGAAAACACGTTTACCATATCATTATTCATGAAAAAGCAAGTTACTGAATTCACAGTTATATTCTTTTAAAAGTCAATAAGTGAAATGAGAGTTTACATACAGGTTGATCTGAAATAATATAGTATGCTATTTGTAAATTTAGTACTGTCTTTGAGTAAACGTCTTCAGACTCCTCATACAGATAAACTGTTCCTAGTTGATTACAAGCAATTAAAGATGACGAAGGCAAGAAGTCCCTCATTAGAGATAATGGACTCGATTCTAAAATGATTTGTTGAAGTAATTGTTGGTTTTCTATGTCGTGTCTGATTTACAATTAGATGAAAATTATTCCTTAATTAAAACCTACATTAATAAAATTCCATCTTGTCCACCTCCACTCACTATAAATGGGTTCTTTGAGTAGCCACTTGTTGGTATTACAATGGCCACTTTTTGAAGAAATTGTTTTTTGTGTACACCTTTCAAAGACCAGGCCAATTCAAAAGACTCGTCTTGATTCATTTCAACACTCTCCTCTCTATGAATCCATACTTTTAAATCTCCATTAATTGATCCAGTTACTAAATAATTATTCTCCATGTCAAAACAAGTGATTTGATCTTGATGTTGAGCACATCCAAATACATGGGTCGATCTGGCAAATAAACTATCATTCTCATAATATGTTTTTCCAAAGTGTACCACAGAGTAGAACATTTTGTTTGAATTTTGCTGTAAAAAGCAAATTTTGTATGCTGGACATCCATGATAGCATGGAGGCTCATCTTCCTCATTCTCAAATAAAATCCTTGATTTATAAGTCCTAGGTGTTGATAATTGATTATTAGAAATGAATTTGAACTGTTTCCATGGTGTATTCAGAGGAATGATATCACCTTCTGATTCTACAAACAATTTGTAAATTGCATATTCATTTTGTTGTATGTTGAAAAGTCTAATTATTAGACAAGGTCACTCTCTACAACTGCAAACAAATACTCACTTTAAATAACCCTTATTATCCGATATACCAATAACTTCATCTTCAGTATGAAGAGATGGTACTTGATAGATTGTTGTAGTATAATCCTTAGTTGATGCATCCTCTGCATACCGATCCAGATAAAAATCCTCATCAATCCTTGCCAATCTAAAGCCAACCTGTTGTTCACTGCTTGTTTTCTGCATTTTTTCTTTTTTTAAACTTAAAAATATGAGCACAACATTATCTGCTTCGGAACTGAATCAAAAGAATGAAACATTAATATTGAATATAATAATAGTAATATTGATTGCTAAAATTTTGAATATTATTTGGAAAAAGCTTATTCATGATAGATTAATTAATGGAACGGCTCGGAAATTGGAAAGGGAAATTGCTCTCCTTCAAAAGAGTAGCATTGCTCTTAACACACCTTCAAAGTTTGTAGAATATTCCAAGACTCAAAGAAGATGGAAAAAGAGAGAAAAGTTATTATCGGAAATTAAGAATACGTCATCTTATCGAGTTAAGATTGTTATTTCCTATGTCATACAATATGCACTTTCTCTAGGAGCACCTATTTGTTGCACTTTGTTGTGGTATGGGGAGAAGATTTCCACACTGGCCAGACCAGACTTTTGTTGTTTATCCAGAGGAGAATCATTGTGTTTGCCACAATTAATTTGTAGTGAGAGTGGATTTCAAATTGTTACTACATCATTTGTAATACTCACAATGAAGAGTTTGGATTATCTCAGTTCCATTCTGTTCAAATAAATTCATGATTTAAAATGCTATCACTGTTTGCAACATCATTGGATTCAAGGAATTGATTTAAATAATTTTTGGAGTTTTATTCAACAAATTTAGTTTTGCTTGTTGTTAACGGCAGCCTTTGGGGTGCTTCCGACCTTCCATCCGTTTCTTTCTCTTCTCAAAGCGAGCTTCAAATAACGACATCTACCAGTACCAGTGGTGTTTCTTCTAATAGCCTTATAAGCCCATTGGTACTTTCTGATCTTTGGTGATGGGAATCCGCAAGAAGCACAAGTCTTCTTTTGAATATGGTAAGATCTTCTATCACATCTTGGACACATACCGTGTGTCTTGGTGTGTCTCAAACCGAATGATTGGGTACCCTTGGTCATTTCTAATTTATTGATGAATAATGCAACTACGAGGGCAATACTTACTTTTCTAGTGACGTTTTTTTTTTCAACAAATTTTCAGGTTGATAGAAATTTTGGGTTGGTATTCTTTACAATGAAACTTTTTTGCTGGTAAAATGTAACTGGAAAAAATGTTGATGCTTTGCTAGCGTTAGTGCACGGAGTATCAATCATCAATTATTCATACTCATATTAGTACATAGATGATTATTATATAGAGATTGAATCATCATTATTGAACAAAATATATTAAATAAATATAATTTTTCTCATCAAACTTATAATATTCGGAAGATGGTAATCTAGGAAGACCATCACTGAACAGAATTTATTCTCAAGACTTGGTAATGAACATTATCATTGAAGAAGAAGTAATTGATAATTTAATAATAAAACAATTAAAAAATGAGTCATCTCGATCAAAGGAAGAGGAAATACAATGATGATGAGGACGATAATTCTCCATCCACAGACACACAACTCATGATCAGAGCAGACAGTCATGAACAAGATGAAAAGAGGAGAAAATTAACATCTTTAATGGAATTACCTCCACGTTCGTCATCGCTTTCAGCACCAATTTTAAAACTTGATGGACACAAATCCGAAGTATTTACTTGTAAATTTTCGAATAGTGGAAATTTTCTTGCTACAGGTTCAGCAGATAAATCAGTTTTATTGTGGGATGTTTTCGGAGAGAGTGCCAAGAGTGAAGATGATGACTTATCATCAACCACTGTGAATTATGGTAGCTTATTGGGACATAAGAATGCTGTATTGGATTTGGATTGGTTTACATCAGAGGATCGTATTTGTACAGCTTCAGCTGATAATACTGTCATCTTGTGGGATATTATCAAATGTCTTAAAGTGAGACAATTTAAACAACATTCATCAATTGTAAATTCTTGTTCAACATCAAAATATTCAAAACAATCGGATCTATTTGTATCAGCAGGTGATGATAGAGCCATCAATATTTATGACCAAAGAGAAAGAAAATGTATAAAAACAATCAAGAGCAAATATCCAGTCTTCTCGGCATGCTTTTCAGAAAATAATGATAGATTATTCACATGTGGAATTGATAGTGTCATTACTACATGGGATTTGAAAACTGATAAATTCATTTACAACCTAGGCAGTGGGCACACTGATTCAATTACAGATATCAAGCTTTCACCTGATGGTAATTTCCTCCTAAGTAATTCTATGGATGGCACATGTCGTGTTTGGGATTGTAGACATTATGCCGAATCTGCCAATAGATGTGTAAAATTATTTAATGGAGCTAAACATTCAATGGATAAGAATCTAGTTCGTGTTGCATGGTATAAGGATAGCTCATTGATTTCAACAGGTGCCGAAAATGATGTCATGATTTGGAATACCACTACAAGAAAGATTGAATATCAATTACCTGGACATCATGGTTCTGTAAATTGTGTTCATTTCCATCCTCAACAACCAATTATTGCCTCAGCTTCAAGTGACAAGACTGTTTATTTGGGTGAAATTGATTCAAAATCTATTTATTAAATAATAATTTTTCAATTTTGGCCAATCTTGCTTCTAAAACAGCTTTATCCTTATACAGATAAAGTTCATTAAAATCTTCAGCCTTCTTCTTTACCAGAGTTGACTTCTTGGGTGTTGCCTGTTGTAATTTGTTGCTGACATTGTTCACAATTTCACTTTCAGCAAGACTTTGACTCTTTTTCAACAATATTTGTTCCTCTCTTTTCACATTTTCCTTAAAGGTCTCTCTTGGAACCATCATAATATTATTGACAATAAAATCAACCATTACATCCATCTTTAAAAAGTTTTCACTATTAATCCATTCATAATTTGTTTCATCTTTTCTGAACCATGTATTTTGATGTTTGGAATATCTTCTGGTGGAAACTTTGAATTCTCTCAAAAATCTCAAGAAGGATTTCTTTAAAGCTGATTTGAAAAAGTGATCCCTCCTATCAACAGTTTTCATATAATTAATGAAATCATAAGCTTCCTTATAACCAATTGATCTGAATGGAACTGTATGATCTAGTAATATTCCTCGATCCATTAAACTGTATACTTCTTCTAAAAGTCCAGCTTCCACTAAATTTTCACATCTCCTTTCCAAACTTGCATAGAGTTTATATCTGTCTAAATAGAGAACAATTCCACGAACATCTAAATTATTTTCAGATACTTTATCCATAAATCCATTCTTATACTTGAATTCTTTCATTGTTTTTCCAGATTCAGTCACAATAGTATAAGCTCTATTCAATCTATATAAATCATTTCTGTGAATTTTTGATGCATATTCTGGATCTTTTTCTTGTAAAACTTTATATCTTCTATCCCATTCATCAGTTGAAACTCGTGTTAAATCATCCATTTTTTGAACAGAAAGAGTAGTTGGTTGTGGAATTTCCAAATTAGTTCCATCAATGAATGTATTCAAGTAAAAAGCACTTCCTCCAACGAGTATTGGCAATTTTCCTCTCGCCAGAATTTCCAAACACTTTTCATGAGCATCAACATAAAATTGTTGAACTGTATATTGATGAGTTTTATCGTGTGCACATTTTTCCAATGAAACATTATTAACTAAATGATGAGAAATTCCTTGCATTTCCTCTTCTTTAATTTTGTTACTTCCGATAGAACATTCCTTATACATTTGAACAGAATCTACATTAATAATTTCTCCATTCAATCTTTTAGCAATTTCAATAGAAATTGGTGTTTTACCTGTACCTGTTGCTCCTGTTATTATAAAAACTTGATTTTTCAATTCTTTTGCAATATTATTAGTATGATTATTGTTACTATCCATTGTTGTTGTATTATTAATAGTTGTTGTTGTTGATGAATAATTAAATTTAATAATAGGAGCAACATTTTGAATCAGTAGTGATTTGATAAATCCTCTTCGGAGCATTGCATTATTACATGATGGTGGACCACCAAACAACAATTTCAATCCTTGTTGTTGTTTGAACATTTTTTTTAAATTTCAATTTTTACATTAAAATTCAATAATCGATTGAAATCTCAATTTTTAAAGAAATTTGTTATTTATTTACACAAATGATTGAATACTAAGTAGTATATATATTTGATGATAATGATTACCATTGAGCAAGAGCATCATAATCAGAATCAATATTATCCAATTCACCTAATTCTTCCATTACCAATCTCATAAATTCATCAGTTTTAGAGAAAACTCTCAATGCAGATAAATTATCACATGGTGTCTTTTGTAAATTTACAATACACATAATAGATCCCTTATTTTTCAATGCCATTTTTGGAAGTTGAGCAGCTGGATTAACCATCATTGAAGTTCCCAATACAAGTGATAAATCAGACTTTTTAGAATGGTCAATTGCATTGTCTAATTCCTTTTCAGGTAAAGATTCAGAAAAGTGAATAATTGTATCTTTGAGTTTTCCACCACATTCACAAAATCTTCCTGTCAAGTGAGTAGTATGACGTTGAACTGTCTTTAAAACATCAAATCCTCTCAAATATTCCTTTCCACAATCAGCACAAACTTCACGATAACAATTTCCATGTAATTCAGATAATTCATCTGGAGTCAACCCACTTCTACGATGTAATCCATCAACATTGGTAGAAACTACATATTTCACAAAACCTAATTTGATTAAATGCTTAATAGCATAATGTGTAAATGTTGGTAATGCTTGTTCAATATCAATTTTGGCAATTTCATTTTCCTTTCCTGAACTTTTCAATGTCCAAACTCCCTTAGGTCCACGATAATCTGGAATTTTAGCACTTGTTGAAATACCTGCACCTGTATAAACAGTACAATGTTTACAATTCTTTAAAACTTGTGCCAATTGACTTGCTTTTTCTTTAAGAGTCATTTCATCTTCCATAAATTCACGAATATCTTCTGGAACACCTGTAATTGAATTAATCATATCAGAGTGGTCATTATTCTTTGGAAGAATTCTATTACCAAAATCAATTTGATCATTATCACCAACAAAATCCAATAATGAAGATTCCTTAGTTTCTGATTGAGTTAATGAGGAAGAATTGAACTTTCTAATTTGATCGAGGAAATTACCAGAAGTAGTACTAGATGATTGTTCTCTCTTTGCTTTGAGTTTTTCTTGAATTTCTTTTGATTTCTTAATTGATTTTTCCTTTTTTGCTAACAATTCTTGTGGATCTTGACCTGAGAGAACTTTTTCATTGATGAATTTTTCCATTCTTCTTTCAAATTCTTGTTGAATTCTATCTTTGAAAGCCTTTTCTGATTTGGTGGAGACATATCCACAACCTTCACGAACTGCAACTTCTGTACTCATAATAATTCCATTTTTGGAATTTACAAATCTGGAAACAAATTGAATGGAACTTCTATTATCTTGTAAAATTGATTCATCAACTGATTGATAGACAAGAGATGAATCTAAAAGAATAATTCCACTTTCAGTTTCTAATCTAAATTTAACATTTTGACAATCAATATTCGAAACTATTGCCAATTGATTACAGAAACTATTCAATAAATCATTAGTTAAAGCCAATTGATCAGTTACAATAAATACAATTTCACAATTATTCAAAGTATCTAATTGTAAAGTCTTAATCTTATTTGAACAATTAGAGTTCAATAAAATTGTGGAATTTTCACACTTGATAATTTCAACAAAACCAGTTGTAATTGAGTTGACTTTTGTAATAATAATAATTCCTTTTAGCAAATGGTGATTGAATGAGTGCTGACATTTTTTGTTGATTGGAAAATCTCTTTCAAAGGTTGAATAAGCGTTTTATTGAAAATAGCAGAGTTCCAATTTCATTGATTGTTGTTGAGGTTTCTAATAGAATTATCGGAAATGATGAACTATGCTGGTGGTAGTATTGCACAATACAAAGTTCCGACTTCATTGCAATAGCTGAAAAGTAATTTCCGCTTATCCATCAAAATGAAACATTTCTATTGGTTGATTCTGCACCAATCTTTCAAACTTGTTACATTTCATCGACTAATTTATGATGGAAGCACATTACAACAACATTTTAGTTGAGGAATGGTTTCGCCTAGACATTAATCATATCTATCATGGTCCTGTGCTGTTAAGTTTAACAAAATAATTCTATCTAATAAACTATCAACACTATTTCTATTATTTCAATAAGTCCATAATTGGTTTTTTTATATAATTATTGTTTGCATTGACTTTTGTGAATTGGCCAATCAATACTTTGACAATCTTGTCCACAATATTTAACTTTTTTACAATAACCACAAAGTAAATTCTTTTTCTTCTCCTTCTTTCCACAACAATCACATCTGTTCTTATCAAACTCAACTATTTCTCTATTAATATCAATATCAGTATCAGCCTTAGCATACGAAAAGCCAATTGGAGGTTTTGCACCTTTTAAAATTGCTCCACGTATTGATAACAGGTTCATACAATTTGGAGAAAGATAAGGATCTCCAGACTTGACAGTTTCTTGAGCCCAATTTAAATACCTGGTAAATGACGTTGAATTTCCAATTTGTGGGTCTACAATAAGTCTGGGATATGATACAATTAGAGAAACTATAAAACTTGTAAGGTTTGATAATATGTGTGATTGACTTAAATTAGCAATGTCAATGAAATATAAAAATCCTCCCTTTGTTTTGTCTAATATGTAGTGCAAAATTGACTTGTTTTCATGATCTTTGATATTCGCAAGATACATCACCAAAGCTGCTGAATATTTCACTAATCCTTGTTCTTCCTCTTTTATAATCTTGACAGGTGGTGGTAAACGAAACTGTAAATTAGCTATACAAGTAAATGCAAGCTCTTTAGCTTTTTCGAAAGGAATTCTAGATTGAAATGATTGAAAGACGAAACAATTATTGAAAATATCCATACACGCTTTTGTAACTGCGATTGACTCATTCTTGTAATTGTTAAATATTGGATATAGCTTGTCTAAAATTTGATATTGTTTCTCCAACATGTTTCTAAAGCTTCCTGTTTGATTTTTGTAACACCATGAAAGCGTACTTAGAGCCATTTCCAAATTTTGGTGATGTGAATCTAATGTAATAAAGGGCATGCAAACATCTACGACTCCAAGATCATGCATTTTGTATGCAAAATCAACAGAAATATCCAACAATATTTGGAAATATTTTTGAAAATCTGAAATAACTCTTTCTTCAACAGTATTTGGACCATATTCCTTTAAATGTGAATCTATCCTTTTGATTACATCAGGTACAATACTGAGCCCTTTCTTTAATACATACATTATTCAAATCAATGTTGGGTTAAAACTTACATGAGTCATTAAAACAATTTTGTCTACATCTTCGTCTTCAACTAATAATAACTTAGAATAAAGATAACAGGAAGCACTGTGAAATTCAGTATCCTTTTTTGAAAATCTGATTGCCTGTAAGAATATATTACATAATTTACCAATATGGAAATCCTGTAGCTGTTTGATAACTGGCCAAAACTTGTTTTGAAATACTGCATAAAATAGTCTAAAACCTAATACAGAAATTGTATAATATTTCTTGCTTTTGTTTCTCACAAACATTAAATCGTTGAGTAATTCCTTAACCTTTTGTGATACTTCAAATCTATGTCTTGTAATTGGATCCATAAGAAAGAAAATGTTACCAAACATGATGAGCAGAGGTTTCAAATTTTCATCGCAAAGATCATCGCTGTAGGAAAGGCAAGTAACAAAAAACTGATCTAAATTTGAAACATTCATCGCTTTTCTTGAAAAACATTCTCTATTACAAACCATTAGTGTTATGGCCTCAGATTCTTCCTTTGTTGGCTGATTGTTCTTACATTTTGACATTAATCCGTCAAGTAATTCATTACACTTTTGACGAAGGTCTCTTTCATTCAAACATCCATATGTCTTTACCCAATTAAAACTGTTGTAATTACTTGGTAACATCAAAGAAGATTCAGTGATGGAAAATAACTTATCAGCTGGTTCGTCAATAGGAAGGGATGAAACACTATCAACAAATGCATCTATTCCATTTTTAGGTTTGGTTTCAAGTGCTTTCTTAACTTCTTCCTTTAAAGATTTCAATATTTTTCTTCCTTCATCATCATTAACTCTTTTACAATTTTGTAATCCCAATATACAAACAGTATTAGCTTCTTCAAATCTAGTCAATAATAAAAGAATTTTAGCTTTTCTTGAATAAGCCTTGTACCACTTGTTATCTAATGAAAGTGATTTGTTTGCGTCTTCCAAGGCTTCGCGATATTTTCCCATCTGAATATACGTTTGTGCTCTATTTCCTAAATAAACAGAATTGTTGGGATCCAATTCAATAGCCTTGGAATAGTGAGTAAGGGCCTGAAGAAAATTCTTATCTCGGAAAAAATCATTCCCCAATTTCTTTTCCTCTTCAGCTTGAACAATATTGTTGTTCATTTTTTTTGTGCACGAGAGCTTAATGTAAATGTTAAGGCAGTGTAGGCAACAAAACACTTGAAACCAGAAAGCGGTTCGAGGAAAATTCATGTGATGGAGTGAGACAGAGAGAAAGTCCAATCACAGTGTGTATCTATTTGTTGAATGCTTAATGTGGCAGAAGGTAACCCCACTTCAAGAAATGCAGTTGTACGACATTTACGTACTAGAGATTAGAGATGGGGAATAAAACTAGCTTTATGTTTCGAGGCTAATTGGAATTTGGATAGAAGACAACTTTACACAAGATGCCATGTTTGCTAATGTTGGATAGAATCTAATTGGAAGAATCGAAATGATCATCGAATGTTTATTTAAAAATACGCGCAAAAACTGGTCTTTCAAAAACAAAACAAAATGCAATCAAATCCTATTGAAACTCACCAAAATACTTCATCAAATATTAAACAATACTTTGAAAATTGGAGGAAATTAATCAAATCTAATCCAGTTGTTACCGCTCAAGTAATAATCATTGCTATCATGTTGATACTTTTTATAATATCAACATTCGGACAAAGTGAAAGAGATATCAGTTCTGCTACATGTTTATTGGCTGTCAAGTTTGTTTTACCATTCTTTTCGTGTATATTTTGTTTGGCTAGGAGTAAGCTCTTGGTAGGAGTGATGGCCTTCCTTTCATTAATCTCACTCACTGCAGGAAGTTTATGTGCATTCTTGATCATGTATCCATTCCATGGTAAGGTTGTGGAAGACCCATTAATTAGTGGTCCTGCTTGGGGAATTATGGGATTTGAAGTCGTTTCATTTTCTTGTCAAATTGTAATGATTTTCTGGATTAGGTCCATTGAAAAGACACCTAGTGAAACAATGAGTATTCCACAACAAGAACAAGTACAACTTAATGACGAAGAAGATCAAGTTTAATTTACTTTTTAGGTTTTTCTTTTCTAATAAACTCAATAGTATTTTCACTATCCTCACAATTTGAATAAGTTTCTAAATATTTCAGAGAGGGCATTAGTTTCTTAAGAGAAGGTAGATTTAAATCATTAGACCTCCAAAAGAATGTTTTTAAACATAAATATTCCACATTACTGAATACACCAGAATTAGGAACATCGATCATAAATAATTTCTTGGAATCAATAATTCCAACTAATTGAACTGAACGAAGTTCCAATTCTTCTACATGATCTGGAATATTCATTTCAATGGAAGTGTTTTTAGCAGCCTGTAAGGCCAAATTGTTAATAGATTTCATTCGCTTTAACATTTTCTCAACCTGAGCTGACTTTAGGGATGTTTTTGTAAAATTGTTAATTTTTAAAATGTGAAGATTTGGAAATGTTGAAGGATCTAAAATATCTAATAATGTTTTTGATAAGTTAATTTTTGTAAAAGTTATTCCTCTAACACACTCAGAAAGTGAATTCAAGATGGTGGCGACGAAATCTGGACTACAATCTTCTAATGTTACGTATTCAACAACTTTCAAAACCTGATCAAGAATTTTCTTATCTGGAAGACCTTCATTCTTTTTAAAGTTTTTGCATGTGATTTCTTTCAAGCATTGATTTGTTGAAGGCAATTTCTTAAGGCAGTCATAACCAATTGATTCTCCATTCACAATCATAGAAACCAAGTTTGGTACATATTTGATCATTGAGTCATGATTAACATAGGCCCTCTTTACAAATGGGCAATCTAATTTTACAATTACTGTAACATGCTCTAAATCTATTAAATCCCAAGCCATAGTAGGTTCCTTTACATTCAGTACAGCAATATCATTTAGACCTAAACTTGAAAGTTGTTTAGAATCAATGCTTAAATTTTCTGATCTAAAAACAGTACATTTCTCCAAAGTTGGGCACTGAATCACTATATTGGAAAAGTCACTTATATGTAAGCTTGTGATAGTTGGGTGGGATATTGTAATCTCTTTGGTTTTTTTGTGATGGGATGTTATACAAAGATGTGTAAGGGTTGGAAACTGCTTCAAAGCACTTGATGCCTTGGAGAATACATTGAGTATGAAAGGACTTGAATGACAGCTCAATGATTTTAACTTGTCAAAAACAGTATCTGTTCTCTCGAATATCGTACAGTAAGCCGAAATGTCATCCTTTTCTGGGGCAGCATTTTTTGAGTGATCAAGGGGTATGGCCTTTGCCTTAATGTTATGCTTGTTTACCATATTTTCAATACCTGGAATTCTGGTATAAGTTTTGATTGCATCAATTCTAAATGTAATGTACTTTTCAAAAAAAATCATTTCACTTTTAACATCAATTGGATATTCATAATGAACAAGTGCTTGTGGCAATTCACTCGCTTGTTTCCACAATTTGCAAACTCTATTAATTTGAACAAATTCCTTAACTGGAAGGTATGAAAATATGATAGCCCATATTTCTGGAATATCAAGTTTAAAAAGAAAGTAACTATCCTGAGAGGGATTAATTGTTCGAATAGAATTGGACGTCATGAACATGTCTGCTTGCATTACAGAAACCAAAAACTCATCAGTCACTTGTTTCAAATGTTTAACAATATTAATTGACAATTCTTTTTGTTTCAAATTAGTTTCATCAGAAAAGAGCCTTCGGAGAGAGTCTTCATCCTTTAATTTCTTGACTGTCTGTGCCATCCATTGAACAAAATCATCCGATGATGTCTCACACTCAATCAAAACTTGATCACTATTCTTCTCTTTAATTTCTTCATCAGTACTTGATGATTGTTTCACCTTTTTTACTTCTACTTCACAAGCAGAATCTGCTTCCGTAATCTTTCTCTTACTGGCCACTTTTTTGTGTGGTGGCATTTTTTAGTTTCACCGATTAGCAACAAACATCTCGATTTTGTAATCGAATAATGTTGATTGATTCTTGTTCGAAAAATACAAATTTACGAATGTTGTTTTGGCGCCATTTTTGTTTTTCAATTTTAAAAAAAAATGTACAGTAATGATCCTTTTGATGATGGGGAAAGAGTGAATCGTTTCTCTTCATTTGAACAGTCGGAGCCAGCGTTTGATGAGAGGATGATGGAAGATAGACAACAATCATTTGGTGGTCCTTCTTCAAACTCAGCCTTGGATCCAGCCCTTAGAGCTCTTATTAAATATAGAAGAAGAAAATTTACAGAGTCTGTGGATGCTTGTAATCAGTTATTATCCAAAAATTATAAGGATATGTCCATGTGGTATATAAAATGTAGGGCGTTGACTGCTAAAATGTGGATTGATGATACAGAAATGGAAGATGAAGGTATTGCTGATATTTTACTTGATGAAACATCGGTAACAACAGCTCCTCGTCCTGGAACTTCTCTTAAAAGACCACACACTAATTCATCAGGCAAAAGAAGTGCCAATCCGAGTGTCAGACCTCAAACTAAGGATGGAAGACCAATCACTGGTTTTTCAAGACCTGGTACCAATAGCGGAAGAAACACTGCAAGTAGAGGTGGGACAGGAACACAAAGTAGAGGTGGAACTTCAAGTATTGAAAATATATTTAAAGGTGCAAGACCTGGAACAACAAGACCAGTTACTACAACAGGTAGATTTGTTCGTTTGGGTACTGCCTCAATGAAAATATCTGGACTTGATCAAGAATATGCAATTTCAACAGAACATATTGATTTGAAAAAGTATGCTGCTATTCCTCCTCTTGCTAAAGCATTGTATGACTATTTTATAGTTGTGGAACATGATGTAAAAAAAGCATTAGAATTGGCTTCTTATGCTACAATTGAGGCTGAATTTAAGGATTGGTGGTGGAAGGCTCGTCTCGGAAAATGTTACTACCAATTGGGTTTATTGAGAGAAGCTGAAAAACAATATAGATCTGCAATCAAGAGCCAGCACATGATTGCAACATGCTTGGAATTAGGCAAAGTTTTCCTACGATTGGATCAGCCTAATAAGGCTTTAGAAGAATACGAGTCAGCATGTTTGAAATTCCCAAATGATACACATTTGATACTAGGTATTGCAAGAGTTTATGATAGTATGAACGATCTGGACAAGGCCATTCAATATTATGAAAAAGTGCTGCATCTTAACAGTAGTAACGTTGAAAGTATTGCTTGTTTGGCAGGTAACTATTTCTATGAAGATCAACCTGAAGTAGCTATCAGACTGTACAGAAGATTGATTCAAATGGGTGTTAATAATTCAGAATTGTGGAACAATTTGGGACTTTGTTGTTTCTACGCTTCTCAATATGATATGGTATTCTCATGTTTTGATAGAGCTCTCCAATTAGCTGAAGATAATAATGAAGCAGAAGTGTGGTACAATATTGGTCAAGTTGCCATTGGTATTGGTGATGTTGGTCTTGCATATCAGTGTTTCAAGATTGCCACAAGTATTGACAATGAACATGCAGAAAGCTTTAACAATTTGGGTGTTTTAGAATTGAGAATGGGCAATACAGAAGAAAGTAAGAATTACTTTGCTCAATCAATGGCTCTTGGACCAAGTCAACACGAACAAATATTCAACAATGCCTTATTATCATTCAAGAGAGGCAATCACCAACAAGCTCACGAACTTGTATTGAAGATTCTGAAAGATATTTATCCTGAACATGCTGATTCTCAGGAATTGAGGAAGAAATTAGAAGCCAAATATTTAATGCTCTAAATAAATTGTCAATAAACCAATATTTAAAAAATGCAACAATCTAGTCGGAGATTAATCTCCAAATTACGAGCATCACCTTCACTACTTCGGAGGAAAACAAATAATATTTCTTTATCATCAAATTATTCTTCTTCTTTTCATCGATCCATTATTAAACAAAATACTAATAATAATAGCAATAATACTGTGGAAATAATTAATGAAGAAAAGGCTAAAGAACCTATTAAACTTCTTCAAAGAACAATTTCCTATCCAATTTATGAATCATTAGAATTTAATGATAAAACTCATCTAGTCTATCAAAAGGAATTTAAATTATTGGAATCAAAATCTTTAAATTTAGAAATTAATACACGTAATATGAATGTAGAAATTTGTAATTATCAAGATGATGATAGTGATTCTATTAAAATTGAAATATATACACATAATTGTAATCCATATTCATGGTATGATTTAAATAATACACCACAAGGCTTCTTCTCCGATTATAAAATTGAACATTTATTTAGAGATTTAACAAATACATTGAGAATTAATGTTCATCAAGCACCAGTTCCTTCTCTTTTCTATAGACATAAATTATTTAATCAAACTATTGATAATGTATTTCTTCCTAATGAAGTTTCTAAATTTATTGAAAGTAGAACTAAATTTACAACAATGAAAGTTTATTTACCTAAAGAAAATAATTCAATTAAAGTTGAAACTGATATTGGAAATATTATATTTAGAAATTTGAAAAATTTAAATGAATGTTTTGTAAAATCATCATTTGGATCATTATATATTGATAAAGATGGCATTGATAATGTAAAAAAATTTAATTTGGAAATGTTATATGGATCTTGCTTTATTAAGAAAGTATCTAATGTGGAAAATTTGAAAATTAATCATTTATTTTCACTTATAGATCATTTTGGACGTGGAGCTGGAATTTTAGCATCAAATTCAATTACATTAGATAATATTGATTCAAATTCTAATGTAAATATTCATACAATAGATCCAATAGATATATTTGTTAATCAGATTAGTCTTACAAATAATAATACTCTATCAATTTCATGTAGAACTAAAGATGGTACTTTATTTACGTATACTTCAAATGGAATTCAAGTTTTTGTATCTGATGAAGTCAATTCAGGCACAAATTCAAAACTTAAAATATTCTCAGATTCTAATCCAATTACTTGCTATTTTGATAAGAATTCTGTTGTAAATTATAAAGTACAGGCTGTTTCACAAAGAAGTGATGTCTCAGTAGATTACAACAATATAATATTTGATGGAAGTGATGTTGTGAATAGTGTGAATGGAACAATTGTTAGTAGAAAAGATACTAAACGATTACATCTTCTCAATCAATCAATAATTGATTCTCCTCAAGAAGAAAATATTGATACTACTGCTACTGATTTATCCTCATTAACTGAATGCCCAATTGGTGGTGATGTATCAATGACTTGTAGACATTCACAAATTCACATTAAACAATATGAATATCTTTTATTGGGTGATGGTGAACAAGGTGCTGATTCTGATTTGAGTACAAGACGATTACTCTATCAGAAACAAAGTACCTCAGAGTATTATATTGAACTTTTGGATTATAGAATTGCAAAGAGAGATGCTTTTGTTTACGTTTCCATAGCTGTTTTATTGATAATTTATGTTTCCATTATCAAATTTTATTCAATTCCAACATTTGAAAAGCAAGCTTGGTTGAACAATAGTGGAATGGCTTCAACGATGGGAAATCCAACTGAGGCTTTAAGACCAAACACTAAATAAATTAAATATTTAATTTCCTACTTGTTGAATAATGAATAGTAACAAATAATAATACATGTAAATACTGTAATAGAAAGTGTTACTAATTTAACAATTTCAAAATCTTGTAAGTTTCCAACTGGTATATCTACTGATATTATTTGAGTATTTTCTGAATTGATAATATTAAATTCCTTTCCATCAATATAGAAAATTGTTGGGATATTAATTTGCACAGTTGTGAAAGATTCAGTTGAGCTTGGAAATTGATATCTAAAATGTATTGGATATTTAAAAGTAACAGTGAATTCATTTCCACTTTGTTTTACAATCTTTGACAATGTGACATTATGTTCAGTACTAGAATATGATGGTGCCTCAACATTGATATAATATTGATGTTTGGGTAAGAGAATTTCTTTCATATTATTAATTTCATAAATATCAATATAAATATCCTTTGATAATTTTTCCACATAGGAAATATTCATCAATTTACCAACAGCACTGTTCTCGGAATTATTTAATTTAATTCTAAATGTGCTAATTAATTCTCTGTGAAATCCTTGTTTTGTTAATTCCCTAGATATTAAAGATACTTCTTGTGTAGTAACAAATTCTAGTTGTTGAATAAATAAAAGAGTGCCAATAATTAACATAATAGTGTTCCGAATAATCTTATTGTACATTTTTTTAATTTAGTTTTTTACATTTGATTATTTTCTCTTACAATCTTTTGGATCAACTCTAATTTGGATTGTTCCATTTCTTGAATCTTATTAACAATGAAAAACATTTGATCTTTGGTTGTTTGTGCAACACTATCACATTGTAATCCTATTGAATTAATCTTTGAGAAACATGTTGAAATCTTTTCAAACATATTCTTTGAAATCTCTGATTGATCATTAGCTGAACTTTCTTGTTCATTCTTCATTTCTTCAACTTGTTTGGAAACATTTTGAATAGTTTCTGTCAATTCTTTAGAAACTTTATCCAAATTCTTCTTTTCTTCCTCTAATTTTTGGAGAACATCTTGTTTCACCTCATCTTCTAATAATTTAATACATTCTATCAAATCATCCTTTCCATTATTCAACCCCATTTCTGTTATCTTGGCTTCAATTTGTGTAATTTGTTCTACATTCTTTGAAATCTTTCCAAGTACTTCATCGTCAATGGTTTTTCTTAAACTGGAGAGAGTTTCAGATTGTTCTTTGATTTGAGAAAGAGTTGGAGCTATTTCCTTATCGAGTTGTACCTTGATTTCATTTTCTTGGTTTTGTTTAAATGTAGATATAATATTTTCTTTCAATTCCACTTCTCTCTTTTCCAAACTTTCAATATCCAGTTTTTTCTTATCTAATTCTTGTAATTGGGTTTGAATTTGTTGAACCATTTCAGAATATTTCTTGAGATTTTCATCTTGAACGGATTGATTTTCTTTAGATATTAAGCTTTCCACTTGTGTTTTAAGATCTGAGAGTGTTTGAATTGTTATCTTATCTATAACTTCCTTCAATCCAGTTATGGCTGTTTGATTTTCCTCGATTTGCTTCTTCATAGCGTCATTATCTCGTTTTTCTTTAAGGTTAGACAAAATATCTGAAGTTTCTGTCTTGAACTTTTGCAAATCCTCAAGAATCATATTGTTACACTTGGAATCTAATTCATAAACATCAAAGTGTGATTTAATATCACCCTTGATCTTAGTATTATCTTCTTGTAAAGCAGTAATAATATTGGAATCAACAGTTAAAATATTTTCACTCGAATTCTTTAAATCTTGTACAAGTTTATCTGACTCGGCAAACTTTTCTTTCATTTCTTCAACTGATTTAGAGGTTTCATTCAATTTGTTTTGAATTTCTTCTTGATTTTCATTTAACTTCTTCAACGCTTCCTTAGTGTTTTGATCATCCTTTTCATTTTCCTCCAGCTCGTTTCTTAGATCCTCAATTGAAACTTCAATTGTTGCAAGTCTATCTATTGGAAGAGAATTCTTGATATCTAAAACAGAATTAACAATATCAGATGCTGTAGCTCTAACTTCTGAAATAGATTCATTCATATTTTGAATGGATGTTGTCATGGTATCTTTAACATTTTCAATGGATGATTTGAGGGAAGATATACTTTCATCCATTTCAGTCTTGTTGATATCATTAACTTTTTTGATATTTTCGTCTAACTTGTTTTGAATATCTTTCAATTCATTCTTTGTCTCATTGTCATCTTTTTCATTCTCCTGTATATCCTTTCGTATTTGATCCAAAGATTCTTCAATCTTTCCAATTTTTTCTAAAGGTAATTTTGATTTAATATCAACAACTTCATTAGAAAGTTCGTTTTGCTTTTCTTGAATATTGATTACGCTGTTTTGTAATTCATTGATCTTATTTTCACTATTTGTGATTGCTTTTACGCCATCCTTTGCAGATTTGATTTCCTCTTTGTGTGATTCGAGTAATTTTTCTTGGGATTCTACTTGAGTTGTTAAACTAGAAATTCTTTCATCATGGGATTTGACTTTTTCCTCGGTGGATGTAATTTGATCTTCAACCTTTTTGATTTCCTCTGCTACTACTTGTTGGACTTTTTCACCAAGCGATGTTTCTGAAACTACATTGTCCATCTTCTTGCTGACTTCTTGCAATTGGTTTTGGGATTCTTCTTGATTCGCCTTAATATTAATGTTCTCATTTTCCATTGTACTAACAGATGATACGACATTTTCAATCTTTCGTAGAATGTCTGATTGAGATTTCTTGAGTTGATCCACTTCATCTTTTCCTTTGATTACCTCACCTTCCAAATTGGTTACCTTTACAGCAACATCAGAAACTGTACCATTAACAATAGTTTCCATTTCATCAAGTTTTGTTTTGAGCTTGTTATAATTTTCAGTGTCAAGTTTAGAGATTCTTTCAGCAATCTTGTCTTCAAATTGGTCTGCCAACTTTTTAACAGAATCATGTGATTCTTTCAAATCATTCAAGTTTGTATTCAATTCCTGAACCTTGTTTGAACTTTCAGTTAATTTTTGATGAATTTCCTGTTGATCTTCATTCAATTTCTTCAAGAGTTCCTTTGTATTTTGGTCATCCTTTTCATTTTCTTCAAGTTCATTTCTTATTTCTTCCATAGAAACTTCCATGTTTGAAATTGTATCGATTGGTATTGAATTCTTGAATAAATCGACAGAGTTAACAATCTCTGTTGCTGTATTTCTCACATCAGAAATAGATTGATTCATTTGTTGAATTGATGTTGTTAAAGATTGATTGATATTATCGACATCGTTCTTTACACCATTAATCTTGTCTTCCAATAAAAGCTCTTCCTTTCTAATTTCTTCAATGGAAACTTCCATTTTTGAAATTGTATCAATAGGTAAGGTTTGTTTAACGCTTTCCACAGACTCTATAATTTCGCTGGCTGTGTTTCTAACATCTAATATTGAGCTGTTCATTTGTTGAACAGATGTCATCATGGTATCCTTAACATTTTCAATGTCATTTTTAAGTGATAATATCTTTTCATCAAATTGTTGTTCAGTAGAAGTATTATTGGTTTCTATCAATCCCTTTAATTCTTCTCTAGATGTAGTAGTATCATTTTTCAAAGTTGCAACATCCATTTCTAAAGTGGTAACAGATTTCTCCAATGATTGTGTTGATATCTTTACATGTTCATCAATAGTATTTGATAATTGTTCTTGGGCAGATTTCAATTTTTCTTCAACGATAGCATTTACATCCAAACTAGAAGCAATCTTTTCGTTCAACTCTGCTTTGGTTTCATTGACATTTTCATGTAGACTATTCACATTCTCACTAATTCTTTCTATTTTATCTGAACTATCTTTCTCAACTCTTACTAATATTTCAGAACTATTTGCAATTTGTTTAACAATTTCTTGAGTCTTATTATTCAAAATTTCAATCTTGGAAATGGTTTCAGTATTACTACCTTCTAATTTCTTTATGGATTCAAGAGCTGGTTGTAAATTAGTCTCAATCTTCTTGATTTGTTGTTTAGCATCTTCTATTCCTTTAGAATTTTCTTTAGAGTCATTCTTAACAGTTTCCAAATCTGTCTTTGTTGCTACAGTCTTGGTGGCTTCAGCTTGCTCCTCTTTGAACTTGAGTAATTTTTCAATCTTGTCATTCACAGTACTAAACTTTTCCAAAGAATTATCTCTAATATTTTCAAACTCCTTTTTCAAAGCATCAACCCTTTCAGTTGTTAATGTTAATTGTTGTGGTCTAACAGATTCTAATCTGATTTTATCATAAATATCTGAAATCTTCTCTTTAATTTCAAGTTTAACGCTCTTCTCTAGAGTTTCAATTTCATCTTTGAGTTTTTGTTTTTGATTGTCGTTGAGAGAATTCATTAGATCATTAATCTTTTTCAAAGATGTATCAATCTCTGACTTGGTATCTTGAATAAGCTTTTCAAATCTATTAATAACAGATTTCGTGTCTTGCTTAAGAGAATCTGTAATTCCAATAATGTTTTCAATTTTAGAATCAGAAGATTGAGAGTGTTCCTTGAGTGCTGTTGAAACTGTATCAATCTTATGATGTGCGCTCTTGGATTGTTCTTGCAAGGTTTCTGTTGTTGAAACGACTGAAGAAATTTTCTTGTTGATTGATTCTTCCATATTAGATACGTCTGTTTTTTTAACATGTTCAGTGATTTGTTTCTTGATTGCTTCAATCTTTTCATTCAATTCCTCTTCTGCTTTTTTAATCTTTGTAATTGTATCTTCTTGCTTTTTAGATGTATCACTTGTCGATTGTTCCAAATCTCGTTGAATATCGCCAAGATCCTTGTTGGTTTGAATTTTCATGTCATCCAAAAGAACCTTGAAATCATCTAATCCTTTTCTAAGTTTTTCTGCTGATTCTTTAAGCAAGGAATTCTCCTCCTTGAGTCTTTCTAATCTAAAGGTTGTATCGGAAATAGAGTTCTTTAATCCAATTTCTACATCAGATACTGAATCCTTCAACTTTCTGATACCTTCACTATTTTCATTATATTGTTGTTGCGATGTTGTACTATTGTTTTCAATCTTCTTATTAATTTGTTGAGTCTCTGATTCAATGGAGGATTTCAAGTCTTTAACCTCATTATTTAGTGACTTCTTTACAGAGGTAATAGCTTCATCAGAATTTTCCTTATTCTTATTGATTAAATCCTTTGATTCCTTCTTAAATGATTCCAAATCATTTTGTAAGGTATTGGATTTATCTTCAATAGTTTTCTCTAGAGTTTGACTTGTTTGGGTAATGTTCTTCTTGAGCTCTTCTTTTTGTTTTGTCATTGACGTTTCCAAATCAGTTTTAGATGTATTGATCATACTCTTAAGATCAATAAACTTTTTATCAATCTTGGAGTTTGTATCCTTTTCTCTATTAATAATATCTGACTTGACTGAAGAAATGTCCGAGTCGAGTTTCTTAGAAACTGTTCTGACTTGTTCTTCTGCTGAAGTTTTGTTGGCATTAATTTCCTTCATCAAACTTTGCTCTAGCTTATTAGTCTTTTCATTCAAGTTTGTGTTGGCTTCAACCAACTTCTTAGAGACGTTTTCAAAGCGTGCATCATTCAATTTTTGCTTTGAATTAACATCTTGCTCTAATTTTACAATATGTTGCTGCTGTGTTTGTATCTTTGTATCCATTTCCTTCTTGAGATTATCACTCTTTGTTAATAATTCTTCCTTATTTACGGTTAAAATTCTATTAACTTCAACTTCATGCTTTGAAAGGTTTGTTTTCATTTCATTCCTAGCATTTTCCAAATTATCAGACAATGTTAAAGTTTCAGAATCGAATTTAACATTAAGGGCTGATATTTCAGAAATTAATTCCATTTCACTTTCGTTTAAAATCTTTTGAACATCACTAACCTTTTCTTGAACGTCATTTTGAAGTCTACTATGTGATGCGATCATATCTTGTTTCAAGTTGTGTATAATCTTTTCTGTACTGGATTTTGTAGCTTGAACTCCTTCCTTTAGGTTTGAAGCTTCGTCCTTGAGATGAACGTTTGTCTTTTGAAGATCATGTTCCAGCTTTTCTACTTTTAAATCCATATATTGTCTAGCTACTTCTGAGGCACTTTTCAATACAAACTCATCACCTCTATTCATGGTTTTAATTAATTCTTCTCTCAGAGTAGTATTCATATAATCAAATAATTCTCTCTTCAAATTTGAAAGAGAAGAATTAAATTCTTTTTGAACTCCTGTTGCTGTTTCAAGAGCTTTAGCCAAATCCTTTTTGTGTTCTTCAATTTCTGTAAAGGCTTTTTCATTGCTTAATGTGAGAGAATCAACTGATAAATCAATTTTCTTATTCAATAGCTCTAAAATTTCGTGTTTTGCTTCGTTTTGTTGCTGTTTATGTTCTAAAAAGTCTTGTTTCACCTGAATGATACTCTTATCTATATATTCTTTGGTATTTTCCATAAAGCCTCGTATTCTCTTATCAATGTTATCAAACTTTGATAATAATTCAACTTTGATTTCATCCAATGAATCACTTGTTACATGAAGAGAACCAGAATCTCTATCCTGAGTATCTATTGAAGAGTATGAAGTATTACTTAAAGATGGAGTGATAAGATTTGTAGAGCTGATCAATGAATTTACGAAGAGTTTCTGTTTTTCTTCCGAGATGGAAATTTGTTCATTCATATTAGATTGAAGTCTTTTCCAATCCTTAGTTCTTAGTTGATTAAAGTCTTGTTGTACGGATATGATGGTGTTTCTAAAATTTACTGCCTGTTCTTCTAACAATTTCTTAAATAATGTAAATTGTTCTTCTATTAATTCATGTTGAGCAACGGCTGTTTCCTCCTTCTTTTCATTCAACAATACTTCCTTCACAATATTTCTTCGTTGTTCATCATACTCCTCCGAAGATATAAAACCCTGATTTAATAATTCCTTGAGAAGGAATAAGGTTTGTAAATGTTCCTTCATGATTTAATCACAATGTAAAAAGGCCTTAAAAAAAACTCTGTAGGCTTCGAGCTATTTTACCGTTGAGGATTTTGGCTTAATTTTTTAAAAAATAACTGAAAGTTTTCCCTCTCTTTTTGGATTTGGTTCAAATCTGGTTATGATCGGAACCTTATTATCTTATTGTTATCATAATATCATTCCGTTCATTTACAATAATAATTAATAGAGTAGCAGTGTTAGTATCAATATATCAATATTATTCATTAATACTACTATTATCATCCGTATATGTAATAATTTTCTAATCATAAATATTCAATGATTGTTTAAGAGAATATCCAATGAGTTTAGAAATGGGATTTAAGGTTTTGGATTGATAAGCTACACCACTCTTCAATGCTCTCTCACAATGACTCACAATTTCAGCACATGATATTCTCTGAGATGACTTTCTTCTTGTCATTCCAATAATTAGATCCAACATTTCTGGAGATGCTTTCTCATTCAGAGTCCATGTTATCTTCCTTCTGAAATGTGAATCTGGATGAGTATTTTCACATGCCATTTGTTGTCCCATTCCCATTTTACAATCAGATAAGCAAGTAGATGCAATTAAATTAATCATTGTAACACCCAATGAGAAAACATCAGAGGATGGAGTAATTTCTCTGTGAAAAGTAAATTGCTCAGGAGCCATATACAGTAAACTACCTGCTCCTAAGGGATTTGAGCTAAGTGTTTCTAATGATCTAGTTAATCCAAAATCTGACAAGACAACATCAATAATTCCATTTTCCAAATCAATACTACGAATTAAAATATTCTCTGGTTTTACATCTCTATGAATAAATAATGATTTATGCATATAATCAAGTGCAGATGCAATTTGATGTAAAACTTGCCAACACATTTCTGGTTTTAATTTTCCCTTATATTTCGTCAATGAACCATCTTTCATATATTCACTTTCTACAAGTGCATAATTGAAACAATATTTCATTTCTGGGTTGATTTTCAAAATATGAGGATGTATCAAATTTCTTGAACATTCTCTTTGAATTTCTGTTAGTAAATGTTCTTCATTCTTAATTTCAATCATTTTAACAGCTAATGAATTTGGAAAAGTGCTACGAATATGATAGACAATTCCATATCCACCCTCTCCAATCACTTCACCAACAAGTCCAGGATATAAATTTTCCAAAATTAGTCTTCTAGGATCATCAGTACTTGGATTATTATTGACTATTAAATCATATCCAAATGAATTGTAATAATTATTTATAAAACATTGTTTTGATTCCATTCCTCCTCCTACTCCAACTACTGATGGTGATACTAATGGAAGAAGAGGTTGTTGTTGATGTAAATTGGTCAGTGATGATGATAATGTTGTCATGTCATTATGTTGAGGTTGAGTTTCTTCTTGTGAATTATAATACATATTAGAATTAATTGCAAATGTTATTGAATTCCGTAAATGATTCATTGCTGTGGAGTCAATTGCCATCATCATTGAAGAGTAGTCATCAGTGTAATTGTCACTGTTGTTTGATGTAATTATCGGAAGTGATTGATAAGTGTTGTTAGTGGTGGTATTGGAAATTGGTTGTTGTTGTGGTTGAGTATTTTCATTAGAATCGTTAAAGTAATAGTTAGTGGGAATCATTTAGAAGAAGGTTAATTATTTGTTTTTTTTTACATTTACAATTTCAAAGTCAATTAGGATAGTAATTTACCTAATTGAATCAAGTCTTTGATAACATAATATTTCAATGTATTACAATCATAATAGAATAGTGCTTGCTCACTCTTAGATTCTTAGTCCTCACACACTTGTATTTTGAATAAATAATATCAGGCTTATGGCTATGTCTCCATAGCCTGTAGAGTTATTTGAATAAGAATGGAATCCATTCTTAAAATAAAATTTTCAATTTAAAAAAAAAGCCTAGCTTGTGTATTATTTGATTGATCAATCATTTTAAAAAATGTTCATCACAAGCAAATTGACTCGTATGAATCGCTTGATTGCTTCCAATCAAAATGCAACCAATGTACTTTTAAAATCTTCACAACAACGTTTATTTTCTACCTTAAATAATCAAATTCGTAATTCCCAATTTGAAGATGAAGAAACTAGTGAAACCAAGACTGAAGAAGAAAAATCAATTGAAGAAATTTTGAGAACTAAAACATCATTAACACCAAGTGAAATTGTTTCTCAATTGGATAGGAATATTGTCGGACAAGCTGATGCTAAGCGTGCTGTAGCTGTTGCTTTAAGAAATCGTTGGAGAAGACAACAATTGGATTCCTCTATCAAGGATGAAATTATTCCTAAGAATATTCTCATGGTTGGTCCAACAGGGTATGTTTTTTAATGCTAGTTATTATTATATATTTTAATATTTAAATCATATGATGGTTGTATTGTCAATAATAATTATTAATCTTTCTATTTTACATATTATTCGACACATAATAATACTAATAATAACAATACTATTTACATGAAATATCAAATTCTAATAACAATAATACATCCGATTTTAATAATATTATTAATCCTATATAGTGTTGGTAAGACTGAAATTGCCAGACGTTTAAGTAAATTAGCCAATGCCCCATTTATTAAAACAGAAGCAACTAAATACACTGAAGTTGGATTCCACGGAAGTGATGTAGATAGTATTATTCGTGATTTGGTTGAAGTTGGTATTCAACACACAAAGGATAGATTGAGAGCAGCATATAAAACTAAAGCTCGTGAATTTGCCGAAAATAAGATTATTGAAACATTGACTGGTAAAAAGAAGAATAGTGATGAATCTCTTTTCAATGAGTGGAGAAAACAATTGAGGAGTGGAGTATTGGATGATAAAGAAATTGAAGTTGAACTTCCAGTTGAAAAACCAAGAGGATTACCTGGAGCAGGAAATATGCAAGGAAGAATGCCACCACAAGTTGATATTCAAGATTTATTATCTCCATTGTTTGGTGGAAGTGGAAGTAAAACTAAGAAACGTAGAATGAAAATCAAGGAATGTCTTCCAAAATTAGAAGAAAGTGAAGTTGACAAATTATTACAAACTGATGTTGTTATCAAGGAAGCTATTCGTTCTGTTGAAGAAGATGGTATTGTTTTCATTGATGAAATTGATAAGATTTGTAGTTCTTATAAGGATAGACATGATGCTTCATCGGAAGGTGTTCAACGTGATTTACTTCCAATTATTGAAGGAACCACTGTTAGTACAAAATATGGTAATGTAAAGACTGATCACATTTTGTTCATTGCATGTGGTGCTTTCCATAGTGTTAAACCAAGTGATATGTTGGCTGAATTACAAGGTAGATTGCCAATTCGTGTTGAATTGAAGGGATTGACTGAAAAGGATTTCAATAGAGTTTTGACTGAACCTGAAACAAATATTTTAAGACAAAATATTGAATTACTCAAGACTGAAGGTGTTGATTTGGAATTCACTCCTAGTGGTGTTAATGAAATTGCTAAGGTTGCCTTTGAAGTTAATACAACAATTGAAAATATTGGTGCTCGTCGATTGATTACCATTGTAGAAAAGATTTTGGAAGAAATTTCATTCAATGCTCCAAGTATGAGTGGTCAAAAGGTTGTCATAACAGATAAGGAAGTTCAACAACATGTTGGTGCATTGTTGAAGAAGTCAGATTTGAAGAAATTCATTTTGTAAATTTAATTAAAAATTGTAAAAAAACTTTGAGGTAATCTTTACATTGAATAAGCAATGATATTTTGAGCAATGAAATAAGTTGGTAATCCAATCATTGAATTATATGGAGATTGAATTAAAAATTGTTGACGAGCTACAAAAATATCTGATAAACAAAATAGAGAAGCTCCAATAACTCTCAAATAGGCAAGTTCTAAAGATGAAAATCCTTCTCCTCTAAAAATTAATTTGTAAAATAAATTCTTGAAAAAAACAAAATAATTCTTTGTCAATAAATTTTCACCTGCACCTGAAATGGCAGTCATTGTTGAAATAACTCCTAAATATGGATAAACAAGAACATCATAACTTCTATCTTGAATTTTTGCAACAACAAATAAATAACCATATCCATAACAAATAATAAAGGATGCAACAATTGGAATGATTAAACTAATATAATGTTCTCTGGTTGACTTGAATTTTGATTTAAAAATTGTAAGAAAAGTCAAAGCATAAAAAACATGACATAATAAGAATGAAAAACCACCCATCATGAAACCATTTGGAAGGGCTAATAAAACATCACCAATAATTGCAAATATTAAAGCAATAAAAGTGAGTACATTCTCTGAATTCAATCTCATATATCCAATATAAACAAATAACAAGGCACAACTTGCTTTAGTATATACATTCGGACCCAAACCTATAAAGTGATTCAATAACAAGACAATTAATAATGTCCATTCATAGATACGATTGTAATTATTTGATCCTAAGAATACCATATCTTTCTTTTTTATCTATTATTATTATGATATTGAATATTGATGAAGGAGTGATTCTATTTTTTATGTGGTGAATCTCTCTCGTTGTTCTGAATGATTCTAAAATGATGATTTTTAAATTTAATCTTTTATTGTCGGTTTTCAATCCGATCAACAACATTCCTCAAATTTAATTTAGCCTGTTTAGATCGGTAAGCTGTACGATCAAGTAAATTCTGTTCAGTCAAATCCTTATTAGAAAGCCTTTTTAGAAAATAATTTGAAAATAATTTCAATTACAAAAAACTATTTATTATTTTATTAAGCATTGGTTATAATATTATTGTAAAATATTACAAAATTGGAACATTTTTCTGTACAAATAATTTAGAAAGTGAATCTCTTGATTTTAAAATAAATCTTTCAAGTAAAATTTGTAAATCTTGTAAAACAAAATTACATAAAGTTGTATGTAAAATTAATGAAATTCTTTCAAATCTTTCTAAAATTAATTTTAATTCTTCAATTTCTCTAATTTTACTTGTTGATGAAAATTCTTTTAATAAATCTTCATAAATTGTAATCCAATCATCAATAAAATGAATATTATTAAATACTTGTATTAACCATGGTACATATGGTCTTTCTGATGTTTCTTCTTTAGCATTTCCTTTTATAGTATTTGATATTGTTTTAAACATTGATTTACCAAATCCAAATACTTTACTTGATAAGGAAATTGATGAATCAATATTATAATTTTCATTTTCATTATTTCCTGTTGTTACTCCTGCTATTGTTGTTGCTCCTGTTGTTGCTGTTGTTGTTGTTGCTGATGATGAAGAAGATGATAAATTATCATTTTCATCATTTTCATCATCTAAAAATAAATTAAACATATTTGGATCTTGAATTGATAAAGGTTGATTTGATTGTTGTAATTGAATATTTAAATTAATATATTTAGATAAATCTTTTTGTAAAATTAACATGTTATTTAATAATTTATCTTGAATATTAATAACAATTCCAAAATCAATTAATTTAATATCCTTTCCATTTTTAGAATGTATTAACATGTCAGTTTTAAAATCAGAAATATTTTCTGATAATTTTTGACAAAAATTAATTTTATGAGATTGACCAAATAATTTTGCACCTTGTTGAAACCAAACTTTCTTACTTATATACAAATTTGGAAATAAATGTCCTCCATTTAACATTGTTTGTGATAATCTTTTAATTAACCAATATGTACGATGTCTATATTTAGTAGGTATATCAAATTCATTTGAATATTTTGGTATTTCTTCTTCAATATATTGAAATTTATCATTAAATATTATTAACTGTTGATGATTTTCTATATTTGTTACAATTTCATTTGGATATAAATAGTCATGTAATTCTGAATTTAATTCTTTAACACTTTTTTTAATTTTTTTATGATTTGATAAAATATTTGAAAGTGTTGAATGATTTGTATTATTATTATTATTATTAGATGTATTATTATTGGATGTAGAATTGGATGTATTATTGGATAATGTAGAATTTAAATTGGATGTAGAATTGGATATAGCAGAATTATTCAAGACTGTTGAAATAGTTTGATTATTTCCATTAGTATTATTATTATTAGATACATTTTGATTATTATTTTCAATTACAATAAAATTATCTTCTGTTGTAATACCTTCCACTATATTACCATTATTATTATTATTATTATTAATATTATTATTAACATTCTTATTATTATTAAATTGTTCTTGTTGATTTAATTTAGATAAATGATTAGCTCTATCTGAATATAATTTTGAATATTTAATACTTTTTTAAATATTTGAGAAAGATATTATAACAATAAATTACATTTCTGATAAAATTGTTTTTTACAAAAAAGAAAATTAAAATAGTTTATTGTTAATTTGATTTTGTAATAATTGGTGAATATTGAATAGGTTGATTATTGAGTTCAAAATTTAAATCATTTTGTTTTTGTTTAAATTCAAATCTAATAAATAATATAATTACTATAAATGTAAATAAAAATAAAATTGATAAAATTATTAAATTAAAATTTTGATTAAAATAAAATAATAATTGATTATCATCCATATTCATAATACTACATTTATTTTTAATACAAATAGGTTTTAATTTTAAATTACCATATATATACATATTACTATATAAATTTAAATATTCTTTTTTACAATTATTATTATTGGAATCATTTTTACATTTATAAATATCATAATTACAAATAATATTTTTTCTATTATTATACCAATTTAAATTTAAACTTGTAAAATCATTTAAATTATTAAAATTATTTTTTAAATTATTTAATAAATAACAATATTGTTCATTACAACAATCCCATCTAAAATTTAAATTATTAACAATTAAACAATCATTATCATAATTGCAATTAAATTTATCATTTTCATATTTTTTTAATTCATAATCAGATGGATCTCCTTTTATAGTATTTATTGTAATATCATTATATATATTTAAATCAAATGGTAATGGTTCATTAAATATTTTAGGTAATTGTGATATAACTGTACATTTCATTGGATATACATTTTTATTAATTAAACAATCTTTAATTGATATACATTTATAGAAATTATTAATTTGATTCGAATTTTTATAACATTCACTTTTTAATAATTCATTATTATTAATTAATTCCGATTGTTGTTGTTTAGATTTATTTATTAATAATAAAAATGTTATTGTTATGATGATGAATAATAATAATAGATTTGATGATGATTTGATGATTGTTGTTGTTGGTGTAGAGTGATTTGTTCTTTGGTGGCGTGATTGCATTTTTTTTGTAGTGAAATGTGACAGGAGTAAATAATTATCAAAGTAAAAAGTCAATTAAAACAGATGGGGAGGGCAAAAGTGGAGTCATAGGGAATCGAACCCTAGACCTTCTGCATGCAAAGCAGACGCTCTACCAACTGAGCTATAACCCCTTATGTTCATTGTCCCAAAAATTCAGTATTTGACACGAAACAGAATGTGAACTAAGGAGACATTGTTGTTCGATCTTAACTGCAGTCAAGTGATCCTTTGGTTGGATCCTTCATCAAGTGTTGCTCTCTTGATATTTTTTTGGATCTTCACTGCAATATTTTTCAGCCTCTTTTCTTATTAAACGACAAGTTGCTGTAATGGTTGCCGTACAACCAACTTGAACCATTTTGAAAAAAATGAATAAATACAACAATGCGTTTGTTCATACCAAATTCAACTCAAAACAAATTTCATAATACATCAACAACACTAACAATGAACAACCATGAAACTGTACTCTGTGAAGGAACTTTAGACATGTTTGATGCTCCATCTTTTACTAGCATCAATATTAGTAGTAATTCTTCATCTTCTCCGTCATCTAATTCTCCATCACTTGTTTTTCATCTTTCAACATCATCCGACTTTCAAACATCTGAACAAACCAAACAAAGTTCAAGTGGAAAAAGATCTAAATCAAAGGCAAAGAAGAGGAAAGTTATTTTGGATGAGGATGATGAACGTGATTATGAGGAGTGTGATTTTATTTTGGAAAT